CGGTAGAAAGGGCAAGATGAACGCATGCGCAGTGCGCAACGTTCACGCGGATTCTCGTAAAACTGGGCTTTTGTAAAGTAAAAGACGTTCAACATTCTGCATACTGCTGCATATTACTTATATTAAACGCGAATTATGTAGACAGGCATACTACAAACTTTCAGATTATATTGAGGATAAGAATGCCTGGCAGCATGTTGGTTCGGCTCCACTGGACAATTCTCAAATATGTAGTCAGTAGTTATCAAAATTCTCAAAATTAATGAAACCTTGAATGAGTTTATATAGAAGCATTCTTTTGGATTGTGAGTACGCATATGTGAGCGCCATGTACGAAACAACAAAGGATTAAAATTTTAATGATAGATTAAATAGACCATCATTTGTTCCTTTTTATTAACAACTTGTCTCTGCATTGTTCTCACATAGGGGTACAGTAATGTATAAAAAATGTATTATTGATGAATTGTAAAACAAATATTTTTTTTTAAAAGAGTAACGATGGAGTTTCTTGCTCGTTCTTCTCCATTCGAAACTACAATTTGGAACGAGCACCTAGCTTCACTGACGAACAGACTGACAGACTACTATTCTATTTTGACGTTTCAAAAGTACCTATTTATGGTTTATTTGGAATAAATGATTTTGATTTGATTATTACCTGATGGTAAGCAATCAGCACGGCCCATGGACACCCGCAACAACATGTTACGAGTGCGTTGCCGATCTATTGGGGATTTGGAAAGTAAGGATTTGGATTGGGTTTCCGGTCATTTTACTCACACGGCGAAACACAACGCTGTGGTTGTTTCATGCCGGTATTCTGTGAGACCGTGGTATAACTCCGGTCGGTATAAGCCGACCTGAGAAGGACGCGAGAAGCATGGCTCTCCCACACTTGATGCTGCTTTATTACCCAAGTATATTTGAATATTTGAAAAAAAAATGAAGTTTGTAAGTAACTAACTCAAGAACGGCTAGACTGATTCGGTTGACGTTGCATTTCATTGAGCTAAGGAAGTAAAATAAAAAAAAACGTCTTAGAAGGTAGGAATTGGGTAATTCTTACTTAATTTTGATTTTCACATAGTTAATACCATATTGTAGGTAATAAAAATGTAAGATGAAAAAGCAACGTCTTTAATAATATAAGAAGAATCTACCTATTCATAATTATGAGTCAAGATAATGAATAGTTAGGTATCGTACGATCTGCCTATGAATAAAGCAGGTACAAAGGTGACTTAGGATGCAGTCCGGTTCTCTTGAAATATATAAATGAAATAACTTGCATTGATGTTGTTTATACTCATACTTAATAAATGACGAATTAATAAATAGGTAGGTATAATCCTTGTACATATTTCTTGTTCACAACAACTAAAACTTTACATTAAAATTGTTGTTTATCTAGCAAATTACTCAATTACAGACTTCCTTTTTCCTAGTATTCTTTTCTTATTTTTGTTTTTAAGAGAAACGAATGAAGGCATAGAGATTATGTATATTTTGACAGATACTTAGTTTTGAAAACTACCAAGTACAGTACAAAAATAAATCGCTTTGCTCCAGGCAGTGGCCGCGATACATTTCCAGTAGAAAATTCCGATTTAAAAATAATTTCAAAGGTAATTGGGTTTGACGTGCTCTGAAATAAATAAATAACTTATCTAACTCAAGAATGACTAGACATAATACAAAATATATAGAAATAAAAGTGTATTACGAATTACGAAAGACTTTACGAGCTAGTCGGCTTGGCCGCTAATTTAATCTCACTTTATGGCGGGAAGCTTAGTCTATGGTGACTGGTACAGATTATACTTATTTAAGATTAATATAAACTTTTTATAGTTTTCCATAGATTATAGACAAACTAGCTTTTGCCCGCGACTTTGTTCACGTGGAAAAGTTACTTCCTGCAGATTTTTGGAATAAAAATAGTAAAACTATCCTATGTCCTTTCTCGAGTTCCAAACTATGTCTGTACCAAATTTCACAGAAATCGGCTGAGTAGTTTAGGCGTGAAGAAAAGACAGACAGACAGACAGACAGACATGGGACATGTTTACACTCAGACCCTTAAAAAGAGCCGACAAATTAATTGGAATACCGAACTTTTATCAAAACCTTATCGATACAAGGAATAGAACCACAGCTCTTCAGCTCGGAAGTCATATAAATACTTGCTTCAACTCGATCAGGGAGGCAAGGAAGAGAAAAATCATTTTCCTTTAATTTTTTTAAGTCAATATAATTATTTTAATCTTATTGTGAATCTTCTTTCCACGTAATAAATCCTACATGGAGTATATTAATGTCCTGCTGACATTTTATTTTTATTTCCGTAACCTTTGAACAAACACCTACTTATTTCACCTTCAGAATTAATTTGTGAGTCAAAACAATTAAATTGTATTTAATAATACGATCTTGTTAAACATGACATCATGGCGCAGATTAAAATATTAAAATATCAGATTACATTGCTTGTCACGTACTAAAGTTGTTCTAAAGACTTTTAAGAAAGCACGCAATGTAAACGTAAAATGTAATATTGTAGGTACAATAAAGTATTACGGGTTTGATTAGCACAATACGAGTTCAGGTATGAAAATCGTATTCATTAATAAGATATACTATTCCGAAGGATTGGTGATGGTATTACCTAAGTAACTTACACGACTGCTGAGCAAAAAAATAATTATATCAAAATATAAAAGAGATATCGCACTTTGGCATTGGACTGAAAATTTAGTTTGATTCATTCATAAATATTTGCTTTCTTAATCTTCATATTTACTGAAAGGTAACATATTAGTTGATTTAGTCCAATCCTCAGGAATCTTTTCAGTTTCGATAATTTTGTTAAAAAATCCTGTAAACTTTTGAGCTATAACTGGTAATGTCGTTTTCAGTAGTTCTTTATTTTATTTAACATACCTATCAGTTACATAGGACTGAATCAATATCTAGACACACATCAAGTTTGTATTTCAGGAAATCTTAGTATAACCATGATGGTTTCAAAAGGAAAATGATACAAATTATGGCCTTAACATTAAAAAGACAACAAGAACTTACACTTTACCCTTTATTTGAGCATTGGGCTTAAATTAAATCATTAATATCATTCGCCAATCTTAACAATTATTTAATAATTTCAATTTGCAAACTTAAGCATCGACCTTGGTATCATACCAATTAATACAACAACAAATATTCACTTAGACACGCAACAAGATAATTAAAAAAAAAACAAAACAAATGAAAAGAAATAGCTGCGGGCACAAAAATAGTCCCACTCGTGCGCAACACACGCATACACCAATACTACGTCAAATGTTATAATTTTGAAGCTCTACGAGGTCGGGTTAAGTAATCCTTGCAACGGACCGTAACAACTCATTCATTGCCTTACAAAACGATGCAAATGAACTCGCGAATGGAACCGAACTCCTACCATTTATTGACTACTTACTATCGACTTCAACTAGACCACAACACTAGACAGAGAGGGCACTCCACAATATCGCAAATTACAAAAGTAAACAAACCTCCTTGCAGAGTCGTTGATGCAGGGTGTCCTTTAAAATAAAACAAATCACTGAACTGTTATGAAACACTATTGTAACGGGCACAGTTGACAGTTTACGACACAATATGGGTCCCGCGATCGTATTCCGACTGTGTGAAGCCGCGACGTGCGTACGCGCTGCTCGCTCCGCGCTGACTGCCTGCCTCACGAGACGTGCCCAGTGAACGTAGCATGACCTTCCTGCCCACAGAGCCTAGCAATAGAACCTCTTTTCCTTTTTGAGACGTGTCCCCAAAATTAATGACCTTCTTAGATGGAAAAATTAGGAAATGTCCTTCCGTTATGCAAGACGCATGGACTCCCTAATTTTAAAAAACTGCGGCTGGACCGTCCACTCGCTACAAGTTTGATTACCACATAGGTAATTTAATTTTAATTAAATATAATTAAATTAATTCTAGATAGCACTTACTTACTCTTTACTATCTACTCCTTTGTTTACTATTTAAAATAATCGTTGGTACAAAAATATAACATTATAAAAAACAATTTTCTGCTCTTTTTTTGAGTCCCTATTCAATACTACTACGTATAATATTTACGAAGATACTTAAGTTCTCTTATTAAACCTTAAAAATAAACATCCCATCATACAAAAAAGCTCAATAATTTGCAAAACCTACAAAAATCTACAAATTGTACAAAAAGGCTTCAAATAAACAACGCTATCGATTTTTATTTTTTTGGACGATTTTGTTTTCATACAAAATTCTTTCTATCATGATAACATAGGCACCCGGGTTTGCGTCGGAGTTGAACTATCTAACAATTATAGCGCTAACACATAACGATTTACGTCATAACCGTAACTACACGCAACGTTGAAAAAATTGTTAGCAAGTGGAATCAGTTAGAAACTTTTGATTGAATCATTACGAAAAAACTCGTACCGCGAAACTAAATTAATTGCGTATAAAGGAACACTCGGTGTTGTAATACATTTAAGGCTACTAAAATAGTAGAATTCTTAATTACCCTACTTTTATTGTTTATTTTGATTCTTTTTAATGAAGGGAGTTAAACGACAGATTATTAATCCTTATTTTCTTATCATAATCGACAAGCAAATTATGTTTATATTATTGATCCGCAGGGCTTACCGAGTAGATGGATCATCTTAAAATGTATTGTTTGTCGGTAATGGCAGAAAAGTCGCGAACCAGGCTTTGAAAAAGTAGTACGTTTTTTAATTATGAAATCAGTGACATCTTATACAATTTTTCGCTCCTAAGTAATTGCTGGGGGATGCCTGTGGTGGAATATAGGGTGTTATTATTTGCTTGGACTTAGCTTGACCGTGTCCTAGAGAAAGAGAGTGTTTTAAACACTTAAAGATTACTAAATAAGTAGAAATTTTAAAAATAGCACTACAACATTATACGACTGTCAAAGTCATTTCTGTCGGCAATATCCTGTCACTGTCAAAAGTTGTCAAATTCTTCAGAATTTCAGATTTGTCTTGTTTTGCTGTGACCCAAATATTTTAAAACGTGATATTTAATATTAAAATCAAATCTATCTTGCGTTTTACTAAATAAGTAGAAAATGCAGCAACTGAGGAAGCTTATTGCAAACACTGGTAACTATTATTTATTTAAATATAGGTTATGTTTATCTTTATATTCTTAGCGGAAAAACTATGATATTTAATTATTTTATTAAATATATTTGGAATATATATAAATAAATTACAACGTAGGAAAGAATATTAAATACTTAAAAAATGCGTATTTACCTGTCATCCTGTCAAAACATTTTATTTAAAATACATTTAACAAAACAATTTAGACATTCGTATTTAAATGATTCCATGTAAAATTTAAAGTATTTACGGATTGAAGCTTGATAAATTAATACATTTTATTTAAAAGTCATTAATATCAAACAAAATAATTATTATCTTGCAGGTACAACTTGTCGAAATGAATCAACAATATTTATTGTTAAGTTTTTCAAATAATGAACTGCCACCATTTTTTTTTATTACAGCAAACAGAGAGCGCAGGAAATTATTCAAACAGCCTCAATTTCAACACAGACTTAGATGTATGAGTACACAAGAAACTACTACAGAGGAAACAAATAAAATACCTTTTGTAATCCCAAAAGGTACATTTGGCCAGCCAACATGTCACACGCATCCACATTTAATAAAGGAAGAACATTTGACATGGGGCATAACACAGGCTGAATACAAAAAAAGGCGGGAAACATTGGTTCAAAAATTAGTTGCAGAATCTGAAAATATGCACAATACACATATTGTAAGGACTTATGTTTTCTGTGTTTTTTATTATTTTATTCTCTGATATTTTTTGTTATAATGAGTATTTAATTAACTCATAACTTATACTACAACATATTTTAATTAATTTCCTCTAAAATTTTTCTGTTTCATTAATTTTATATCAGCTGTTTATTTGTTGCCTAAAATCTATTTAAATAATGTGCAAATTGTTATTTTTTGTTTTCATTCATCTCTAATAAGTGTTTATAGAAACAGAGTCCTCTTCTTACATCATAAGAGTACATTATCTGTCAGGATATCAACTATCTATATATCACAGTTCATAAGATGCAGTTTTATTTGATAGATACACAGGCATTGAATTAATATTTTTACTGTTTTACCAAGCAAAAAAACTCTCTTTTTATTTATAAATAACTTTTATATTATTTCTTTCAGATAGTAATACCAGCAGCTCGCAAACAGTACATGTCTGACAAAATACCGTATGTGTTCAGACAGCATTCTGACTTCTTCTACCTCACTGGGTGCTTAGAACCCTCTGCAATATTAGTATTAGTGAAACCTGCACAAACAGACCAATTTAAGGTATATTATTATTGTATGTATTGAAATAACAACTTTTATATGGCCGCAATAAGCAGAACAGACGACCTGATGGTAAGCAATTAGCACCACCCATAGAAAACTGCAGCAAAAAAGAAATTTTAAGCATGTTGCTAGCTCTTTGGGGATTTTGGGAATTTCCCATACCCTAAATTAATTAGTCCTTGTTTCATCACCTTTGCTTTTCTCTTCCATAACTTAACTGATGAATAATTCAATAACTAATACTTACCCTCCCCCCTCCCCCCTCCCTCCCCGTAGTAGTGTTATATAAGGCTTTAAAAACAAAAACGTATGTGTTTAATTTTTAACTTAGGCAAATAAAAGTTGGACTGCCATTTTTCAATTTTAATGTTACATAAATATGAAACCTCTATCTATCTCTTTCCCTTCCAGAGTATTCTATTCGTACACGACAAGGACGCACACGCAGAGTTGTGGGAGGGGCCTCGGACGGGATGCGCCGCAGCAGCCAGACTTTTTTGCATGGACGAAAGCCGACCAGTCGAGAACTTTAGCACGTTTTTAAATAAGTAAGTATTAATATAAAATAAGATTTTAAAATGTCTTAAACTGAACAAGATATACTTCATAATGTCCGTCGGGGTACCTCGAGACATTTCAAGCCACCCACGGACCCGCAGTTATGAGCGAAACCGATCGTTCCGCAGTGAATTATATTTACGCGAGAAATTGATGGTGAATGGCGTTCAGAACGTTTGAATTTTCGGAAACGGGAGTTATATTTTTGCGCTTATAATGTATGTACGAAGTAAACTACATAATATAATATCCATACTACAAAAAAACTCAACATTCCCCAACCCCGCACATCTATACACCACTACAACAAACATAAAGATTTTAAAAGTTAGTATTTGTTACAGAATAACACAGGATTCAAAACCAGCAGTGCTTTGGTACCATAATGAGGACCCAGCTAACCCTGACATACATAACACGGTGAGAGGGACCCTCAGAGGAGACGCTAACGTCACTCTGTCCGACCCTCAACGAGCCCTACACTTTATGAGGGTCGTTAAGTCCCCGGCAGAGATCGAGCTCATGAAGGAAACGTGTTATATTGGATCACAGTCTATTAACATGGCTATGGCTTGTACGAAGCCAGGTAAGTTAATATATCTATACTAGTTTTAGGAAGCTGAAGAATTTGCTTGTTCGTTTAAACGCGCTGATCTCCGGAACTACTGGTTGGAATTGAACAATTCTTTTTATGTTAGATAGGCTATTTCGTCCGGCAAGAGCAGACGGATTACCTGATGGTAAGCAATCAGCGCCGCCCATAAACACATTAACACCTAAAGAGTTATTGGTGCGTAGCCGGCTTTTAAGGGATTAGGGTTTCGGAAATGTAGGGATTGGGAAGGGGAAGATAATTAATGTAGTAGTTTCACGCCGGTTTTCTGTGACGGCGTTGTATCACTCCAATCGAGCCGACCCGTTCGTGCCGTAACTTGGCTCTCCCACACTTAAATCCTATTTTGACGTCTCATCAGGTATATCAGAGCATATGGTGAACGCAGTGCTTGAGTACTCGTGTAAGCAGGGAGGGGCGGAGCACCTCGCGTTCCCTCCGGTCGTGGCCGGCGGAGCCCGAGCCACGCACATACACTACGTGGCCAACAACCAGCTGTTGAAGGCCAATGAGATGATACTTGTTGACTCAGGTACGTAAAATACTTTTTTTAAATAGATTTCACACCTACTGCCAGTGGCTGACAAAAAATTCTCGGGAAATGCCAAAATCTCCAGTCTGAGGTGAAGATCAGAAGCGACAAAGCCATGGGGCTCCTCATTTTGCAGGATTTGTAACATAAATATGTGTATTTTTTATTGTATAAGGCGGCAAACGATTTTTGTCACCTGATAGTAAAATTGGTAAGCTATCGGCGCCGCCCATGTACTCGGTAACTTTTAACGCCAGAGCACTTCTGAAGACAATCCGATGTTCCTGAGTGTCTTTGGGGATTTACCGGAAGGGTATTTGGGGTTTAAGAATGAGGGATAATTGGACCTCCGGTGACCTCATTCACACGGCGCAAATGCTGCACAACGTAGGTGTTGTTTCACGCGGGTACTCTGTGAGGCTATCACACTGGTCGAGCTTGCCCATACGTTCCAAAGCATGGCTCTCCAACATTACTATAATTAATGTAGATTTAGTTTCCTATAAAAGTGTAACTATACAAAATTATGTTGTAATCGCAGGCAGCCAGCACTGGATGTACAACTCGGACATATCGCGCACGTGGCCCGTGGGCGGCACCTTCTCCAAGCACCATCGGATACTCTACGAGCTCGTGCTCACTGTACAGGTGCGTCTGCGCATGTATGCGGTACTAACGCAAAAAGTAATTATTTAAACACCTTGGAAGGCTTGACGTTTCAACTTAGTTGCATAGGTCGTGTATTTAAATAATTATTTTTCGCGTTAATACCCGCGTAGTTATGGGTTGTCGACGTGAAACGCGAAAGTTACCTGATAGTAAGCAATTCGCGCCACACGCAACATCAGAGGAGTTACGAGCGCATTGCCAGCCTTTTAGACGTCAAAGTTTTGGACAGTTTGACAGGGATTGGGGATAGGGGAGGGATTGGGTCTCCGGTAATCTTAATCACATGGCGAAACACAACGCGCTAGTTGTATCACACTGTTTTTCTGTGCACACGGTGTTTATCGAAAGAATACGTCATCATCAGCCTATAAGTGCCCACTGCTGAGCAAAGGCCTATTCTCGCACGGTGGAGGTTTGAGCATTAATCACCACACTTGCTCGATGCGGGTTAGCTATTTCAAACTTATAAGTAATTAGAAATTTATAAGTCCAGGTTTCCTCACGATGTTTACCTTCACCGTATGTCAGTGGTGTCTACATAGAAAGTACATATAACTTGGAAAAAGTCACATTGGTACTGGCCAGGTTACGAACCCACACCCTCATGCATGAGAATCGGGCGCCTTAACCTCCGGGCCACCACGACATTTTGAAAGAATGCGTAACTTTACCAAAAAAATATGTGTCATGTTTTTCTTATTTAGAAAGTACTAAATATTACTACTATATCAACATATATCAACTCTTATATGTGTGCCTAAGTTTTACATACATACATTAGTATCCGGGTTTATAAATGAAATCTTAGCATAAATATTATTGCTTGAGTATTGCTGATTTTAACTCCGCTATAATATGTTATAATTTATATGCCTACGTATAATTTCCAGAAACGTCTAATAGAGTTGCTGGGCGAGCAGAGGCCAGCGCTGGACAAGTTATTCGACAGCATGTGTCGCCTGCTGGGCAAGCACTTGCAGGAGGAGGGGATACTACCCAAGAATGTGGAGGGGCATGAACTGCTAGGGGTTGGTATTTTATTTAGTCTTTCATAATTTTGTTAAAAGTAGGTTACTATATGCAGGCACTATTGAATGTCAAAGAAAAAAAATGGTTCTGGTAAGGAGTTGTTTCCATGGTGTTGTTTTTGTAATAAATGATTTGACTTTGACCCGCGTCGCATATTTGAACTTCGTCGCCTCCCACTACGGATCTGAGAAATTGTACCACAATGAACAGTCTCATACATAAATGATACAAACATCCAGTCATTCAAACATTTCGGAAGAGCTATGCTTCGGCACGAATAGGTCAGCTCGACCGAAGTGATCCATTTTCCCTCCTTCTTCATTTAAAGAGAGGGAGGCATCTATTGTTCATAATTATACTTCTTTTTCTTTTAAAAATAAGACGTTGCCCCATCCTAGTATTTTCTTCTGTGTCGTGGGAGCGTTTACCAACATACAATTACCCATACATATCACACCCAGACCCGGAACAACAATTTGAATATCACACAAAAATATCTCTTTCAAATAGTGTTAATTCGGACCAATTGTCAGAGACCTCACAACTCACTGGCCTTACAACATACGAGTAGGTAGCCTAAATCGTCCTAAAATGATGACTCAAAGATTTTTTGTCTTATATTAGGCCAACGCGCCCCTCTCCCTTTTCCAACAATATTATAGTATTTGTAATAATAATAATAAATACGTATTGTTCCCAGAAAGCCTACCGCCTGTGTCCACACCACGTGTCCCACTACCTGGGGCTGGACGTGCACGACGCGCCCGTCGTACGACGGAACGTGCCCGTCTGCACCAACATGATCGTCACTGTCGAACCCGGTACGTTGTTACCTACACTTAAGGACTACACGATTTGACTGATACCAGACAGTGCTCTGACAAACTTTTATGATTCTACAGCCCACATTAATTCTGCCATGGAGATTTTCGCAAAGACGAAAGTAGCTAATCATACCAATATCTAGCTTCGGATTGTCATGCAATTTTATTTTTAATATAAACTTCATTGTCCTGTTACAAAAATATTATTGGCCGATTATCACACACAAGGCACAATCCAGGCACTATACCTTCCCAATCCTTAAATATCCGCAACAACTATCCCCGGCAACGCACTTGTAACTCCTTTGATGTTGCGGGCGGCGCCGATTGCTTACCATCAGGTAATCCGTCTGCTCGTTTGCCGACTTTTTTGACGGTGATTTGTTGAACCTTAGGATGGAAATTTATGAAAGAAACTTGGGCATACAAAAATGTATATAAAGAATTAAAAATAAACATATAGAACGATACAGTGTTCAAATACAGAAGATTAACTGAAATATTTCAATTTCAGGAATCTACATAAGACCAGACGACACGACCGTCCCCAAAGAGTTCAGAGGCGTCGGCATCCGAGTGGAGGACGACGTACTCATCACTGACGCAGAGCCTGTTGTGTTAACAGACGCTTGTGTCAAGGAAGTAGCCGATATAGAGGCTATTGTTGGCAAACATAGCCTTTAATTTATAGCCTCAGGAAACCAGCAATGTGAAGAAATCACTATCCTTTAATTGGAAAGAAACTATGCCTAGATTGGCTAATTACTGTTTTTAGGATCTGCTGAAAACACTGAGCCATATTTTGGAAATAGTATGATTAGATTTTATATTCTATTTATGGATAAACCAATCTCTCTTTTATCATCATCAGCCTATAAGTGCCCATTGCTGTGCAAAGGCCGCTTCTCACGCGGAGAAGGTTGAGCTTTAATTACCACGCTTGTTCAAGTTGAAATAGTGATTTCATACTTATAGAAATTATAAGCCCATGTTTCCTCGTATTGTTTTTTCCTTGTCCCGTCCTTGCTACGGATGACTGACTTCCCTAGCCCATCGGCTGCGCTTCTGCTAGGTTGAGGGTCATTCTATAGTATATGTTGAACCCATTTTCAGGCTTTTTACTGCCTACATTGTCAATAATAATAATAACGTCGCTTCAGGAAATATTCACGTACAAATTGGTTGTCTATAAATAGGATTTGTTATAAATCATAATGGTGTAACGTCAGTCACACCCGGTTTCCGAAAGGCCGATCAATGTTAAAATCAATTTAATCTCTTGTCAAGTCAACTGATTGGTTGACTAAATTATCAACAACCAATCAGATGACTTGACAAGAGATTTCACAGGAGATTAGTTAATTTTAGCGTTGACAAGTCTTTCGGAAACCGGTTGTTAGAGTCGCTCTTTATGTTAAAATGTAGGAGCAAAAGTTTGAGAACTATTAGTTGAAGTATGCAAAGATTGTTCAGAAAATAAAGCAATTAAAATTCATCTAGTCCACATAAAGCTGAATAGAAGTGAATAATTTGCTGAACCTCATAGTGTAGGTATTATTTTAATAATCCGAATTATTTTTGTTAAATTTCGGTACATGAATTGAACCTTTTGATTTCAAAATCAATTTTATAAGAGAAGATAAGGAATTGATTGACAATATTACCGTGAGGAACACAAACTTGTTGTGTTCTAGGTGCGTTACCTACATAGGTATTTAAAATGTATGATGTGTGTTATAAATATTATTATTAAAAATGGAACCAAAATGCCGCTATAGTTCATACCACAATTAAAGCTCAAAATAAATGTACAATAAGATTTTAGGGTTGTAAGACCTCGAAAAATTACTTTATAACCTAGTAGAGTCGAGATTTATAACACTGCGTTTCGACATAGTTGTATAGACAAGTACCAAACATGTTCCTTTGTAAAAACAAATTGTAATTTGTAAATAAAATAAAATTGTTGAATGCGTAGTTAAGTTGTATTATTTTTACCTTAGAAATGAACCAAATAAAATTTAATAATGACATACTATTCGAGTATAAGCACTTTATGAAGCGAAGATCCTTTTAACACTCATTACCATTACGATTTACAAAATGATATCTCGGGTGTCGCCTACGTTTCTCGGACATTTTACGTTATACTCGCTGGGCGAGTCCACGGTACTGGAATAAAATTAACGCTGACTCTCTGGGCGAGTCGATGACACTGAATGTGTTAACCAGCACCTGGACGAATGGGCCGGCTCAACCGGACTGATACGGCCTCACTGAATAACGCCGTAAAACAACCACAGCGTTGTGTTTTACCCGGCGCGTAGCGTACCGCGCCCCTCAATGAGCCCATAGCACCACAGATAAGACCCAGGGCCGATGAAAAGCCGGGGTCGTAGTACAATAGTAGATTACTTTGTACAATACATATTCTTATTTCGTACCACACACATATTCAGCACAAATAATTATAATGATATTTAAAATAAACAAAGTGATTGGCTTGTTAATTCGGTGATGTTGATTCCCTAATCCTGCAAAGTTATTTGGTTTTTTTTTTAATATCTGATAGACAGCAATGACCTCGCTTTCTATCACATACAACTCTCATAACAATACTAGTCAAGTGGGTGTTTTTATGGCTTTATATGTCATTACATAGACCTCTTCCTGATCCTTCAGGGATAAGAGGCGATCACGCTTTTAATAAAAAAAAGGTAGTAGTAAAACGTACTGCCTTTTTGCAGAGCTATGGTTCAATTATCATTAAAGATTCTATGAAATTGTATAAACTCTTTAACTCAAGATTTTCCAGAAAAATCCTCATTAAGCCCCCTGACCGGCAGAGATGTTACACAGATAATTTCCAATGAAACAACAGGCGTGTAGAAAAAAAACATTTATGTAAAGTACACTTACAACTCTCGGCAAATTTTCAACTTTGAATATTTCTTTTTTTTGCTTTGACAACAGTACCTACTAAGATAATATGACCTCAGTTCCTACATTTATTGAGGTCTACTATATTTTTTTGTATATTTTTTATTTGCTTAGGAACATTACAAAGTCTTAGAATTAAAGTATTATTGTGTCTTTTAACAGATAAAGCGAAGAATTTTTGTTACAACAAAAACATTGGTCCCCATGATAACAATAATCTAACTTAGAGTTAAAAGGACAAGTATCTTAGTAAACTACTTATTTTAATTTAATTGGATTCGAGAATGTTCACATTCAATATCAAGTATCGAGATTTTGGATATAAAATAAATCCAATTATAAAATCAGTTAATATTTTTAACAATTCCCTATTGTACTATAGAATATAAAAAATGTGTCTATACATAGGAATGTTTTGAAAAATATAAAGTTTTTTATATAAAAAGTATCTACTTATTCTATTTATTGATAGCGTAGAATTAAAATTAGAATATATCGTCGTAGCCAGCACGACGTTGCTCTAAATATTATAATTTATAACTAAAATTCGAGGTATAATTCGAATGAAATGCACAATTATTTGAGAATATTAGAAGATTCCTTTTCTTTTCTTTGATAATATTTTGATCTTAGATTTGAAAAAAATAAAATGATTCCAGAATTATATAGCTTAATAAGGCCCATACTATTTTAGCTATTAATAAAAATAATAATAAGATAAAGTTTATTTTTCTTCAACAAATCTTAGATCATGATCTTCAAAAGGTAGCCAAAAATATATATAATAAGGCACTAACGGCTTACCTAACCTATCAAAACTTCATAAATTACATTTTATAGTAATATTCGACAGTTTTAAAAATATATTTTATTAGAAAAATATTCAGTAACTAAAGTACCTATCGAAAATATAGACTTGAAAATCTATTTTGTAAGCTAAAATAAATTTTCCATTCCATCTACACCCCAAACAAATGCAAAATTGTACTTATAATTTAAGTAAGTATATCTTTTACAATGTTTACAATATGTAATTATAAGATTTCCTCCTTTCCATAACAATTTACAAACAAACACATTTTCGTTTTTAGCTTCTTTAAAAAATACTTTTATTTTTACGTGAATGTAAACGACTTTTTTTAATATAAATATTGCTAATTGAATTAATTTTTAGGCTGGTTTTATGTGCATAAGACTGGTGGTTATTTGAAGAGACATTATAGGTATGAACAGTAGATAACTGTTTAGTTAAGTAATTTTAATATAGATAGACATTTTTTGCAAACTACATAACTAATTCACAACAATTTTTAGCAAAATTTCATCTGAAAATGCCATTCACATTGACGGAAAAACTAAAAAATATATCGAACTGTGTTAATCACCATTCATTCTTCACCAATCACCATTCAGAAGGTCGTTCATCATTCACCAGTCGTCGTCTGGCACTCCGCCAGGGTACTCCCCAGTGAGGCAGGCGGTGCAGTGCCCTCCAAGCCCATCGCTGGGGTTGGTCTTCATGTTATAGTGCACTGCTGACACCAAACCTTCTACACTTAAGTATTCTAGACTGTCCGCACCTGAAAATAAGAATGATTTTCGGTAAGCTTACGTTTTGAAAATAATAATATGGAATTTGTTGATAGCTCATCATAGTGGTTTACCATCTTTGACAACTAGAGGTAGAATTTGTAAGTTTGTATGTAGGGTGTAATATTTGGAACCACTGGTCGGATTGCCAAAATTCTTTCACTGATAGATAGCTACAATATTCCTTAGTGCTATAGGCTATAAAACATCACGCTACGATCAAATGGAGATGAGCAGCGGGTGAAACCGCGCGAGTGTAGCTAGTGTAAATATAAAGGTTTATTAATATTGAGGAACTTGAGAATCCATGGTAACTCACCAACGTGCTCAGCGAGTTTGATGGTGTCCATCTTGTTGGCGATGAGTTCCTCTCGCGTGGGGATGTTGATGCCCATGTAGCACGGGTACTTCAGCGGCGGAGACGCTATCCTTATGTGGACCTGGATATATTTATAAATATAATATAGTATGTTGTAAATTTTCTAAACACGTTGAATTGTCAACTTCGTCAATGGGCCAAGATATTACTGAAAAGTTTTCTGCTGGAGTGCAAAGGCTGTTAAATTGTATAATCAACTAATGTTGTTCATTGTGAAACAAGCCCAAATACAGACCAAGATATAGGAAGAACTCAAAACTCCCAACTTCATACCCAGGTTTAGATTCGGCGGCCGGTTTTTTTTTTAAACACGCTCTTACTTGTGTGATAAGAGAGGAAAACGTTTTATTATGCAGTTTTAATTACGTACAATACCGCCGACGTTGAGTCTGAAGTTAGCCGATTAGCTGCACAGTACACAATTTTGTTCCTAAAAGATCCATTGCGCAGTCAAACGGCTAACTTCAGACTCGCGAAGATACGTCGGCCGCACTGTACTTTCTATAGTAACTAACACCCAACAAAAGATCTTCTAATCTAATACAGAACATTTCTTATCTCTCAATAAACTCGAGAATGGTTAGACAGATTTTGGTTCATTTTGATCTTGAAATAGTTGTGATAGTTCTGGGAAAGTTTAAAAGGTAAACTATGAGCCAAAGTTTGCCGGTTTAAGTAGTAAATTAATACACTTTACTAACCTCAGCAGCCCCGGCGTCCCTCAGCAACTTGATAATAGGTCCGATAGTATTCCCTCTAACGATGGAATCGTCAATGAGTACGATCCTCTTCCCTCGCACGTTCTCCGAAAGTGCGCCGAACTTCTTGGCCACGCCCAGCTGGCGAAGACGGGTCGAGGGCTGGATGAATGTACGACCTACGTAACGGTTCTTGCAGAGGACCTCCATGAAGGGAATGCCAGACTGAAAACAGATGAGAGATTTTTTAATTTGTGTTCAGTACAACCATACACCACATTAATGTTTCTATGTAAGTGTATAAATTTAAGTACCTAAATAAATTGATCCTAATATTTTATTTGTTTAACACTTTAAGTACTTATTTGCCAATGGCCAATTATTGTTACACAATGGCGGACTTAATCAGTCAACCAATTATGAAAATAATAATAATATGGTGTGTGGTGTGTGTGAGTGTGATGGTATGAGTGTGTGGTGTGTGTGAGTGTGTGAGTGTGTGGTGTGTGTGAGTGTATGAGTGTGCGGTGTGTGTGAGTGTGTTTGTGTGGTGTGTTTTAGTGTGTGTCTCTCAATGTGTGTGCATGTGGGATTGGGTGTGTGTGTTTGGGTATGCATCACACACATAAACACAGTGTGATGTGTAAGCTTATTGTTATATAGAAGTAGGTTACCTGTCTGGCGTATCCATGCGCGGCGGCAGTGCCGGACTCGGGCACGGAGGAGACAATGTCGGCGTCGATGGCAGACTCGCGCGCCAACATGCGCCCGCACTGCATGCGCGCTGAGTACACCATCTGACCTGAATGAGGGAAAGGAATGTTAATATTATTACAATGCGACTTCTTGCGAAATCAGTGAGACTTTTTTTATTGTAATCTTTATAAGACTTCGTTTCTATGGATATGAATAAAAAAACGTAGTTAATCAAAGCAAATATAAAAAAAAACTTCATGAATTTTTTTTTTTCGATCATGACACACTTACAAATGCAATAACAGTCTACTACGTCAACTCTACTGTTTTATAAATGAATAAATTATGACTCTTACCTTCAAAGATACTATCCGCCCTTGCGAAGTAAACATATTCAAATATACAGAAAGCCTGCTGTTTGTCGGCGGGTCTCTCCACCACGTCCACTGTTCGAATCCCGTGCCGGGACATTTCTATTATCTCTCCGGGCAACACCTCACGGACATAGCGAGCACCTATAAGGAATGTACAACAATGATTAATTAAAAACTTTAACACATCACACAAATGCATAGTCCACGACAGTCACAGATGGACTAAGTCCAAGTTTCGTCTACATAGGAGTTTGCTAAGGCGTGTAATTCTGAATTCAAAAAAACTTATAATGGTTAATCAAAATTATTTAAATGAAAACAAAACCCAGCAATAGAGCGCCACTACGGCGCGGCGCGCCAAAACAAAATGCTTGTTTGATAAAAAGGGCGCCATTTTTGCACCATCTAAAAATTACGCAATGGTTCTCAATTAAGGCTTGATTTTCCTTATAACAAATTGAAATTATTATTTGAAACTGAACGATAAAAAATAACAAAAAAATATATTCACAAAGAGAAACACGATAAATTTTGTAAAAAAACAATAAGAAATATTTATATTAAAACACAATTTGATTTGAACACATTGATTGCTTTTATTTAAAGACTTCACTTTACTTACCGATAGAGAGGAATCCACAGGACTCTGAAGACACGACCCAACCTTCAGCTCTGTCCTCAACACCATTCTTCGCACAGCCGTTCATTAAAACTGTTGTAAATAATATTATTATTAATTAATTACGAAATTATTTCGTCACAAATAACTCTAAAAAAACAGAAAAAAATCAAGTATTGACATCCCTATTCTTTTTGTATAAAGTAAGTTTAGATTAAATAAAAAATGTATGTTGGTGTGAGTATGCAAACAGCAAAGAATTTCCCATGAGAAAAACAAAAAAAAGATTCATTACTTTTATAGTACTTATTAAAGTATTGTAAGTAAATCATTAGATTTACTAATTTTCATTTTCAATAGTCGATGTCATGTTATGATATTACTTGTACAAAGTCCCGTTAATATTATCATGCTCCTTAAATTAACTATCCCCTTTTAAAAAACAGCCAAATGTAATGTTATAATTATGAAAACACACAAATTAGGTACGCCACAACAAACCATGGCAAAAGCCAGACTTTTGAAGGCACTCCGCTAGCGTAGGGCAAAATTGTCCGACATGGCGTTCAATTTGATATCAATTTTTCAATTTTGAAATTACACAGAATTTAGATATTTCTTAAAACACCATTTAAAGATGTAGGGATTATATAACATAATCTCGTTAAATTCGAACACAGCGCGGAATAATACGGTAGTTTCCAACTGGTCAAATTCAATAATTTAATCCAAATGTTGAAAATTTGTATAAAACTCCAAATTATGACGTCACAGTATTTTTGCATCAAATAGCTTACCTATTTTCCAAAAATTAACTAAAAAGTATCGAAAATTTATTGTATCGACAGATCAAAATAACTTTTAATCATGTAAAAGTATATTTATTTTGCAATATTTCACTGTACTGAAATGTTGAATTAATTCATTTTTGACCTAGGAAACTACCCAATATTCCTATATTTATAGCTTTCGTATTTTTAGGGTACGACATGCCCATATGATGTAAGATGGTGTATGCATAGCTATGGTTAAGTAATAAATAAAATGAGTCATGCATTACCCGCGGCATGCTGCGCCGACGACTGTTTGTAGACATCTGCAAATGTTTAGTGGACACCATTAGGGATTGATGCGCAAATACAACTTGTCTCTAAGTAGTAAGGTTATAAATAAAATGAGAAATATCTTATACTAAAGACTAAGGTTCGTAAGTGCGCATAATTTGAGACATTTTGTATAAAACCGTATTATTTAGCTTGTTTAATAACTATCGTTAGACATAGGTAGTAAATTAATTAAAAATATCAATTTACTCGCTTAAATGAGTCGAGAAAAGCTCTACTAGTTTCAAGTCATAACGGGACTCTTATTTTATGCATAAGGCCAGTACATTGCGCGTCTTCGCGCTTCGCGGCGACGCCACGCAGCTGACTGGTCTCAGGTGGTTGGTCGAGTGCCTGAGTAACAGTCGCTATTATCGCTATTATCGTCGCATCGTGTGCAACTATTCTAGTCATAATATGAACCCCGTCATAACTTGAAACTAGTCGAAAAGTTACCGATAACATAATAATTAATTGAATGTGTCCCATGACCATATAACACAGAAGAAGACTGGTTTACATCGTCAAAATATTATGTTTATGTTGCCCATGCTAGCTAGAATAACTAGTAAATGTACTTCATTTATGCCAGTGACAATGCGCTCATACTTTAATTTATGAACAAGGGAACATAATGCAGCTCATCCATAGTACTTACATGCCATCCTTAGTTAGCAGCGGTAAGACAAAATTATATGTTTATTATATTATATTCATATCACAAAGGTTTTCATTCGATATTACACAACCCTTAAATTCCTAAAGAAATTGCTAAGATTCAGATCCATTCATGCCCTCTAGAATGATGTGATTAGTATGTATAACAATATGTAACGATTCCCTTTTGTAAATAATATTTTAAGACTTACATGAGGAGCCGAGAGGTAAGATCTTGCCGAGACAGAGTGGCCGGTTTCCGTAGGGGTCGCGGACTGCGTAGATCTTGTCCTTCAGCATTATAACCAGCGAATAACTTAGAGGAGCCAGCCTGATAATAATACAGGTACATTGTTAAACATACATTAACGAAGACTTCACAGAAAAACGGCATTATTCAAAAGCTTGCGTTGCATTTCTTCGATGAATGAGCGAGGTTACCGGAGGGTAAACTTCTCCGCCATGCCCATTCCCCTAATATTCGAATCCCAAAAACCGAGCAACACACTTGCAGGTGCTTATTATTTACCATCCAGTGACTGTTTGTTTGTTGTATGGTTGTTTTTACAGTGGTATGGTTGTTTTCGGCTTTCTTAGAAGTTAAACTTGTAAAACGAAATGGTTGTTTGTGATACTTAAAACATCGTTCTTGATTTTTAGTAAATTATGATCTATAAATTAGATCGTTATGGTACAAGTGAGTTATGTTAGTGATTACCGCTAAGGCGCATTGAGGCCCGAGCCGTTAGACGAGGGTCTTAAGAAGCCGAGGACGGCCACTTTATGAGGAAGTGTATTGAAAAGTATATTTACCTCATGAGATGGTTAATACGCGCGGGCCAGTCTGGTCCGTTAGTCTCCCCCTCCGGTGGGTTCAGGCAGAGTGCCTGTGTGATCAGCTCAGAGTCGGAGTGCGTTGACAGACCTACTCCACGACCTAAAACCTATGATAAATATTGACATTATGAATATTATTTCATTTTAGGTACAATCGTTTGTTAATACAAGAATAAAGTTTAGATAAATTGGCTGATTTATATAGATTTTTTTATATTATTCTCTTGAAGGCCGAAATACTTAAAGAGGGTAAGACCTCAAGACCTCAACTTAAAAAATTAAAAGCTATAAACATACCAAACCTACACCCCAGGGTGAGACGAGAGGGAGTGTTTCTCACAGACTAAAAACTCCCGTTCCTTCTCCTTCTGTAGGCCGAGACCCTACGTTATTGTACTAGCATAATATAATGAAATATGAAGTTACCATCTTCCTGAGACTGCTGCAGTTGACGAGTTCCCCGTTGTGTGCGACGGCCAGGGCCCCGTGCGCTGTGTGCACCACGAAGGGCTGACAGTTCACCTCCTCTGACGCAGCGGATGTCGAGTACCTGCATATATAGGGAACAATGTATGAAGAAATATTATATAATAACATTTACAATTAAAATATTTTTTGATCGATATTGCCACATATCGATCACAAAATACTTTGAGAATTTTAGTGATCAATCAACAGATGGCGTGCTTCGCAAAATTTATCTCATTTTTCATGCCTTGGGAAAGTTAAAACTTTCTTGACTAGTTTCAAATTAACGATTTTTGAGATTGAAATACAATATATTCCTTTGCGCAACCTGTTAGTCAGACCCAAAAACTTAACTTGTCCAAACAGATATTCCAGCGGATTCTAAGATTAAATAATCAATGAATAGAGAATGAACTCACCTAGTGTGTCCAATTCCAAGGTTTCCTTTGAGTTTCTTCATGGCTTCATCGTTAAATATATTGTTGACAAGACCCATTCCCTTGTGTGTGTTAAAAGTGCGAGCACTCTTGCCCTCTGACGTCACGATACCCGCTGACTCTTGGCCTCTAAGATATTGAAAATAATAATAGATATAATGACAAAATCAACAATAAATTGTGTTATTGTTAAATCTATTAAAGTATCTAAAATCTCCACTAATCCATAATCTCCGACGCTGTCTGATTATAAAGCTCATCTATACATGGGCGCGTGGTTTGCCAATCAATCACATAAAAAATGAGGATATCGGTATAAATAGTTTTGTCATGCATGGAAGTGGGCGTTAAACCTGGAGGCTATCACGACCTCACATATTATTATAAATATAAGTAGCTACATAGGAACAAGGTACGCATTCTCCCCGAATTCTCATTAAATCGGTTCTCCCTAGGTAGAGAATGTCAGACTTACTGGCAAAAAAATACCACCCTGTTCCTTCAACCGCTCGAGCCGAAACTGCGGTACATACATAGGTAACTGCGCTTAAACCCTCAACCCCAGTTGAAGATCGGCCCTGGCAGACTCTGTAGTGGTCAGACGGGTCTTTAAATACGCTCAGATCTGGTTCTAGTCAGGAGACGAGCTACACTTGCTTGCCGACCGCAGAACCGCGCTCAGAGAATTCGGACATCATCGCGTGAAGCGGACATATACAGGGTCTTAATAAAACCGAAGCTTTAAGACTTATAGTGGATAACGTTTCCGAACGTCTCCTTAGCCCTGGTCGTAAGCGGTCCAATAGGGGCAAGTCGACCGATCGCTATTCGATAGCGCGATAGCATTTTAAAATACGCGCCAAGTGGCGTTATGTTGCTGGCCACTGATTGGCCGTCACAGTTCTAGAAAAGTTATGGCGGACTTTACAGTTTTGTGTGTGTATCGTATTGTAATTTTTTGTGTAGTTTTATTACAGTTTATGCCGCGTAACATGACTTTGCACTGTAACCGACCTACAGACTATAGTTTTATATAATGTAATGAAACAACGATTACCATTATAGTTCAACTTGTAACCTATACAACAAAAAACATTCACATACAATTCTTGGTAATCTAATTCAGTTTCCTTTCTAGTAGGAACACAATACCGCTGTTGTCAGTTTGCTAGGTAAGGTCAATAAATGATAAGAGTTACGTTTAATTCATCAATATTATTTTTATACTTTTCCCTACAGTGTGTACCTACATATTTTGAGTTGATGAACGTTAATCTTTCTAAAACAAGGTTTAATTTAGATTGAATGGGAAATAGTTTTCGCCCTGTAACTTGTAAAAGAAACTTCTAAACAACTTATTTAGAAATCCTCACCTGTGTTGTAGTGCGACTAATCCTAGACATATGACCTGTGGAATGTCGACCTGAGTGGGCCAGTCGCCGGTGCTGATGGCTCCGAAAACTCCGCACTCGTGGGTCAAACCTGCAACAGATGGCATTCATTAGATAACATAGCTTCAAGCTTATTTTGTAAGGGGTGTAAAAGATGTGTCTTTTTAGGATAAAGTAGAGAAGAAGAAGTAGAAGTCTGTAAGAGAAGAAGAAGTATGTATTAATTTTTATCTGTTACCGAGGGTCGAGCTTTCGCAGTATTTTTTGCCAAAAGAATTTCTCAGACGGGCAAACTATTATTGAGTTCTTTTTTCTTTTTTTTACTACTCCCTAAAGGCCCACTGCTGAGCCAAGGCCTCCCCATCTCGCTTCAACACCTCCCGATCTTTCGACCGTGTTCACCAGTCTCGACGGTAGGCGTCGTTTTTCGATTACAATCTGAAACTCCTCCTTTCGAGGAAAAAATTCACAGACTTCGTGTATCTAACATACAGTACTATTCATATAACTTAGTCTAAATATAGAGGCTGAACCAAGACCAGTGTCACGGAGTAACCCCAGATATCATGCTCACCCATCATTCTTACAACTTCTCAAACAAGACAGTAACAATACGACAACCCCACAGAAACAAATATTGTGTAATTAATTTCAAATTCTTGTGTAATCTTCATTCAATTATCAATATCTTAAGTCTTGAAACAATATTTAATTTGAATTACAAATGAACACAGCCATTCTTATCTTTCTATTTATTTTTTAATTACAAGTTCAATATAATCTTTCGTGATCATGCTATTACATAACCCCGGTTCATATTGACCCATTTTTCCGGTAACAGTAATTAAATTAAAAGAGAATCAATCTATGCTAAAATTAATTATTTCACAGATACAGAAAGACTTATCTTATTATAAAATGTTAATGAATGAATCTAATTAAAATTGTGCGTAGGTTATCAGTTTTTTGGAAAATTTGCAAGTGGTTATGAACTCTATATGAATTGAACTTAAATTTTAATTTCAATGACACATAGGTATGATAAGTAAATAAAGTAGTACATATTTGTATATGAGTAAACAATTTGGGGCTTGTATAAGTAAGTATAAGAATCATCAACTGAGATTTGTTAAAGGCCTAATTTATTCAACAGATCCTTTTCAGTAGTATTTTTTGGACTTGACGGCATCAGTACTGGCATAATGGCACAAATGTGTTTATTTTCTAATTTAGCAGCATAGCATACCTTTTACAAGGGAAATATCATCTCATTACTCATCATTTGCCCAGCATACAATACTTTGTTAGATAAATCATTTTCATTAATGAAGTCCAAGAAGGAGGAGGAAGTATGGGCGGGGAAATCATCAAATGACTTCTGCCCTGGGTGACGCGACAGGGAGTGTCAGACTATTACTGACTAAAAACTACCCTGCTCCTTATCTGGATCCAAGCAGAGGCCACGTTACACTATTGCATTTGCCCCGCAACCCCGGCTGAGCATTGAACAGCAGCGATACATTAATATCGTGTGTATTAATTGGAAGTCTACATATTTATAAATACACTTGCAATAATATATCTTAACGCCTGCTCGGACCAGGTGAAGGAGCGGTGGTATTTAGTCAGCAAGAATATGACACTAATTCTCGGCTCACCCAGGAGGAGAGTTACACTCCCTCCCGCCCAGGGCCGAGCGGGAGGGAGTGTGACTCTCCTCCTGTTCCTTCTCCTGCTCTGGGCCGAGGTCGCGGTGCCTCAGTAGTGATTTGATGATTTTTTCCTTACAAAAAAAAACCCAGGGCAGGAGTCGTATAATAATGGCGCCCAAAGTGAATTCTTTCTTGGACTTCATAAATGAAAATGATTCAACGAACTACGAATTTCATGCTAATACTTTGTTCGCTTCTACTCTAATCAATAATTCAACAACACTTTCTATTATGTCCATAATCACGAGCCAATCATATGACTTTCTTATATCAATTAGAATCATAGGACATGTGGCAGTGGTCCTTATCGTCACAATACCGATCGTATGGCATGACCTCTATAGTTTCATCAACTATGATAATACGACCGTCTACTCGATAACACGGAAACTGTTAGTTCCGAATATTATCTGAAGTTGTTCTATTTGTTTTTTGTGTGTGGAATAATACATTAGATTATACTACGACGAGATAATTTTCTGTCAATGGTACTACTACGTATGAGGAAGTGCTGCTGATCGAAGGACCAATTTTGGTCCTTTGGGTCTTATGCAGGAAATATTATACGGCCTCTTCAATGAGCTTACCAAAGCTAGATTATATATCTTAAAAAAACTTAAAGTACCGAAAAACAATGACCTTCTTTACTTTTTGTTATCAAAGTATTAGGCCAGTAAACTTCCCTAACCTAACTGATATTTTTGCAGTATCAAATCTGTTAACTTAAAACATTATTAAAGCCAAAAAGATGTCACGCGATTTCTTTTTATAAATAAACAAAAAATATGGCGTAACTGAATACTTAATCGCGGAGACGTTTCAGGCCGATTATTCCGATACCTAATTTGAAATCAACAATGGCAATGCGACACAGTTTATTTATTATTGTTTACCGTAGCAAATGAAGCTGAAATATTTGTTAAACAATACTATCGTAATAACAATCTAAGGACTTTGTTCTTAAATCTCCAATTTCAATTTTATTATGCCAGCATTCTTAACCTACTGTTAGTGGGCAGACGGATTACCTGATGGTAAGCAATTGGCGTCTCCCATGGACTGCATAACACCAAAGGAGTTACAGCAAGTTCATTGCCGGCCTCTTGTTGATTAGGTATGAGGGATTAAAGTAACCGGTATTTGAGCACGAGAATAGGGGGGTTTTTTTTTTTTTTTTTTTTTTTTTGTGAGGGGAAAATCATCAAATGACTTCTCCCGCCCAGGGCCGGGCAGGAGGGAGTGTCAGACTCTTACTGACTAAAAACCCCCCTGTTCCTTCTCCTGCTCTGTGCCGAGGTCGCGGTACCTTATTGCGCTTACCCCGCAACCCCGGCTGAACATCAGCCCTTTAGGGCCCCGTCTGTGGTGGTCTATTGGCTCTTTGAGGCGCGCGCGGAACGCTACGCGCCGTACGCTCGGGCCTGGTTCTGGTCGGGCGGCGAGCTGCCCTTACTCGCCGACCGCAGGCCCGTACTTACGGTGGCCGGAGATCGTCCCTCGATCCCCGACGCCCGTAGTGTCGCCAGTTGCGGCTGCTGGGGCGTGAGGAGGAGGATTGCTCCCTCACGCGGGCCGCCTCTCTCTTTGCGAGCATGACTGCTTCACAAAAGGAGGAGACGGCGTCCCAGTTCCTCTCACTCCGCACCATGGCCTCGACTAAGGCCGGGCGCGAGAGGTCGCCGCCGCCGATCACTTCCCTGAGGATACGGCGGTGCTCAGCCCAGGCAGGGCATACCGCTACCGTATGCTCCACCGTATCCTCTAGGTGGTCCTCACAATGACGACACTCGGGCGTTTCCTCCCGCTGAATCCGAAACAGGAACCTACCGAAGCTGCCGTGCCCGGTAAGCACCTGCGTCAGACGGAAGGTGAGGGCGCCGTGGCGTCTCTCAAGCCACTCCTCAAAGAGGGGTCTTACCGCTGCTATGGTAGCGTGCCCGGCCCTCGGTTGCGACAGTCGTTGTCTCCACTCTGCCGTGAGATCTCGCCGGAGCTCATTCCGCCACGCACTTATTTGGCGCGGCAGAGGATCTTCGCCCCGGCGACGCGCGTCTGCGCGCAAACTGTAGACGCGCGCGAGCGCCTTCGCTTCTAGATCCCACGGCGGTGATCCGGCAAGGAGGTTCGCCGCCTCCCCGGAGATCGTGCGATACCCGCGGATTACTCGTATAGCCATGACCCTCTGGGACGCGACCAGCGTACGAGCCGGCCGCCGCTTCAAGTCCGGCGCCCACACAGGGGCACCGTAGAGGGCCATGGATCGCACAATCCCCAGAATAGGGGGGGTAAGGATCGGATTTAACCACAATCAAATGGCGAAATACAACGAAAGTATTGCTTCACGCCGATGTTTATTAAAACTAGTCCTCAATTCTTATAATATTTACAATAAAAAAAAAGTATTCATTAGTGCAGTCTGAGGCATAATCCAAAGCCCTGGAAAACGATAGTAAACGCATACGAAAATCCTATTCGCCTTTTCTTTAAAGTCCAACGGATCGATCCTTCAAATACCCTAATCCCTAACAACGCACAAAAGGCCGGCACTCATAACTCTGGTGTAGCGGGTGCCTGATTCTTGCTTACCATCAGGTGATCCGTCAGCTCATTGGTCAACCTACATAGTAAAAAAAGTGGGATTCCATATCCCACTTTCTTTCCACACAGTCTTTTCTTCTTTATAACTTGTATTGGTGCAACTGTATGAGACAAGAACACTAGATAACTTTAAATCTATCGAAAAATATCATTTGGTCGTAGGTACTGCTTCGATAGCCCATGTAACAGTCATTTTAACTTACCACAAAATACAGAATAACACATTCATCATTTCTGAATTGATATATTTTAGAAAATTACTTAATTAATATTTACTATTTACTTGAGTTGATTTTAATAGGATACCAGTTAACTCAAGGTAGTATTGATAAAGGGTCTCTACTGAAGGGGAACTTGATAACATCGTAGATGACAAAGACCTTCGGTATTCGTTGTAGAATTATTTTATATTGTTTGTGAACCTAAGTAAGTAAGTAGGTTTGTAACGTGGCTATCATCTCGGTTAAGAGCTAAGAATCATTCGATCACGAATAATCAATCACAGTTAGTATTCTTCTTCTTTGCATTACTCTTTCTCTTTCTTTTTAAAAACATTGCCCTACACTAAGTTTTTCTCCCTTGTCATGGGTGTGTTTACAAACGTAGTTTCACATACACAACACACCCAGATCCGGAACAATAATGTATGGATCACACAGTGTTGTTCCGTGCGGGAATCGAAACCGCGACATGTTTCGCGGCAGCCAGTTGCCCAGCCACCGCGCCAACCGTCAGTCAAATATATTTTAGAGGTATGAGGAACAGGGTGGAAAGTTCCTCATCCTCCATTGAAAAGGGAGGATCCTCCGACCAGGCGAGGTGTTCGTGCCTGGTGGGCTACTGCCCGACTGTTGTTGTCGGGATTTTGTATATGTTCTAATTGCGATGAGAACTTTTATAGCGCGATGTAGACTCTTGTACGTGATTGGTGCTATTGTTCTTGTTGTGCGATAGATGTCGCTACACCACTCCCCTCCGAGACCGGAGGTCGTCAGCTGGTTGAGTCGTCTGTAAGATGCTTGTCGAGCCAGTGGATGGTTCCAGTGAGTCGGAACTGATGCCGCATAGTTCACGGTGAGTCGGAACTGTCTGCGGTGATGCCCCAGTGAGTCGGGGTGATGATGCATATTAGCTCCAGTGAGTCGGAGAGATGCATTGCTGCAGATGTCCCAGTGAGTCGGGGTGATGCAGTGCTGAAGAGTGGCTGGCTGCTGCGTCGACCAGGAGAGGGAGTACGTCTCTGCTTGCTGACCGGCCGAAGTGCAGTGTGCTGTGCCGAAGTTGCTGTAGGTGCTGACCAGGAATGCGCGTCGGCTGCATGCTGGTGGTCAGGGAACCCGTTGTAGCCGTGGAAGCTGGCTGACTGTAGACTCGCTGCTTGAAAGCTCGAGGAAGTGATGACGTCATGGCTATGAAGTAGTTGCACGAAGGCTGCTTGATGTTCATGTTCGGGGTCACCAGTTTAGAGGTATGAGGAACAGGGTGGAAAGTTCCTCATCCTCCATTGAAAAGGGAGGATCCTCCGACCGGGCGAGGTGTTCGTGCCTGGTGGGCTACTGCCCGACTGTTGTTGTCGGGATTTTGTATATGTTCTAATTGCGATGAGAACTTTTATAGCGCGATGTAGACTCTTGTACGTGATTGGTGCTATTGTTCTTGTTGTGCGATAGATGTCGCTACAATATTTTATTTGACATCTAGGTATTTCTATGTACCTGTTCTCTAACTACTCGGCCAGATACAACAGAAAATCGTATTCTTAGATCTACAGTTATTTATGGCATACCAGAGCTTATGGAACAAAAAACTTCAATTATTGTGGTGAAAATTGCTTCACATTTTTATGGCATTCTCAGCAATATCGTCTACGTCATATCAGCAAATATCTGAAGGTGTCCACTGGGAAACATACATTTAAACATATCCCCTTAAACACTTAGCTATCCTTCCTAGTATAGTCCTAGAATAGTTACTACTAGCTAGACAGCTAGCCTCGTAACGCTTTTTTCATAGATACATTTTATAAGTATTGACATCAGAATAGATTAAGTCATATACCTAATAATTTAGTAATTATAGTTTGTCTCAACATGGTCAAATGAAGCTATGACTGCGCAGGATCCCTCCCTACTCATTGCTTAGTAAAATTAAAATTTATCTGCGCAGTACTTGACAAACCTGTGTACTAAACTTATTTAATATGTGCTGTAAATATGATACCACGTGAAAAACAGAACGACATATGGAAGAGTCATAAAAGAAAATAAATACACATGTGTATAGTTGAACTGTCCACCTAAGACAAGGAAAATAACATAATATTTTAATAGTGCATACGTTTCTTCATGATATTGTGGATTTTTATATCAGATTTCGGTTTGTTGATCTACAAGAAATAGACACTAGATTTATTGACCTGGTCCTGGGGCCTGAGATCCTATTGAACTTTCTTTAAGTCATTGACTGCAAGCGTAGCGAACATGGCGTCCCTGTTGTAGTCAACGTGTTAACTATAATAATTTAAATATTATTGTCATATTTCTACAAATTTCGTAATAAAAATACCTACTCAAAAATATGACTAAATTATGCTCAATCCATTTTTGAAACTGCTATAGCATACCAACTTATTTCCCGCATTTCAGAATTTAATTAGAAGTCCTTGTAACTGAGAATATGAAGACTCTTTAGAAGTAGCTTGTAGTATAATTATTGCATACGAAATGTGAGCGAAAAAAAAAACAAACCTGATTCCACAGCTCCTCTTCCCAACCTCCTGCTGTTCACCTTGACTTCGCCAGCAGTCCTGGCTTCACAGCCAGGAGTTTCTTCCATTCCTAAACGCTCCATGGCTGCTTGTGTGTTGTTCAGATCCTTGCATCCATCATCACAGCATCGAGATGGTCCTTCGGGACCGTTCATGTTATTTCTGAAAGGACCAGATCGAAATTTTGAGTCCTAGCGTCCTAGTGGTTAGGTATTTTTTAAACTTTAGTTGAAAATTCAGAATATATAATAAAAATATATAAAAAGACAAGAAGTGCACTTATACCCAGGTAAAATTGATTGGTACAGCTAAATTGTCAACGTTCATACTCTTAAAATAATTAATAAATAAGAAACTAGATAATATTTAATAAATAAGCTCTAGGTATCTCCGTTCCACAAAAAGAAACTCACGTGCAACTGTCACTAAGCGACAATAAGATTTAAAAAATAAATATTTTTTTTATTTAAATATAAACAAACACAGAGGTCACTAATTGTTCTGACCGCACGAAATCACACAGCGGCGTTGGAAACTAAACTAAGCAGACTCCTTAAACACTTTAGATTATAAGCGGCTCGGTACAACATACAAACAAGTTTTTAATGACAATAACATACAATTGCTCGATAATAAAACAAAAACATGAGCTAAATTAACAATCGACTAAATGACCAATACTTTTGCTTCACAACACGAAGACGTTCCGATTTAAATGTGTGACGTCAAGGGTTTGTTTAAATAATATATTTGACGTCATACGATATTGGGATAGCGATAAATTGACCGAGATAATGTTACCAACCGCTTTATTCACAATAATAGTTAATTTCATCAAAATATTATTTGCGCAGCTTCTTAGCTTCTGGGTCAAAGGGTGAGGGAAGTGGGACAATTGGCCAAAAAAAAACTATATATTACGTCTTTTTTTCTTTTGATACTCAAATTAGGAAGTGATATTACCATTACTTAGATATTAACGTTACAAAACGGATATATTAGGGTGCAAAATAGTCACAAACTAAGATTCGTTGTTAGGTAAAAGTTGTCGGAAGGGAAAAGTGCAACTAACTGTAGCCTAGATGTCTGCTAACTCCCCTCCACCAGTTGGGATGAGTGGCATGCCATATTGCCATATTTCAACGTTCATCGCTCCACATCACAAGTAAACAAGACGTCAATCAGAGCAGTCAACAATCGAAATCGCGTGATTGACACCATTTTTGCGCGTACCGTCCGCAAAAGAGACTCAACATATGCACTAGGTAATTAGGAAAGGTACTTGACTCATTTGAAATAGTGTCAATATTCTCATGAACAGTTTTAATGAATAATTTCCTATAGATTGGTCGATACGGAGGTTAAATGGTCGACTAACCAGTTTACTGTCGGTCACACATCTTGTTCCAGATTAAGTATCTAAGCAGTCCCAGGAGTTGCGTGTATAGCATAAAAACAAAATTAGGTTCTGACTCTGCAATTTCTGATTGCGATAATTTCGTTTCGTCTCATTACATTACAAAAAATCTAATTTGGCGACAAAACAAAAAATTGCAAGACATCCACAGCTTGCGTTACAAGCGTTATCGAAAAGACAAAAATGATGAAACTTTCGACAAATAAAATAAGTAGAAAATAACAAACATTAAATATAGATCGAGTTTGTGATTCTGTACATGGTTATAAACATTAGCAATATGCTATGAATGTGTCGTCATTACAAAAGACGCTTGACTCGTAGGGGGTCAGTTATCTTGTGACTTGTACATTTCCACGAGGGGGAGCAATAAACAAGCTGACGATAAGATTATTGGAAATTAACACAACATTAATAATTGTGATGATGACAGTGCCTCACTATATTTAGTAGAGTCTGGTGCAATAAAAAACATCGCTTAGCGCTGTATTATTTTTGTCGTACGATTTGTGATAGGTGTAATCACGTTGACCTGTGCAATTATTGGATAAACGGGTCTCGACTCTTCTTTTGTAAACTTTGCCACTATAAATATACACTTTAGATATCGAAGCTTTGATAAATACTTATAGTCACGAGGGGAATTACTTTTAATTGAAGCAGCTGAGTCTGATTAGTGGTTTAAATGGATGTGATGAATAGAATATGACAGATAACAGTGTGTTTTTATGGTGCGGCTTGCATTTCTTTTACTAGTCCTTCGATACGTAGATTGTCTTACAGTTCTATAATTTAAATTTTCAATTTGACTTTGACTTTTAATATATAGTTATAGAAAAACCCATACGGCATAATTTTAGATATTAGTCAACTTTGGAAAAGCCACAATGGTTTTCTATTACATTATTTTAGTTTCTGAATATTTCGATCTAATATCTATTAAATAGAAAAACAGATCGCTGCTGTTTAATAGGCGTTATTAATAGTACAAAACTACTGCGAAAATAATTTGTTATGATACGGTATTTAACAGTTCAAATCATTGTCACATTCAATCGATTAAGTATCGATCGATCGAATCGAATAATAATATCAATCAAGTCAGCTAACTAGACAACGAGTTTTATCCGGAAATGCCTGCTATTTTCTAATATCTGTTACTGTAACTGTTACAACAGACAGACAGTATCAATGTAGCTGATTATATTTCTAATGTGTAGCAATATCAACTTACATAATTGCTTGCGGCTGTATAATTTATGATGTAATTATAGGTACTACCTACTGGTCGGGACTGGTTGAGTAATTTGTTTTTCAATAAGAAAATTTGCGACTCAATTGATATTATTTATTGCAACTGCAAATTTACTTACTATGTAGGTATCTAACTATCACCTAAGTTATTTACGAGTCTAAATGCATTCATTTGACAGAAACGTTTTCCTTATAAAAGGACCAAAAACATTGTTTTTATATTTGTGATATGATTTAGTAATGCGCTAACTATAACACATGTAGATACATGTATACACAAAACGTACGTACTTTTTGCTTATAACTGTTTAGTTTTGAAGAAAAAATCTAATTCTAAACCTCCTGAAATTGAAAGCAAAGTTATCGTGCCCCGCATACTGCTCTTGAATATGAGTCCCAGCGTGATTTAATTTAATTTAGTATGTCTCACAGTAAGTATTACGACCTGTTTAGATCGTCTTTGAGACTTACTATCTCTGAGACAAAACGGTTAACGACCCCGTGATTGTTATTTTCCATGGAAACATTACTAATTAGTAATTACTACGAACTCAACCTGATAGTTACGGCTAATTTTTATACCTGGACGATTAGTAAGTGGAAATGTTTAACTACAATAATATTCTAGGTACCGTTATTATAAAGAAGCAGGCAATGGCTGCCTGCGAAGGGATGTTATTCATGAGTTGTAAGTCTAGAATAGAAGACGGAAAGTGGTTGCTAGCTAATTATTAAAAACTAGCTGCCCGCCCCCGCTTCGCACGGGTCCAACTATATCGCTATCAATGGGTCACATTTTCCTTATTTTCTCCTCTACTTTTCTAATATTTTCTTTGATAAGAACCTTTTCTTGACAATAAAAAACACAACAAAAAAGAATTAGAAAAATAAAATTTGTCCAGGCTTTTTGTTGAGTTATGCGCTTACCAACACATTTTGCAATCCATTTTTATATATAAAAAGAATTTCCATTTTTATATATAAATTGTAATCCGCAATAAATAATTGTAATGTAAATATTTCAATGTGAGGCAAGATAAATGTGTATCGAACCTTTATGTAGGAAGATGGGACCAAAAGGACCAGATCACTATATTTATAAGAATTTCATACCGCACGATTCACACCTCCGATTTTGACATGGGACAAATTCCAGATATAAATGTATGAATGATGAAATTGAATAATATATAAATTTTATGTAGATAAATTATATATTCACGTACTAAGGTAGAATCCATAAAAGTTATTTTTATGAGTGACGATTTTTTATTGTTGGGAATAAGGAAAATAATAAATATATTATACATACATACATACGGTTGGATACATTTGTACTATTTGTATGAGTCGAAATAAAAGGTAGTTCTAACTATATCTGTATTTTCTAATTTAGAGATAATAATATCAGGACACGATTCTTTAATATGAGTCTAGAATGGCTAGCCACACTAAAAAATCTTTGTCGTCTTTTATAATAAAAACAATTTGTACCTATGCTTCTAAATTCAAATGTTGGCGACCTACGCAGATTCTACAAAAGCATTCAATATTTATAATATATTTTTTTTATTCGTAAAGGGCGTTTCCCCACCCTATTATTATCTCTTGTATCGTGGATGCGTTTACAATCAAACACGTTCACAAACACATCACACCCAAACCCGGAACAACAATCTGTGGATCACTCAAAAAGTTGTTCCATGCGGAAATCGAACACTACGTCAAAATATGATTACCTAGTTACACAACTACTCCAATTATGCAGCTAGTGGTACCTACCTGCTTAAAGGAACCTAAGCGGTCAGGCATACCTAAATATTTCTTATAATAGCAATAAAAAATTAAAAACCTTCAACGCAAACTTTATCCAAGGATTATTTAAATTATTATTATTATTTGGCGACAAAAAGTATCTTACTAAGTAGTATGTAAGTATTTTAATATTCGCAAACATCACATACGCACGCGATTTTGCGATGACGTAAGATTTGAACGTAGATGGAGTGCGTATCGCAACTTATTTGTACCCAAAGACAAGAAGAAGGCCTTGATTGGACAATCAAGTGTCATAAGCCAGATAAGGAATGATCTACATACGTACTTCTGAAATTCTTACATATATGTATGTAAGAACATTTTGGCTCCTAAGGTCATTTTTTTGTTTGATAATTATTTTCAAAGTAGACTATTGATATTCAAATATTGCCAAAATATTATAAAATTTTTAAGCAATAGAAAATCTTTAACTTGTTAATGGCCACGGAGGTCACCGGTGAACAACAGTAGCAGTGGATATGCTTTCAATAATTTTATGTGGGCAGTGAAAGGCTTAAAAAAATTACAAAAATAAATATTCAGTACCAATTCGGTCCTTATGATAATCAAATAAAAACATATCAATTATCTTTATTAAAATGAAGTAATTAATAGAAAACATTATCTTTAGACGGAACTATCATAAGGAATAAATAGTACTTTTAATATTTGTATAGTTCAAACATCATTTAGTAAAAAAACATGTTATCCTACAATAAAGTATAGGGTCACAAAGACAATGTACCAACAACCTCTTTGATTATAGCAAATAGTTCTAAGGCCATATCTTATTTGCATTGTAAATAACAAGATTGGCGCTAATAGTATTATTTTCTTTAATATCTTTATAGCATGAACCTAATGATAGTCAGGCCAAGCAATAAGTAGGCCAATAACACTGGTCTAGCTATTTGCTGCAGCCTATAGTACACTTGATAAAATGATGACATAACAGAATCAATTCCAATTATAAATTTGAATAAAATCTTTTTTTTTAATTCATTTTGTATTTGGAATTTAGTGCAACAACCAGCCTGGAATATTCATAGACAATTTGCGAAACAGGAAAGTAATGTGGGTCTGTCAGTATTGAATTGAAAATTTTTATCTCGGATAAACTGAACCTGTATGTACCAATTTTTTACTTAGATTTGTATGACCAGCTTTTTGGTCTATTCATGGACTATGTAAGGCTTATAAATAATAAAATTTATTGTTATTATTTAATTTGAAAATTATTATGTACCAAAGAATTTTGTATTACCGGTTGATGTTGTGGCGATAATAAAAAGATATAAAATATTTTACAGTCAGCAAAAATTAAAACCCTAACTCGAATAAAAGCCTTAAAATAAGTGGGCATGTGTTAAAAAGCTGTTCTTGTATTTATTATACAAAATATTGATACATTAAATTATTATATTTCTAGTATTTTTTAAATATTAGTTTTCAAAAAATACCATGGCTGTTTTTACCTTTACAAATAGTAAGAGAAATACCACAAAAAAGTAAGTTGAGACTATGACATCAAAGAATTTTTATCACAACAACATAGATCAAAATTTAGTATCTATTCTATTATATATATATTTTTTTATTCGAGGCCATATGACCTAACCTTGCTTTAAAATCACGGGTATATTCCCAATTGAACGACAATTGTGACAAATTAACATTACTACGATCACATGTCACAAAGCAATTCAAGACACACATTAATTTGCATGTAAAAAAATCACGTCGTAAATTATAACCATGTGGTACGCATAACATTCATAAATTTGATACTATAACCGAGCTAAGTTACAATGATCATTACAAACAAACAAAAGTTTTACAACTTTCCCGAGTTTAATTTCGTCGCTTAAATTGTAATGGCAACAGGTAAACGCACACCTGTTCTGATTATAAACATTAAATAGGTAAGTTTTATCAAATAAATCACTCACCTCACTTGGACGGACTACTTGAAAAAACAAGTTTGCGAAAAGAAGCACTGTATTTTTTATTCCTGAGTTATAGCAGCAGAGCGGCAACTTGTGAATTGCGAAGGAAGTCCAAAGAGTATGTAACCACTACGTTTAAGGAAGTCGTTTGAGGAAGTCGAGTAAATTGTACACAGACTCGCTCTGTATTCATTCATTTGTTTGAATTGGTTGACGTTAAGTGTGCGACAGGGACAGAGAATCAAGATACATTCCGAATGCTAGTTTAACATAGTAATTTTGAAACTTGATGCGTCAAATTCTACAAAAATATATAATTTTTACCTGAAAGACATATGATTATGAGCCACCAAATTTTTTCTACGAAATAAAGCAATCAACAAGTATATAAAAATGTACTAGCCCGAAAAATAACAAATCCGGAGTATTTATTAACTGATTCTATTTTAATAAATATTGTTGTTACATCAGGAGATAACGATTATTATCACAATTACCTTGAAAAGCACGTTATTCGCAATTTCTTAGCATTTTTAATTGCAGATATTAATAGAATTGATTAGTTAATTTATAAAAACATATTTTTTTTTGTATTAGAATGATAGAATTAGTTAGGCAAAATACCTGTAGACAAAAGTAGCCGAAGTAGGCTTCGGAACGCACACAAAGTCCTTAAATCTTGCATGTTTTGATACTTGAATAATTACAAAGAGGGACATATTCATTCAAAAAATTAAATGCATAGGCTTAGTGCACTAGTGGCCGAATTCTCTTTAAGTCATCCTAGGGGCCATTATCTATGAGTAGCAAACGACGTGGCAAGCAATGAGCAACCAACTCAGCGTTGTATCACGTTGGTTTTTGTGATGTCGTGATGTTATTCTAGTTTGGTCTGGTATTAACATAAGCTTTTCTGTAATATTTATCTTTTTTGTTTGATTGATGTAGTACACTGTACACACTGGATATGGGCATTTTCTGCCAGTTGAACCTTTGACGCAGAGAGGATTCGACGTAGATATGGAAAGAACCAAGAAAAACCATGTAATTACCTATATTTTATGGGTTTAGATAAATTTGATTCAAAAATAAATAAAAATCCATATACACTTCGGAATTAAACTTATATACAATATTTACATGTTCTACTTGTCTGACCAAGTACCTATCAGAAAATGCAGTTTAGTTGTTTTCTTAGGTATAAAATTATTGTATGCAATTCATTAACAACACGCAATTAAAATCTGTAAAGATATGAAAATAATGTTTTGATGTCAACTCAATTCTGAAAAATATTATGTTTACAAGTAAATGCATGTACTTATATAGTACGGATCAAGACGGCATAGTCGCACTACACCGCTTGTTATCAAACCGAGCCGGTTGTGTGCGTAACAAAGCACGTGGTGCACATCTCCGAACACAAAACTTTATAAAAGGCCCTCGCTGTGCCGTGGAACAAACGCGCGACCCATAGTCTTGCTATTCCCACACAGGAGTACTAGCGGTTCACAGAAAATGGCTCATCCAAAAGAAGGTAAATTTTTTATATTTACATTTCGAAACTTTACCACTCGGCTGTCAAAAGTAATGTAACCCGCCTAAATTCAAAAGTACCATAGACTAGGACATCAAGATTGAATAGTTTTCATTTGATTTTGTCGGCTTGTATTTTTTTTATTCATACAAACCAATTGGGTTTGTTCGGCCTTGACTATAAATTAAATGTTAGTTCTTTTTATTTAAATAACGTGTTAGTAGTTGTACAAGTTGTATTGTACGTATTATCTTTTTCATTTAATCCCATGCTTCATGTGATAGACAGAGCATCCTTCATAATCTTGATCCATAACTAAATAGATAAATGAGCGGGTAAAAGTGAACGTGTTCTATAAGACTACCCTCATAAACTGTAATATTTCCAATTCTTAGGTACATATTTATTTGTCGACGAATCTAAACTATAACTCATTGACTAACCTTCGAAAGTTAATTAACGTAATTAGATTCAGATACGTATTTATAACAATTCGTCACTTGCATAATACGGTATTACACTTAATGCGACTATAATATCCTACTATTTAGGTACATAAACATAATATAAGCACCACAAAAAACTGCATACGTATTTTAAATTAAAAGAATAAATAAATAATAGTTTAATTATTCTAATTAACTTGCCTAATTAGGTATTCAGTAGGTACTAGGTATCCTATTTATGTCTTCAAAGGTACCTAGGTATTTTTAGCACCTACAAGATGGCTGGGTACATTCTTTGTACATGCGTAATATAAATCGAAATAGGTGAAGAAAGTAAGTAGCTACAATATGTAGATTATATTTTTTTTATGGTATAGGTATGTCGGCATACGCGCAGACGGATTACCTGATGGTAAGCAATCGGCACCGCCCATGGACACCCGCAACACAAAGGAGTTACGAGTGCGTTGCCGGCCTTTTGGGGATAGGGGTTGCGGATATAAGGATCGGAATAGGATAAGGGAAGGGGCAGGATTGGGCCTCGGATAACCTCACTCACACAGCGAAACACTATGCTGTGGTTGTTTCACGCCGGTATTCTGTGAAGCCGTGGTATCACTCCGGTGTCTATCTATATACATCCGGTCTCTATACATATTACATCTACAGAAAGACCAAATAAAATTGGTCTCGGACATATAATCATTCTGTCTTTCATTTATTTCTTCTAAAGTGAGGTCAATTCGTATTAGAATAATGTTTCTTGTTCTTACTATACATATATATTCTGGTGGTCCTTCAGACTAAGTACTAGGGGATGCTGTAAGATAGCGCGCGAAATTTAAATATGTTTTATTTATTTATATATTATGTCAAAATCATTTATTCCAACTAAACCATAAATAGGTAAGTTTTGAAACGTCCAAAATGGTAATGGTAAAGACAGTCTGTCAGTCTGTTCGTCAGTGAAGCTAGGTGCTCAGTCTTCACTTTCAACCTGGTAATAGATATAAATAAAATGCTACACTTGCTCATTCCCGCATTATCTGGAAGCATTCCATTTTAATACCGAAGATTCCACTGGCAATCCATACCACGGCCACGTAGCCAACAAATCAAATCGCTGCTATTACCTTCACTATTGGATACGGATAAGGCTGTAGGCATTTCTCGTATTACAGTCTTCTCTGTCGTTTTGCTCTTGGCAGAGCGGTCGTGGTCACGTAGAAGCATCCACATCGGTGGTAGAGGCGAACACAACTCTCCGCACGATCTCCCGCCATCTCTCCCTGTTGGCAGACTGTCTGGTGCAGTCAGATACGCGCGTTCCTACTGCCGATTTAACCTGGTCAGTCCAACGCATAGGTGATCTGCCGCGTGGTCTTGTCCCTTCCACCTTTCCCTGAACGACCAGGCGCTCTATAGAATCGCTATCCCCTCTAGAGACGTATTACAGTAGTATACATAATATAGACGTCTCCAAGATCACAGAGTTCGTTATTCTAATCATTAGGTGTTTTTTTCAGTCGGTGGCTACAAGCTAGGAAAGCTCATCATCGAGGGCAAGACAAAGCAGGTTTTTGACCTGCCCGAGGTTCCTGGCCACTGTCTCCTACTGAACAAGGACCGCATCACCGCCGGAGACGGCGTGAAAGCCCATGACCTCGAAGGAAAAGCCGCTATCTCCAACCAGACCAATGCCAAAGTCTTCGATATTCTTAAATCTGCTGGTAAGAAGTTTGTCGATTTTATTGTTATGTTATGCAAGATTATTTAAGTTTATTATTTTTTACCAATTTTCTTTTCTACGAAAACTTTCAAACTTATTCATTTTAATGTTTAGGTAAACTGGCAAGCTTTTTTTCGACCTGGTTGCATGAAAGTTAATTGTTAAAAAAAACACATTTAGAACTTGTAGATAGATTGAAGAAAACTTTACCTTGGTATGTAAATTTGAATTGAGTAAATGCGTTTCAGGAGTAAAATAAAAATCGTTCAGTTTTTATACACCACAATCTGCCTTTTAACTCGGACTTACATACTCGATTTTATTTATTTTTATCAATCAATCATGAAATCTGTTGCCAGCACAAGAGTTTATATTATTTTTATCTTATTGAGATAAAAATACTAAATAAATCATCGTTAATTGGCAATGTTACTATCAAAACATCGCCTGTGGTCGCCGATATTTCGTCCAAGATTAGCTTGACGACCTGCCCTTCAATAGTGCGTCAGTTTATATCAAACTAAAGATACAGTCCGTCTTATTGTCTGTTATCAATGAGATAACTGGAATGGTCAAATAATAATGATGTAATATTACTTACTCAACTGACCAAAGTCGTCATTGAAAAATGACCCCTATGCCTGCTTGCTGAGAGCTGTTGTATTCTTAGCAACGAATGTCAATAATTTGATCGTTCGAAATAGATTTTATGAGGAAATAAATTTGTTTTTATTTTATTACGATTATAAAGTTATACTGACTGAGACACGCCTTTTACTAGGCTTATTTACTATGGAAATGGAAATAATAAAGGTGCCTGGGTATTATTAAGTAGGTAGGTAGTAACTTCAGCAAAGACAAACTAAGTGCTTTAAGGCTGATTGCTGTCAGTACTAACATTCTGATGCGACAGCATCATAATTATAGGTACCCCAGATAACTTTCACCTAACTGTTGAAAAATCAGCCCTAGAACTACCTACTTCCTACCCTATCATACATAACTAACTTTCAAGTTTGCTATAAAAATAGAATCTGTTGTGAGAGTTTGCATGTCAAATTATCACATTAAAACGGGTAGAGACATGAGGCAAAACCTACGAAAATACGTAGACATTATTACGCTGTTATTATTGTGACCCCCGGGACCCTGCGCAAGCGCAAACAACAACAGATTATCTTGTAACAGTTATGAAACATTGCCTTCTTTAGAGGTCATCTTCATAATATTTATGGACCCTCGTTATTATTATTTATTATCTATAACGAGCTTGTTTTTTTTTAAATAGAAAACAATTGGCTGCGTCATTGGACTCTATATGGATATACTTATACGTACCTACCTACTTATTCGTAGATCTTGATTTATACGCCAAAGACTGATAAATTAGCGTAGTTACCTAAATTAAATTGCTATTGAATTTATATGAAAGATTTTGTTTTAAACTATTTGATACCTATGATTCAGTTAGATCCAAAATTATTAGACAATTAGGTAGGTATGTATTTTTTGCGATGAATTACCTAGATTGCGGTGGTGAAATGAGACACTGGTTTTCTCTGCAGATTAAAAGTGCCTGAAAAGGGCTACTGATACCTACCTATTATCTACTGTGAAGAATGCTTCTGTATTTATACTTTATTAATTCTTTTTCACATTACTTAAACAAATAACTTGTCATATTTCCAGGAATCAACACAGCTTTTGTCAAAATCGCGTCACCGACAGCGTTCGTATCGAAAAAATGTGACATGATCCCCATTGAGTGGGTGACTCGGCGCCTAGCTACCGGATCCTTCTTGAAGAGGAATCCTGGAGTCCCAGAAGGCTTCAGATTCACTCCTCCAAAGCAAGAGACCTTCTTCAAAGATGATGCCAACCACGACCCTCAATGGTCTGAGGAGCAGATCGTGTCTGCCAAATTCCATATTAACGGACTTACTATTGGTAAGATCTCCCCTAATAAAGGTCCCATTCTGGCAGTAGTGGCCGATTAATTAAAATGAAAGGTGTGACTTCCAAAAAGTATGAACACTTTATGTTGTTTTAATTTTGCATTTGTACATAATTATAATGTTGTTTTAAGTTTGAGTCGTAAAGTGTCATCGCGCAATGTGATTAGAAATGACCTGATACGGATTTGCGGAAGCTATTAAAAGCAAAATACTTAGCCCTATCCGAGAATACAAAGTTTAGATTCTGCGCTTGACCATTACACTTGCTATCACTCCAGCAACAATACTTCACTAACGGATCAACCTTCTCTTATATGTATAATCCATGAAACCTCTTCAAATCCTCCAATTATCCTCAGGTCAAGATGAAGTGGACTACATGAGGAAGGCCACAATCTTGGTGTTCGAGATCTTAGAGAAGGCGTGGGCTCTGCGCGACTGTGCCCTCATTGACATGAAGATTGAATTCGGTGTTGACACTGAAGGTAAGCAAAAATGGGAATATATACTTACGTAATTTATGTTCATTTAACCATACTTAGTTGTAAGACAGCTAGCAGTAAAACTTTATTTTTTTATTAACATCATATTACTATTTATTTCTTCTTAAAAGGACGGGAAAAACACTTGTAACTCTTTTGGCGTTGCTATGGGCGGCGCGAATTACAGGTAGGTACCTACTATCAAGTGATCCGCGTGGTGGTTTGCTCCCTGTTTCCATAAAAAAACACTGTTCTAAAACTGATCAATTCTGTCAATTCGTCATTCATAAATTAAAGTAGATAAGGTCGGCATTTAATTATCAAACCTTACTTATTCAGGTAACATCCTATTGGCTGACGTCATTGACTCTGACTCCTGGAGGCTGTGGCCATCTGGTGATAAGAGGCTGATGGTGGACAAGCAGGTAACATATAGGAAACTGTTGGTTTTTTTATAACATGCTTCTTAACGATGAAATGTCTTAAATTGGATTTTAAAATGTATCAGTTATTCATCTTTCGACCTGGAACTCATTTCCAGACTTTGTGATAAGTAGTATAAGACATACCGACTTGATTCGATAAAAGAGACAGCCCTCTGCTGAGGATTGAACTAATTTATAGAATTAATTATTATGTTTTCGGCTTAGTACTCACGTAATAATTTGACGAGATACTCGACTAGACGAGTAGCAGCGCGACAGTCGCCGTCGCGTGTCGCGGAATGTAGCTCATGAACATGGGCCTCTAGCATGACTTGAAACTAGTCGAGTATCTCGTCAAATTATTACGTGAGTTAGCCGAAAACATAATAATTAATTTAGAATGTCTCACGAAAGTTATAATAAAAATAATTTATAGAATATTGTCAGCGTCCAATGTCCAATATAGGGTCTCAGCATTATGCTGAGCGAGGGTCGTTTCACGTAGGTGTGACGCATAGTTATGTACTTTATTCACCTATGTGCTTCGTAGTGTAGACGTTTATTGTCATTTTTTTAATTACAAAAACCTTTTGTTTGTCTATGTCTCATGCGCGTACAAAAATGTATATTTTTTTTTCTTTCTTTTTTTCAACATTCTTTCATTTCCTGATTCAAACAAAAGACGTCTTAATAAATGTACTTCGCACCCCAGGTGTACAGAAACCTGACCACAGTGACAGCAGCGGACTTGGACACAGTCAAGCGCAACTTCGGCTGGGTGAAGGACCAGCTCGACTTCCTCAAACCCAATGTACACCACAAGGTAGTCGTCTTCATGGGCTCTCCCGCCGACCAGGAACATTGCCAGAAAATCGCAAAAGGTACTTTGTGCTTTATTACTAAAGAAATTAAGGTCATTTTTTACTACTTATTCTAGAAATACCTTCGACCTTCTAGTTTAGAATAACTCGTATCTTCACAACAGGGCTGATAACCTCATCGCCATGGTCATAAAGGGTCATAACGACATAAAACGATTGCTTAAGTTTTTAAACTTTATTACAAAGGCATAAGATTAGAAACCTTTTAAAGACATTCCCGACTTCGCAGCCTACATTAATCGTTCCTATGTCAAGAGTCGAGACTACCGACTGTCTCTGGTTTCGTGATATGTGTGCCTATGATTTATTTTTTCCTATTTCCAACAATAAAAACACAATACAAGCATATTTTTTTGAATAGCAGAATATAAACTATCCTATACTTTCTTATAAGGAAATCACATCATGCGTAATAAGAATAACAGAATGAAACACCATTTGAATAAAATTGAAATAAAGACATAGAGACGATCTAGAACTATTATTATACTCACTGATTTCCTTCCTCAGCGGCTCGTGAGCTCGGCCTTAGTGTGGATCTCCGCGTGACATCAGCTCACAAGGCGACCGAGGAGACCCTGCGCATCATGCAGCAATACGAGGACACACACGGAGCCCTCGTCTTCATCGCAGTGGCCGGCCGCTCCAACGGCCTCGGACCCGTACTGTCTGGCAACACATCCTACCCCGTCATCAACTGCCCCCCACCTTCCGATAAAATGGTCCAGGTAAACTATTACTCTAATTAAAACATAGGTAGATTTGAGAACAAAGATTTTTTTGCGAATTTCAAAAGACAAAACTAAAGCTTTCATAAAAAAATTTGGCTTTCAAGTTGCAAAATAAGTTATTCTATGGATATAGAAAATATTGCAGTTAATTTACTAACTAATCATTCCTTTCCTGCAGGACATCTGGTCTTCTCTCTCCGTACCATCAGGCTTGGGTTGCGCAACAGTCATCTACCCCGACAGCGCTGCGCTAATGGCTGCGCAAATCATCGGTCTGCAAGACTACCTCGTGTGGGCCCGCCTTAGAGTCAAGCAGCTCCACATGGCCACAGCACTCAGACAGGCCGACCAAAAGCTCAGAAACCAAGTTTAAAAAAGAAAATGAATCTTTAAAACTCGAATATGTTTTTTTTGTAACTTTTTTTTTGCAGTATTTTGGGAAGTGTCCTATGTTGAGCAGTTTTGCTCTTACTTGTTACAATGTATTGAAAGCAAATGCTGCTACATTCCGTTATATTTTACTACTTATATGCTTAAAAATAAATTTAACATGAAATGTTTTTAATTTGGTTTTCATTGCTTCCTTACTAGCAGACCTGTTATTCCTATACACTTAAACGTGACTCAGAATATTGATTAAGCTTCAAGACTTTTATGAGATCTTACTTATGTAACAATTTGCTTTAAGCCCGTTAAAAGACTAACACCCGGTTTCTGAAAGGCTTGTCAATGCTACAATTAACTAATCTCCTGTTAAATCTCTTGTCAAGTCATCTGATTGGTTGTTGATAGTTCAGTCAACCAATCAGATGACTTGACAAGAGATTAAATTGATTTAAACATTGATCGGCTTTTCGGAAACCGGGTGTAAGTAGAGGTTGAAGCTCTGCTACTGATAATTATCTACAAAAATATTGCCCTGCCAGTTTTGGTTTGGTGAATTATGGCAGTGATGGGGTTTTTCATAATACTTTAGGGGTTGAGTGTTGAATGAAATACATAATAGAAGCATTTCAAGTAAGGGTAAATCAGCCCCTAAGTGCACTTGTAATAATTGCGTGAGAAACGTTTTTCCAAACTCCAACAAGCTTGTAAACTGAGAGACCGTAAGGGGTCTGCAGACGGGGAGCAAGGGTGGCTCGCCGCCCGACCAGAACCAGACTCTAAGAGCCAATAGACCACCACAGACGGGGCCCCATAGGGCAAATGTTTAGCCATGGCTGCGGGGTAAGCGCAATGAGGCACCGAGACCTCGGACCAGAGCAGGAAAAGGAACGGGGGTTTTTACTCAGTAAGAGTCTGACACTCTCTCCCGCCCGACCCTGGGTGGGAGGTGCCATTTGATGACTTGCCCCTCCCAAAAAACAAGCTTGTAAATAGTTATGTTATGAATCTTATGTAATAGAGAAAGAACCTACCGCCATACCCCATAAAACTGAAACAATTCCGAACCCCATGTTAATGTCCAAAAAACCTTAGAACCTTAATTGAATGGCCCATTGCCCGACCCGGGATCAAACCTAAGACTGAAGTCACTTTATAGTTATTCGACCTTTTTGCTTTATCTTATCTCCAACAAGTAAATAAGATCGACCCGAATCATTAGGTATGACATTTCATGTGTATGGAGTTGCAAGATTGCATGTATTGAAATTTTTTGACCTTGGCAATACTATAATTTAAATGTCGATGTCAGCTTTTTTGCAGAAGTGTTGTGCGAGTGCGTATTGTGGTGTTTTAAAAGTAAGGATACCTTTAAGATCTTTTCACACGTTCAAAATGGCAGATAAACCAACGGATTATTCGACTGCCAATGGTTTTGAGAGCAAAACTCCGTTCCTGATCGGTGTAGCAGGCGGTACTGCTAGTGGCAAGGTTAGTCAAACCCAATGTTTTGGTTCGCAATTTATCGATTTTCTTCCTTGAAATGTTTCTTACGTAATCAAGAATGGCAAAGCTTCATTATTCTTGTTGGAAATTCGGAATAATGGAGTTTGCACCTGTTTGAAAGTCAATAAGTCGTTACGGCATATATAACCTCTGTGTGCAAACCTCAATGAGGTATGGGAACAAATTCACACTGCCATTCTGCCATTGATAATGTAAACAAGAAAAGTATCGCTATGATAAAACTCATCATTTTATTTGTTTTTATAAATAATATAATTACACAATAAAATACAATATAAACCCAAAAAATATAGTATTCTTTAATTATTGGCATAATAATAATATTTCAATTAGATTAAAGTTGTCTAAAGGGCCTCTGCGCAGTTGGCTCCGGCCCCTCGTACGCCTTCCAAATGACCGGGACCCTGTGGTCCCGTGATTGGTAAAGACATACATAATAATAATGTTTATTCAGTAACTTAAAATTAGAAACATACATTACAACATGGAATACCCTTTTAAGCAAAGATATGCTTGTGTTAGGACATCCCGCTCCTCCACAAGTTTCACAATTTAAAAGAAACACAGTTAAAAAGAATAACTATACTATTCAGAGAAAAACCATTCACATCTTTTAAAACTCTACTATTACAATTTATATACTTGTATACTACAATTTATATATTTATATACTATAGTACTTACAACAAAATAGTCAATCCAAAGTTTATAAATCAATAAGAAGCAATACTTTTCTTTTAAATGATTTATTTTAAAATGAATTTATATTATGTATTTATACACAAATATGGAACCTTAATATCATTAAACGTAGCAGCTATTTGCCCAGCCACTTGAATTTACTCTGTGCTTATTATAAAGTAATGTCAATCTCAGATTCAATTCATCAAACTCCAAGCAATCACCGGCATTCACACACCATTGTTCTTCTATTGTGTCTCAAATTACCATAATTGAGAGGTTAAGATTGCTAACGCTACTAAATAACAGTGTATTTGGCTGTATATACACTTTATACATATTGTTGACATGTTTTTATAATAACTATCGTGAGACATTCTAAATTAACTAAAAATCGCGGGTTACTCACGTGTATATATTGAGAAAAGCGCAGCCTACAGTAGTAGTCAGTAGGCAGCGCGACGTCGCCGCGTCCGCGCACGCTGCTCATGAGGAAGAACCCCTCTGTGGTTCGAAACTAGTAGAGCTTTTCTCAATATATACACGTGAGTAACCCGCGATTTTTAGTTAATATTGTTGACATACTATTTAAATTGTAAATAAATAACAAACCCTATCCTCCTCTACTTTACTATACTTTAATTATATTCTTAAGATTATCCTGAATATAAATCAATATATGATTTAATCATCCAGTCAACAGTATGCCAACGCATCATGGAGAAATTAGGCCAACAGCACAAGGAGCAGACAGAACGCCGTGTAGTCTGCATCAGTCAGGATTCTTTCTACCGCACTCTCACTCCTTCAGAGAGGCTCCGAGCTGAACGAGGACAGTTTAACTTTGATCACCCTGATGCATTTGATGATAAGAAGCTGCTGGCTATACTGAAAGATATCCTAGCTGGCAAGAAGGTGGAGATTCCAGAGTATGATTACATCACTAACTCTATTAGGTTTGTTATACTTTGTTTAGTTTATCTATTTGTGTATGACAGCCTTAAAAAAACTTCAAGTGAATCAGTGAGGTGAGGTGAACCTCATCAGTCTAGTTCTAGTACTTAAATCAAATCACAGGATGATAACTGCTGAATGTGATATTTCAGTAACTTTTGAAATTGCCAACAGACAAGTTTATGTGAAAAATAATAATAATATTACAAGTACCGTTTGCAGTGTTCTTTATATTGAACAGTCATCAAAACTTGCTGTGTTGTGGCTAGTGTGGATATAGAAATTGTTATTAATAAACACCTTTCTTATATAGACAATAAGTCATATAGGAAAAATATTATGTGTGTCTGTAGGCTAGAATTATAATAAACCTTACATTTATGCTAATTTTAACCGATGTGCTTATTCTCACACTAGCCCACACCGGTCACATACAATCTACCCTGCTGATGTAGTGCTCATCGAAGGTATCCTGGTGTTCTACTTCCCTGAAGTGCGTGAATTGTTCCACATGAAGCTCTTCGTCGACACTGACTCTGACACCAGGCTCGCTAGGAGAGGTAAGTCCATTTTACAAATTACTGGCATTTTCTCCATAGACCTTTTCTATGTTGAAATCCTTTGTAATTTTAAGGAAAGACCCCTTTACAATGTTAAATCCAAAAGACAAATATAGTGTTGGACCCAATATTGCATCCTGGAGGACCCCACTTTTGTCACGTATATTGTTGTGGACATTTCTCACTTCTTCTCTGTTTTTATTTAAATAAAAAAAACGTTGCTTAAACTAGGATTTTCTCCTTTGTCGTGGATCAACACAACAAACAGAGCCGGAACAACAATTTTTGATCATACAAAGAGTTGTTGCGTGCGGTTGAATCAGAGCCGCGATAGTTGCGCGGCAGCCAGTTGCCCAGACACCGCGCCAACCGTGCAGTCATCATTCCAGCCTTAGTTTGAGATATACATAGTATATGTTTAATTGCAGTGCCCCGGGACATAATGGAGCGCGGCCGTGACCTGGAACAAGTATTGAACCAATACATGAACTTTGTCAAACCGGCGTTTGAGGAGTTCTGCTTACCGGTAAGTTAATATTTATTCCTGTATGATGCTTGGGAACTTATTACTATTTTGCGCACAAAAACGACTGAAAGAATCTGAACGTTTGGCAGATAGGTACAAAATTTTATAATTTACAACCCCAAACCCTGAGGAGACATTTTCAGGTATATTTTTCTTTTTTAATTGTAATGTTATAATCGCCATTTTAGGTTCAAAGTTATATATTGTTATATAATAAAGAGGTAAAATTTGTAAGTTTGTATGTTGGAAGTTAAATGTTCGATTTGTTCCATTCCCAAAATTATTTCATGGGTAGATAGCTACAGTGTCTGAGTGCTGTAAACTATAAATTATACTTGATTTGCGTATTTCAGTCGAGCTATTACTTTAAACGCTGCAGTTTTTAATTCCGGGAAACATTACTTTTATAGGCGTGCGAAGCCGCTGGCGGAAGCTAGTTACATAATAATGTAGGTATGGCACATTAGGAAATACCTTAAAATGACAAAGACGGAAATATATCGTACCTTTTGCCATAATTCAAACTATTGCCGCCTTTAGAACAATCCCAATTAAGAACAAATGACGTCAGCCCCGAAATGACAAAGATAGAAATATATATTAACTAAAATTCGCGGGTTACTCACGTGTAAATGTTGAGAAAAGCTCTACTAGTTTCGAACCACAGAGGGGTTCTTCCTTCACCCCTCTGTGGTTCGAAACTAGTAGAGCTTTTCTCAACATTTACACGTGAGTAACCCGCGAATTTTAGTTAATTTAGTATGTCTCACGATAGTTATTATAAAAACACAGAAATATATATCGCACTTTTTCTATAATCCAAGCTATTGTCGCCTTTAGAACAATCGAAACTAAAAACAAATGACACGTCAATGACGTCAGACCCAAAATGACAAGGATGGAAATATATCCTACTTCTTCATTCTCCAAATTATTGCCGCCTTTAGAAAAATCGAAACTAAAAACAAATGACACGTCAATGACGTCAGACCCGAAATGACAAGGATGGAAATATATCGTACCTTTTTTCTTAATCCAGATTATTGCCGCCTTTAGTACATTGCGAAGAAAAACAAAAGACACGTCAATGACGTCAGACCCGATATGACAAGGATGGAAATATAGCTTATTCTTTCTAAATCCAATTATGACCCGTCTTTCGTTTATTAGAATAATTTGTATTAAAAAAAATCTTGCCTCATGTTTGTACAAAAGAAAAGTAAAATTCGTTTTAAAATAAATTGATGAAAACGGATAATAATTTTTTTCGTGTTTCTTATTTTAATGTAGGTACTAGATTTCTACATTAAAGAAAAAAAACCGTAGATTGACCGGAATCATTGGATATATTAATTCTGGGATGGACTACTAGTTTCGTATATTTCCATGTACTCTTTTAAATACTTTTAATATTATAACTGACACTATTTGACTGCACGGTTGGCGCGGTGGCTGGCCAACTGGCTGCCGCGCAACGTGTCTAGGGTTCGATTCCCGCACGAAACAACTCTTTGTGTGATCCACAGATTGTTGTTCCGGGTCTGGGTGTGATGTGCTTGTGAAATTGTATGTTTGTAAACGCACCCACGACACAGGAGAAAATCTAAATGTGGGGCAACGTTTTTTAAAATAAAGAAAATATTATTTTATCTAGTTGTCCATTCGATTGCTATTGACTAGTACCTAACAGTTGTTTGTTGTTGAAATGCGAAATCTTCTATCGCAATCTTAATCTTGTTAGCTTTATAGTAGCTTAGTCTGTAGAGTTTGTTTGTTTGAACGAACTAATCTCCGGAACTACTGGTTCAATTTAACAATCCTTTTTGTGTTTGTTAGTCCTTTTATCGAGGAAGGGTATAGGCTATAAAATATCACGCTATGATCTGTAGGACCCCCAGCAGCCGTTGAGCCGCGCGACCGTAACTAGTAAATTTTAAAATGCATTCCAATAATAATTATTGTGGTGGCTCGAATGTTAAAGCGCATGCTTCTCATGCATAAGGAGGGTTCAAATCCTGGCATGTAACAATGTGACTTTTTCCGAGTTATATATACTTTCTAAGTTCATTAAGACACCACAAACATACAGTGAAGGAAAACATTGTGAGGAAACTTGGACTTAGGTATAATTTCTAATTATTATTCTTAGTTTGAAATCGCCAATACGCCTTGAGCAAGCATGGTGATTAATGCTCGGGTGCAGCGGGCACATCATAAAGGTTGATGATGTTGATTCCAAACAGTAGTGCTCGTATTACGTTATTGAGACGACATACAATGGCCTTATTTCTCAATAATTGTTTACAGACCAAGAAGTTTGCTGACGTCATCATTCCGAGGGGAGCCGACAATCTAGGTAGGTTGAATAACACGTTATCATTATGCTTGGGCCACACTAACTGGAAATGCCATTAAATATTCGCGATAATGGACGGGTAATCGTAGATGTAATTTGATCACTAAACAAATTATTTAAGGTATATTTTTCATTGTTCAATATCATCAATTTTCCGGATAACTGTTGGTATTTACCGTCAGTGTGGCCTAAGCATTACTGTAGGTTTACTTATCTTAGAAAATTGAATTAAAAAAGAATTGAAGCGTCTGTTTCGGTTTCGAAATTTAAATATAGAAAGTTACAAATTTAAATTGTAAATTCGAAATACTGCCTAATGTTATTATAGATTCGTTTCGCGTTTAAGTGTTTTCATCCGTAATTACGTTTCTATTATACCTAAGTGACATTTTATTACGAAGGTAAGTGACACAAGGTCATAGCCACTGCAACGAGGTCGTATACTGCAACATTCTGTATTCGAACTTTAAAAAAAAAATGCAAAAATGTTTGCAGCGGCTATGCTCTTATGTAGCTGCAAAAAGAACCGTGTTAACTCGCGTTTAAAGTCCTTTTTGCATTGTTGCAGTGGCTATTGACCTTATCGTGCATCATATATGGGATATCATGTATAAGAAGAGGTCTTCGCCGCCGAAGATTGTGAATGGATGCAATGGACATCAGGAGGTGGATGAGACCAACGGACGGCGGATGTCTGGCAGCTCGGAAGACACTCTCAGCCGATAGTAGTAGTCGGCTCGACGGCACGTGACTTTGTGACCCTCGTACACTTCATGCTTAACAGCTATTCACAAAATACTTAGCACAACACGAATTAATGTTTTCGCTAGTGACTTTCGAGTTTGTTTAAGATTTTCCTTGGACTTTATTTGGGAGTGGAGACAAGGGGTTTATAATCAAATGTTTGCCTGGGTGAGGCGCCAGGGAGCGTCAGACTTATACTGACTAAAAACCGCCCTGATCCTTCTCCCGTCTTGAACAAGGCCGCCGAACTTCATTGCTCTTCAATCCGCGACTACTTTGAACCTTAAATTGGTTAAACTCAGGCAATTTCTTGTAAATTCATCAGTTCTCTCTAGCGAAATCTTAGTTCGAATTTATGTTATTCCATTTTCTTTAGAAGACTATATTGAGTGCTCTGGTAACAAAGTCATGACGTCATCTGAATCCTCAAGGTATGTAACGTCCCAGTACCTCATACACTTGTGTTGTAGACGTGTATTCGATTCTAGCTCTTATTGCACATGAGATACGGTTTGTAATAAGATATCAATGTTTTTCGTCCACGCAGCCCGTAACATCGAGAGATTGTATGTCGTCACATCAAAAAAATAAAAGATGATTCGGTAGTTTCCAACTAGTTAAATTAAATACTTTTATTGAAATGTCATAAACGATAATTTTCTATGAATTTTGTATGAGATCTACACATAATATTTTGGCGTCATAGGTTACATTATTACTTAAAAATTTGCTTAAAAATAACGATAATTTAATCGATATCGACATATCGATGGATAAAAGTATACTTAGTTTCAAATTAATTTATTTTAGACATAGAAAACTACCCAAAGAAACGCCAATAAGAACTTATTTCAATATGTAATTAAACTATAAAAGTACCCAAAAATAATCACACTTATTTTATTTCTAATTCAAGAGAAATAAGTAGTAAAAATATTTTGACGTCACATTGACATTCCGAAAAATGTAACGAATTTGACTGGTTAAAAACAACCGTATTGTAATATTTATTCCTTAAACCTGTTGTTGTAGATTTTGATTGATTGTATCTCGTGTGCATTAATGGCTAATTAATATGAATTTCTCCAATATCCGTATGTATAAGTACTTTGTAGTTAAGGTCCATTATTGTTTATTATATAAGGCTGAAGCTTAACAAAGCGTATAGTGTAAGTATATTTGTATGACGACGCGTCACCGGGCTGACGGAATGTTTCGAGATTCTTTTCCTAAGAATTAGAAGGCAAACTGCACGGTTGGCTCTGTACCTGGGCAACTGGCTGTTGTACAACGTGTTATGAGTTCGATTTCCGCACGGAACAACACTGTGTGATTTACAAATTGTCGTTTCTCGTCTACACGCATCCATGACACAGGGGAAAATCATAGTTAGACACAAAGTCTTTTTTTTTTTTAAAGCGCTGAGCGCGCTGTCCCTATCACACAACACCGCGTCGCGTTGCCGGCCTTTCAAGAAGGAAATTCGTCAAAATCATAGTCTGACTACACACACCAACTCATACTTGACGTCCAGGTTCAGTACGCGCGAGAGCAAGTGAGACGAGGAGATTTTATGTGATTTATTATCCAAAGTTTCAATTGTTAAGTAGTTTCCAAAGTCGCGTTTTGAGTGTTGTAAGATGAAAGGAGGTTTTTTTTATTTATAAATGGACAGTGAATGTAGTTGTGCCCTTTACTTCCAAAATATTTTTCGTATCAGTGTGACAAATAATGCAGCGTCAATAATATTTCGACCTTATAGGCAATGCTATTAATTATTCTGCAATTAATAGTGAAGTACTACTAGAACTCGAAACATTTCGACATCCCCGTCAAAGATTCCTATGAAATGTAGTCAACTACAAATATTGTAACAAATGCCCCAATATCCAACGCCAACGTTTTCACCTATAACAATTATTCCACCAATATTTGTACCAACATTTTTATTATCAAACAATTATATGCTTTATTTATTGGGAGCTAAAGTTTATAATTAGCTAAATTAATTTGGTAGTGTGTAATTATTGTAATATGTACTATTTATCAGGGTTACTGGTAGTTTATTATGTGATCAGTATTGAAACGATACGCCATCAAAATACAAAGTATTTCAAAATCATTTTACTTATAAATATTGTCATTCATTTTTCTTCGAAAGTGTTCAATTTGTAATTTTGCATTTGTTTTCAAACGTTTGTGGTGCGGGATTCTTTCGATATTGGACTGTAATACCACGGACATAAAGTCAAAATCATTTATTCCAACTAAACCATAAATAGGTACTTTTGAAACTTTAAAAAAGGTTAGTTGCGTAAAAGTGCTTCCATACTACGTCCTATCTGAAACAGGTTAAGTTCAGGTCTAGAAAACTCGGTAAGAAATTACTTAGTCCTCAAAAGAAATCGGACGTTTTTTTGTTAAGTACCTATGGGAAAATCATCACATGAGTGCTCCAGGGTTTTTTTTTAATTACGTTTTTAATACAATATGCACATTGAGAGATAATAATACTATCTTTTATTGATTTGTCAATGTATTTAAATTTAGTTTATTCAGCAAAATTTTAATCAACATGTACGTTTGCTATATGACGTAAAAATATGATGACGTCATACATAATACGTTGCACACTTTTGACATTTGAAAAAAAGTATTGAATTTGACTAGATTAACTAACCGTTATTGTCTATGGGTATTATTGTTGCAATAAAAATCGTGATTACCCATATCCACAACACGTAAAGTAATTTTGCGCACAATATTTTAAATATTTTTTTTTTACTGTTCTTATATTTTATTATATGATATGTACTTCGTATATTAACGTAATTCTTTCCTTATAAGTATAGTATTGTATATATTTAAGATGTGCAATGTTTTTTTTTTGTGTAAATTAGGATAACTAGTTACCATTGCCTTTTGGAACACCAATAGCTTATAAAATGAAAACTTGTATACTTTTTCAATAGCGTTATATATGTACCCGATGCATTCTTCAAAAGAGAGGAAGCTTCCTCTAACTCCTCTTCACTTGTATCATTTAATTATGGTTTTGTCACAAAATATTATTATTAAAATAGTTCTAATATTAACCTGAATATTTTATGTTAGGTTATAAAACCTATATTTAGTATAGACATCATAATTTTTTTTTACAATTACACTGTATGCGTTATGCACGCTCTTACCGCCTACGCTTGTGTCCAAATTATATCTCTATTACCGACTTAGTGGTAATGTATATTTACCGTACCTATATTATTTTGATCTTTCCATCGTGGTGCGCGAACCGGAGGTAGCCGGCGTTCGCTTGGGGTTTGATGAGTTAAATATACAATGTGTGTTATATCTAGGTAATTAATTGTCTTTTTTGGGGATAAATAAATACTGTTTAATTTTTTTTTTATAATTTGAAACCACATTTGGTTACTAATTTTAATTTTGAAATTTGTCACCATTTAATGTGATTTATAAGCGGTAGCGATAGGGGCTGCGTATTGCATACAAATATGTATGACACACATCTTATGTATAATTTACAGACTGATTCAAATATTGGAAAAGACTAATTCATCATTACGATCCATTTAGAGTTCAGTAGATATTGCATTGTTCTAAATTGTGATTCAGTATAATATTCAGTAATTTGACCAATATTAATGATGACAGGGTATGAAAATCGGCAATGTAAATGTAATTAAAAAAATGTTGACATGTTTTCTTTTGTTTTGTCGACGTAGCGGACTGCATCACTTCTCAGTACCTGATATACTGAGCTGTGACGTCACATGACAGTTGACATCAGTAAAACGTCGAAAGTGTCAGATTCCGCAAAAAAATACGTCATCACTATTATAATATTTTATACATGAGTAAGAAAAAGAAAAACAAAAGAAAATTATAGGGACATTTTTCCTATCATCTTATTAACCTGTGTGATTTAAAAAAAGAAAAGTTGAAAACCATCTAGGACAGATGTTACTTGGTATATTTGGTTTGATACCGAGAAAAATATGCTTTTAAATATTGTCAAATTACTGAATTTTATTGGAATAGGATTTTAATTAAATATGTCATCAGTACGCCTTCTGTTTCTTTTTTGTATATTTTATTTTAAATACTTACTTGTATGGCCTTCGGTAACCAGACGTAAGTTCTCGTAATTTTATTTTTTGTTAACAGTTCGAATGTAAAGACAAACCTATAGCATGGGAAAACATGCGTCTTTAAGGTAATTTCGAGTCCCCGCGGCTGGTTTAAAAAAATGCGTTAGAAATAAGGAAAACATTAAAGTATACTTGTCATACATACAAGTTTATTGAAAATAAAGACAAAGTAAAGCTCAACTAGTTTCAAATCACAACGGGACTCTTATTCATGAGCAGCGTGCGCGTAATTTAAACGTTATTTTCAATAAATTTAATGTCTCACTACCTAACCTTACAAAAATATATTATGCATACAAATACAGTACGACCGTCGTATCTTGGCGAGTCTGAAGTTAGCCGATTAGCTGCGCAGTACACAATTTTGTTCCTAAAACATCAATTGCGCAGACAAGCGGCTAACTTCAGACTCGCCAAGATTCGTCGGCCGTACTGTACTTACATGCATAACAACATGTAGTATCCATATTAATCAAATAAAATGTGTAGAAATAATGGTACTCGGAAAAACAGAGGGCGTGGCCAATTCCAATTGATTGAAATGTGATAAAACATAAAGAAACGTAAAAAATATTCGGTATATTGGTGTCTTAGTTAGTAACGCGGACTTTTATGGCATTCTGCTGAGAACGTGACAACATTTGAGCCTTATTTTCTAAACGATACGATTTAAAATACAAAGCCAAGTCCCTATTGTAAATGAAAAGTTTGCTTTTATTGAGGTATATTCTCAAAGTTGAAGCTATTTGTTTATTCCTATTAAACTAAGCTTACACTTTAAAGAAAAGTCATGTACCTACGTGATACGATTTATTTTATTTGATTTATCCGGCTAATAAACTCTACAACGACATAAAATTAGCAGTTGATAATATAACGAGTATATCTTTGATAAAATTGTTGTTACATATATTTTTTAACTATGACGATGTTTCTCACTTTGACAATACAGTGTTACAGCATTATTTACCGTAAAAGTTCGTGTTGATCGTAGTAAAAATTGTCTTATTAGTCGAGTTAGAGCTATAGTGCAATGTTATCGTTTTAAAAATTCGGTTAAATGTGATTTATATTATTGACTGAACATGTTCTATCGTGGTTTTGGGTAGAGTTAATGGTTTTAATCCAATATTTGTGGATATTTGTTCTGTTAGACATTAAATAGTAATATTAATTCATATCAAGTCCAAAGAGTGGTACTATTCCTATAGGATGTAGTTGTTCAAATTCCAAAAACGTGGTTTCGAATGCACATAACCTTTTTTGTAGATCTATATACATGAAGGCTCTAAAATGAAAACTGCCAAAATGAGTTATGTATTCTATTTTTGAAAATGTTAGTTTCCATTTTACCTGAATGTCTTTCGAAATACAATTCTTAATCGTAGATAATTAAAAGCGTATATTATGTAGAGCTTTCAGCATTTTATGTAGCATTTATATTGTCTGGCAGCATTGGTTTATGTACTTCGCTGTTTCAATGCCTTTTTTCCTATATTTATTATATACTACACTAAGTTTCACACGAGACAGTCAAATTGCAGAAAATGTATACAAATGAAATTGCTTATTAGGATAGTAGATAAAAAAACACGCTTTTGCCTATCTCATGTGAAATAAATAGTGGAAACTTATGTAATCAGCACAATCTATGTATCCGTTGTATATTTACTGCCTGTTCGGTATAATTTCCATTTTAAACAATGTATTGATGTCATTTATGTATATTTTAATGAAATAAAGTGTTTGCAAATTTATATTCGTGTTTTAATCAAATTGTTTAATACCATTTCGTTACAATAAATGTATTTACAGAGGCACTTTCGTTCTATCTTGTATCTTAGTATATTTTCTTTATTTTTTCTTTTCAAGCTTTCGCAGGGTTTACTCCTGGTACAAATTTACTTTTCTTTCGAGTCTATTACTTTTTCTTATGCTATTTTTACTATATATGCTTCGTGCAGTTGTATATACGTTCTCATTTTAAGAAAATTCGCTAGAGATCACGTTGTAATTTTGAGTGTGATTTCGCTAAAAATGTGATTTTGTAGTTTCTTTTCTTTATTCTGTAATATTGCTATGTAGTCGTAGGTATAAAGTCTCAATCAGAATGTACATAAACCTTCATAGTCCTTCTACTTCCATCAAGTATAAGGCTCTTTCATCTTTGAGCCGGTCAAATAATTATTTTTCAAACATGTCATAAAAGGTAACTAACAGTTTTTATAACAACAAACTAATAAAAAAGTAAAATATCTGACAATACGGTTGAATTTCCAGTGGCAATCGATCTGATAGTGCAGCACATATCCGACTACTTGAAGCGTAGTCCGGTGGACAAGAATTTGGCGCTGGAACTTGGTCTGTCTTCGTCCTCGGTACCCGGCAGTCCGCAGCGGGCCGGGAAAGGAGGTCGGCCGCATTAGACTAGAGTTATTAGGTAAGTGTACTAAGAAAGGTACATATTATTATTGTTAATACCCAATTCCCAAAAGTTCGCCCATATTCTTTTTAACTCCTTTGGTGTTAGGCGTTTCCATGGGCAGCGCCGCTAGCTTGCATCATGCCATGACACAATAAAATAAAATCTGCTAAAATTGATCTGTAGTACAGGTTCCACCTACACAGACACCAGTCTCGCGTTAATTAACTGTATTTTGTCTATTTTTGATGCGAGCAAAGAAATCAATTATTACCAAGCTATTTTTGGGAGACTTTTAAAGCAGGATCCATGTAGAATGCATAATGCCTCTCTTCATTGTGCTTTTTCTTTCGCATTTTAAACTTTATTGTCTTGTGATTAGTTCCAACTTAATTTATGAGTCTCATGTAAATAAGGTGTTAATCTGTGAAAATTTAAAGTTATAACTCCATTGCAGGATAGTTATTGGAATGACATCAGCAATAAGTAGAGACGTTGCATGGAGGCGGACGACCAGCATCGCATATCGGTGCATATTAGCGGGGTACATCTACGCGTCAGCTTCTCGATATGGCGGGAATTGAGAGTATCCTATAGAAAACTTTACTTCAGCACATGAAAACTTCCAAAAGCGTTTATCTGTTGTACAACAACAGTACCGCGGGCTTTAAAAGGTCGTTTACACCTTCACTTCCAATTCCCGGCCAAAAGTGTTCGCATCGCTTGGAGCCGTGCTCACTCCCAAAAGGACTATGGTCGTGAAGGTACACTTGCATTAAATGTTTCGGAAATTATTTAAGCTTAAATTAGATATTTATAAATTAAAGGACTTGAGAATAGACCGGTTCTATAGCGGCGTGCCTTGGAGAAAAGGTGGACTTTATTAACGTAAAAATATTAAATTATTGTTAAAAATTACACGTAGGTATAGTTGTTTTAAATATCTCAATAACTTTCGTACTTTATTAGTCAATTCTATTTTCAAAACGAATAACTGAGTTTTAAGCACAAAGTTATTTTTTTATAGAATCGAGTTCCGCCTGTTTTAAAGAGTTTCCCGCCAAATATTGCTGCGCCATATTAGAAAAATGCACTTTGTCATAGATACTAAATAATAAGTAAGGAGATAATTTTCTAAACGGAATTTAACGAAAAACTCGAAAAGAAAACTTACATATCTAGAGATAAAAAATATATTTGAAACTCCTCTAGTTAGTCACTAGTCAAAGAAATTGTTTAAACTAAAGATGCTCAATGGCATTTGTACTTATTCGGTATATTGAAAAAAAAATGTCTTTTGTCATTTTATTAAACTGTTAAATTACCTAAGATAAATGATTAAAATATATAAACTTACCTACGTTTTAAGAGAGTTGTTGAATAAAAAGTTATTTGTACTTAATTTAAAGGGTGCGTTTACCAAAAATTTTATTGGATGTACAAATTTCGTCGTTACTTATAATGATTTTACCAAGTGGCTAGAGTAGCCACGTATTTGATATAGAACTTTAGGTCTTGCTGTGGACGTCCTAACTTTGTTACTAGTCAGACGTTTGAGGGGAATGGAATGACCGAGGCTGTTAAAATTTGTCATTATCGTATTACGCGATGTCTATTCGTTTGAGTTTAATTGTTGATTTTATTTATTTATAGTCTGTAGCTAGGTTTACTTGTAGCTTCTAGGCTTGAGGTTTTATTCCTCATTGTATTTGTACTTAGTGAGTTTGCTTACGGCAGATAACTGCTTGGTTTTTTGTCGGGAATAATTGCTATTGATAATGGCGTGGTCAAACCAGATTATTTGTTTGTCTTTTAAACTACTGTTGAAAATAATATAAAAAAATATTTTTACACACAAATGTGGATGACTTCTCTATTCTTTCTTCCAAATTTGTGAATATGAAACTTAGTTAGATTGATTTTTCATTCCCAAAACCTTGCATACAAGATTTCATTGAAATCGTTCAAGCCATTTTCGAGATCCTGTGGATATATGTATGTACATACAAGAATTGCTCATATAAAGGTATTATTAGATTTTTGGAGAGGTACCTAAATGTGGCTCGATACTTTTAATAATTGGAAATCAAAATTAAATTTGCTGGATTATTGCACCATTGTCAATTAAATGATTTATGTATCCTACTCTAGCCAAAGTAATGTGCCTACTTTGCCACACGTAAAAAAAAACTATTAAAAACATTATTTTTTTATAGTGCAAGACAAATGCATGATGGTTTCTTGTATACCTAGTGGGATTATCTTTTTCTAATTAATAGTAAGAAGCAGGATGGCTATATGACCACGTTTTACAGTTTATAGTTAAGTATTTTATTTATTGTTTAACTACTTAAATTATATCTTAAAAGCTTGAGAGTCTAAAATGGCGTGTTCTGTCAATGTGGCTTAGACAATGAATAAGTCTTCTACATTTAGTTATCGCTCTTTATATCTCAGTTTTAAGAATACTTTTTGTTTAGCAAAATGTATCAAGCGCCATATTGATTAAGAAAATTAAGATATTTGAGATTAATTTTGGGATAATCGCAGATTATATAGTCTTCTTGTTATTTAACTCATTAGTTTAAGTGAAGCGAAAAGACAAACAGTTTCTTCCTTGAAAATCTGCTATCATTTCAAAATGTATCGTGTTGTTTTGTTCCTTTATTTATTTTTCTCTTACGATTTATTTACATGTCTAGATGGATTGGTAACGGTATGATAAAGAGATAAACTATTCCTGTCGATATCCTGACATATCCTATTCGGAGTCGGTACAATGTCATCGTCTATTATATTTACAAGGATCTGGTTAAAAATCTATAAGAACACGGTTTTATTGTAATCTACCATCTGTGGTCTATCATTAAACTTCATCTAGACATTTTAATTGATCTAGGATCATAATCGGTTTAGTTTTCAGTTTGTTAGCTAGTGTTACATGACGCCTATTACGATTGTACCAAAGAAAGTGTTTGTTATTTATGTGATTGTTTTTTTATTTTATTTTATTTTATTTATTTATTTCATGCACAAAACACATTACAATCAAATATTATTAGCTTAAAAACTAAAGGTTTTGATCTAGATAGTAACGTAACACTATGTGCATACTGCAAAATTACAAGTTTTAAATATTAAAAAAGCTCAAAAAGGGAGAAAAAGAAATAAGAAGTAGAAACTAGAAAACATAAAGTGACGTGTGTCAACACTGTTGCCTCTCAACAAAAATATGGGATGATATGTTAAGATCCCTCAGGCACAGTTTCCCGGGCCTGAAGAATCCACACCAGATCGACAATGGAGAATGCCTTTTATATCTGAGATGAATTTATTAATGCTGTAATTAAATATGTCAAAAAGTTTGTGATTGCTCTTTGCCATTTCATTATATTGACGAGCCATCCTGGTCAAAGGGTTATAGAAAGATATATTGTTTTTGTAAATTTGTAGAGCGAAGAGATTAATTTCGTTTGATCTACGGGCACTAAATTTAATGTTAAAACTTATGTGTGAGAGTAATTCAGGGGAATCTATAATAGAGTGGGTAATTTTATAAAGATAAACCAAGTCGAAAACCAAGCGCCTTGTTTCTAATGACTGAACATTAAATTTTAGCAGTCTATCTGGATAACTTAAACTTGACCGGCCAGGTTTTATGCGGTAATTTAGGATTCTGAGGAATTTTCTCTGAATGCGTTCAATTTCGTCAATGTGCACTTTGTAATTCGGTGACCATACAGGAGTACCGTATTCCAGTATACTTCTCACGAGAGTGAAGTATAAATACAAAGTGCTACGAGGATTTTTAAAATCTTTGGAAGACCGTAAAACAAATCCTAGTAGTTGGTTTGCTTTGGTTGTAATATGACTGTAGTGGGTACGGAATGAAAGCTTCTCATCAAAGTAGATACCCAAGTCTTTTGCAACATGAGATCTGTTAATTGATTGACCTTCGATGACGTAATTCCATGTAGTTTTATTTCGTTTATTAGAAAATGATATGACGAAGCATTTGTCTCTGTTTAAGTACATGCAGTTATATTTACACCACTCAGATACGGTATTAATATCATGTTGCAAGGCTAAACAGTCATCTGAATTAGAAATGGATGTAAAGATCTTTAAGTCATCTGCGTATAAGAGACAATTACAGGACAGTTGTTGAATAAGGTCATTAATGAAGACTACAAAGAATAATGGCCCTAAATGGGAACCCTGAGGGACTCCAGAAGTCACTTCTACGGGTGTCGAAATAAATCCTTTTAGTGCAACCAACTGAGTTCTAGAATCAAGGTATGAGCAAACCCATCTATATAAACTGCCGTGGATACCATACGATGCTAACTTATGACAGAGCAGATGGTGATTAACCCTGTCAAAAGCTTTTGAGAAGTCTGTATAGACAGAGTCAACTTGACCCCCAACGGCAAAAATTTGACAAAGATAGTTTTTATATTCAAGCAGGTTGGTGACCGTTGATCTGTTTTTTACAAAACCATGTTGTTTATTTGAAATTATTGGCTTGAAATGACCATATAAATGAGTATACACTACCGATTCAAATAATTTGGCAAGACAAGACAAGATGCTTATCGGTCTATAGTTTTTACAATTTGATTTATCGCCACTTTTGTACACAGGTACGATATGAGCAGTTTTCCAACGCTTAGGAAACACACCACTTATTAATGATTTATTAAAAAGAACGCATAATGGAACTGACAACTCCTTCCCACAATGTTTAATAAAAAAAGGAGGCAAAAGATCAGGGCCTGCACCTTTATTAATATCTAGACTTTTTATTTTTTGTTCAATATCACTAATCGCAATAGAAAAACCAGACAATGTGTTAAATAAAGAAGTATTGGTGTTGCTAGACTGACAATTATAAGGGTTAATTTTATCAAATTTACTATCAAAGACTGAACCAAAGTAACGAGAAAAGAGATCACAGATTCCTCGTCCATCTGACTCTGAGTTATTTTCAAATTTCATTGTATGGGGCACTGAAATATGGCCTTTACGATTATTCACAAATCTCCAAAATAGTTTTATATCCTTCACCAAAGAATCCTCAACGGTTGAGATGTATTTGTCGTAGCATTTCTTAGTAAGAGATTTGCATCTCTCCCGAAGCATAGAGAAAACATCGTAATCGCGGGGATTCCCAAATCTCTTAAATCGTTTATGATATGAGTTTTTTTCTTTATTACATTTAATTAAAGCTTTGCTGTACCAAATTGGATAAGATAAAGATTTGCATGAATAGCTAGGCGTATGTCTTGTAAGTATACCAAATAAAATATTATAAAAAGCATCAGTGCATTCATCGATACATGCGGAAGATAAGATTTCTGGCCAATTTACAGACTGAAGTTCAGATCGGACTTTCTCAAAATCACATTTAGCAAAATTAAGCCGTTTAACTCTAGCTCGCTGGAGTCCTCTAGAGATACGGATTCGAGATATAGTTATTAAAATTGCAGGATGATTTTTGTCTAACAAACTTAATGCAAGAGTTTCCTTAACAGTTATACAGTCTATGTTAGAGAGCACCAAATCCAATAAGCGATCATTTATGTTTTTAACAAAATTAAATTGTGTTAGATTACACAGTGACATTAATTCATTTAGCAAAAAAAGCTTTTTACTTGGCGACGGAAAAACTGATAGAGAGGGATTAATCGAAGCAAAGTAGTCAGGCGTATTAAAATCACCGATTAATAAAAAGCTGTCGTAGGGAAAAAGATTAAGAACTAAATTTTGACAATGGTTATAGAAGCGTTCAAGATTGCCTAAGCTAAGATCAGGGGCAAATAGCAAACACATAAATTCAAACGAGAAGCATCACATGATTCGGGGATAAGTGTAACCCAGACATCCTCCATATCACTATCCCATGATGCTTGACGGATGACCTGGTATTTTTTATGCACGGCGAGTAAAACTCCACCACCTTCAACCTTAGCAGAAGAAGAGTCCGCGCGATCTCGCCTGAAAAGATTGTAACGGGCATCAACTACTTCTCCATCAAAAACGCTCATATTAAGGTTCGTTTCCGTCAAGCATATGACATCAAAATTAGAGTTTAACAAATTTAAAGTAAATTGAGCTAACTTGCTGCGAATTCTATTAACATTTTGGTAGAATATATTAATCATTGTAAAAGCTACGTGAGATTCTATACATAAAAACAAAATTAATTAAAGTTATTTACTAAACTACAATGAAACAATGAAACAATGAAAATGTAAAAATTTAAGACAATTTTGTAAGTGAATCACGACTTTTAATTAGTATAGCCGGGCTTGTTTCATTTTTACGAACGTAAATTTGGCCATACCGAACCCAAACAAACTTATAATTATTTTCATTACAATATTTACGTGCAGCGTTGTGTAGCTCTTTGGATTCGGGAGACAGGTGTTCAGATAAATATATTCTACCAGATGATCCACTTATGCCAAGATCGGTAGCACACAGTTTGCTATCAGGACGACCCTTGTTATAGCGAGTCACCGCAGACAAGAGAACATCACGCAGACGCTGCGACGAGAGGGTAACAAGCACATTCCGAGGTCGTTTAGAGCTAGAGTTCATCTTGGCAATACGACGACATGCCTTAACATCACTCTCTGATATCCCAACTTGTAAGCATTCACAGAGTTTCTTGAACAACGCCATCAGGTTCTCACTCTTATTTTCAGGTAGCTCATGAATCTCTAGGTTTAAGTCACGTGATACCTTTTCAATTGTAGATAAACGACTCTGGAGTTTTGTTAATGAGTTCTGAGATTTAGAAAGTTCTAACTCAAGTTGCTTAATCCGATTCTCTTTTTCTGAAATATTTGACTTTAAGTCGTTCTGTTCCGAGATAATAAAATCAGTCGTCGCTGTAAAGTCAGCCTTCACCGACTCAACAGCTCGACCAACCTCAGCCACCACCATACCCTCCAAATCCTTTCTCAGCGCGGAACGAAGATTTAACATAATTTTTAATTATAAAGAATATATTATACTATATAAATTAATATATTGAAATAACTATAAATATATTGTTTAGCTGCTGGTAACAGTAACTTTGTTATAGATGTAATATAATAAAAATGGTTCGTAACTACATATACTCAATGCAAAGAAATTAATTATTACAGTAAGCGTGGGTTCAATGAGGCGTCTCAGGAGCGTGAAAAACTGGTACATTATTTAATTTTCTGTTTCAACGGCAAAATTATAGTTTTATTTAAGTTATGTAGGTGCAGAGTGTCCCAGAAGTGGACGTCCACCCTACACCCAGCGATAGGCAAAGTTAAACAGCTACTGGAAATATTATATGAAAAAAATATGGCTTTTTTCACCACCTTCGCAAGTTCCTGATAAACTTATATGGGACATAGTTCATACAAATTATATTCTATATCATCCAGTTGGGATGTCAACCTAATAATGTAAAGGAGATAATGGGATGGTATTTAATCAAGTAAGGGTCTGAGATTCCCGATTGCCCCACTCAGGGCGGCAAAAGGCATTTGATGACTTCATATCATATTCTATTCTATTCAATAAAGGGGATACAAACTTTGCCGATCGCCACGTTTTGTTTAGAGGTTGACTTCAAGGCCACCTTGTATTTGATGATTTTATAAAAATTATTCAATGTTTCCTTACTTTACCAGCAGTTAAATATAATTCACTAGAACTCTGCTAATGATGTAGTAAGCTGTAAATAAGCATATATTCCATATTACATTCTAACGTTTTGGATTCCGATGCAATAGTTCGTTACACACTAATATTGTACAAAAATAATATATTATTTTTTAAATAAAAAATCATTGTAGTTTTTTTTACCTGTGATCCCATATAAGAAGTAGATATGGTAGTAAAGGCAGGAAGATATGTTTATACTTTTTACCACTTTCAAGTGTGTGAGAGCCATGCCTCGGCTCGACTGGAGTAATACCACCGAGGTTGCGGGTTAAGCGCAATGAGTCACCGCGGCCTCGGCCCAGAGCAGAGAAGGAGCTGGGGGGAAAGGGGGAGGGTTAGTCAGTAACAATCTGACACTCTCTCTCGCCTAAACTTTTCACAATCGCAAACGAGTGAAACGAAACACCGAACATCGCTGGAGCGAAGCAAAGACTTATTAATTATTCCATAAGAATTCAACAAGATTTATGACAATAATCAAAAATGCTGGATTTACATTAAATCTTGTCGTACCTATTGATACTGAGATACAAAATCCTTAAGAATGTAGGGTGTCCGGCATTTTTAATGTCCAGTAAACGGGCTAGTCTGTCCGGCTATAAGGCCTAGTGACCTGGCAACCCTACTCACAGAAAACCGACGTGAAACAACACAGCGATGTGATTCGCCGTGTGGCTGAGGTTACCGAAAGCTCAATCCATCCCTCCTCGCACTCTTCTCCACTCCCTAAATCCCCAAAACCACTTGCCGTCTATTTTTGTGTAACAATGTATCGTGTCTACAATTTATTTATCGAATGTAGTTGATTTCTTTGCTAGTTTTTTAAATGACTAAAAGAGTAGCGAGGTTCAGAGTAATAAAACAAAAAAGTAAAATTTGATCCATATAATACACAATAAAATAATAATTATTGCAATAAAATAATAAAAAACAAGTTAATCGTTGTTTATTAAATAGATTTATTTAAATAGTCTCGCCTTAACTAACGCGGTTGCACGTAAGGTGGCGCGCGGACTAGAGGGCCCTGTGTCGCCTACTTAGTGACAAGTCTTTTTGCAATGAAGAAAGAGAAAACAGGACACAGACAATAATATTAGTAAGTAGTTGAAGAGAAATATAATGTATATATTTATAGAAGCAGACATGAGAAGTCTTGTCACTGAGCAACCGAGTGTTGGCGCCCAGCGTGGGACACGCGGTGCTAATCACAAACATTGCTTCAAATAGCATTCAAACGGATAGTTTTTGTAATACCAAGCGATTGCTTTAAACATGTTCCTAAAGTAATGACACATTGATGCTCGTGTACATGTACAATACAATTGATTATGGCTCATATTCACTGTAAATAAAGTTCATATTAATATAAAACAAAGGTAAAATGTAAAAAAGAAACATTTGAACAAAAACTATCCAAAACTTTACGTTTGCTTATAGTACATAACTGTACGAATCGATATTCAGTCAACTAAACAGACTATTAATAAGCAATCAAAAAATCTATACGTCAAACTTAGTTGACTGATCGACTAAATAAATCAACTATTCGACTAAAGTCAACATAGTCGAGTTACAACACTCGTACATTCTAAGCGAACAAAAAAATATATCCGATTTTAATATACTCTATACATTTGGTCAAAATATTAAAAAAAGAAAATGTACAATTAACAACTAGATTTATATTTATATAAATATAATTAAAATAATATATAAGCTGTAAACTCTAAGACTCTATTTGTTACAAAACAAAAGTACAACTTAATTCGTTTGGTTGCGCGCACTGGTTAGACGAAGACATATGATGAATAGAAAAAACAAAAGAAAAAAACTATTAACGTTTGTACTTACATCAGAAAGTCAAGAAGAAATCGGAAGAAAAATAATTCTATAAAAATATATTTAATGCGTTTACCGTCTACGTCTAACCGGAGCATCCGCAAATAATATGTTACAAAATAAAATAACTTTCTAGAAATTGCATTATCTGCCTCTTACGATAAAATATACATGATATTTACATTTATTATAGAAATCGTGTCTATTACATCTGATTGTCGAATAGGAATACAACCCCCCAACACGTGGTGCTTTCGTTTAGACTGAGTACTGTTGTACCTGTAACATGTTCAAGACTAATGCAAATTGGTCTTCTAGTCTACTACTCTAGTAGACTAGTAGACCAGTAAACTGACTGCACGGTTATCGCAGCGGTTGGACAACCGGTTGCTGTAAATCGTGTCGCGGAATCGAATCTCGGTACGGAGAAACTGTTTCGAGTGATTCACAGATTGTTGTTCCGGATCCCCGGATGTGTGTGATGTGTATGTGAACACAACTACGACAAGAAGAAAATTCTTGTGCGGGGCAACATACAAATAAGTAGTAATTTAGTTCAGTACTTAGTAATGAGCAGAATAATGTGTATTATTTCAAAGTTAATGCGATTGAAAACGTTACCGCGTTTAGCCCTCTGATAGGTTGGTTCACTTGGAGCTGCCGCAAACTTTCTTGATTACGCTAATCTCATTAAAGGCAAACAGGTAACCATCTCGATTCAGTTACTTTCTAAAACGTTTCGTACAAACTTTCAATTCAAAAATCATAGAAACTACTGAACCGTTTTAATAAAATTTTGTACTCATTAGCAAACGTAGTTCAATACTTATTTATTTAAGTACATTTCCCAAAATATTCCTTAATCGATTATTTATTAACATACTCATGTTATAACGTAAAAGTCGCTAATTCCTGTTTCCCGAAACTTTTTTTCAACAAAGTGAAGTAAACATAAATAATTTAAAATGCCTCACGAAAGTTATAATAAAAAGTGAAGTTTTTAGACCATGAATGTGTACCAATTCTTATGAATATCAGTTCAATTGTTCCCAGTACTATTTGACTAGAAGTTTCGGAAAAACCGTCCTCATGTTACAAAGTACAACAGTAGTCCGCCTAGCAATCTCAATTCCATTCTACACGTAAAGTATTACATATTGTCAAAGCTACACTGCTCGGATTCGGGTACAATTATCTGGACCCACTTTATTGATGCACATTGTATATTTTCTACATGTAATACGAGTGCCCATGACAGCCTATCCGAACATTCTTCAATGACTAGCTACAAAACGCTTCTAAAAGTTTAGTCATGTGATTTATTCAATTAACAGAGTAGTTTGTTTGCTGGAAAAAATGTCGATTTTGGTATTTTACACGTCATTTTTCCATGTTTTCACCGTTCATTATCTGCAACAGGCAACATACTTCGTGAATTCTTGGTGTTAAGCAGTTATAGTTTCAACCAATGCACCAAATACAACAGTTTAATTATGTATGCCTTATAATTTAATGTTCTCATTCATCCCTGAAACGGCTCACATACAACGTGCATCAATACAGTAATGGCGTATCCCGCGAACGTTATTTAAATTTAAACATACGTAGAATAATCGGTGATTACAGATGGCAGTCCGTCACAAATATTATTCAAAATCACTCACAACATTTTGAAGAAAACTCTGATTTACAATTACGTGTTTTACTTGGTCAGAGATTTTTTTTGCAATAAAATATGAAAAAATAAATCGCACTTTAATTTATTGATTTTACTATACATACATAAAAATCGTATTTTTGTTGCAATTAATGTGTAAAAATCAAAAAGTTAAGTATGCTATTTAAGGGAAAAGAGAAATATGAAGTCACTGTTTTTATATAATATACCGATAACTTGTACATCCATAATAATATGTTAAACGCTTATGAACAAATAAAAACGTCTGATGCGATATCAAATAGGTATACGAATAAACACAAAAATCAATAAATATAAGTGTAATTATTTTTGAATATTATATTGCGTTGTAAAATCGAAACGATTTTGTTTTTGAATAAGAACTACCTATTTTATTGAAAGGTACAGTAGTGTCCAAACTTTTGTATGAAAAAGTAACCTTTATAATTGTTAATTAGAATTGAACTTTTTAGTCATTTACTGGAACATACGACCTATACCTGGAGTCGAGTGATTTTGACAAGATTAAATATTTATATACTAAATAGTATATACGAAAATATATCACTGTGACGTCACAACTCCATACTATACTAAACGTGTTTTTGTTCCAAAATATTTGAAAGTGTACTATGAACATGCTAAGTAATTATTATCACGCGATAAGCCGAACACCGCTTGGATACTGCGCGGCATTTTCACTATTCTTTATAGAGGCGAGGTTTCACTCAGGCGACTGAAACGCGACATTTTAATCTCTCATTAAAAGACTGTTACAAAGTCCGAGGAGTAAATCACATACATAGAGGTAGTTTGTTTTTATTAAACTCGCGATTTTCAATGGACTATTTTTATTGTTCTCAGTCTTAAATCAGGCACTTTGAATACAATTGTATTATAGGCTGACGCTACTGCAATTAAGCTGTAGTCGATATCGACTACAAAAATGACGCTGACTGCTTCGAAATAAAGTCGCTATAGGATTCACGTTTCCTACGAAATGCTTTTGCTAATATCCGACTACGATGTGTATAATCGGATCGCAGAAGGACACAACTCAAGTCGGCGATTTCAGTCGCGTGCAATGAAACCGTACCTTAAGCAGTAATAAAATACAAAGCCGTCGTGCCTTCTTCCTATATATTTACTATAGATAGTTATACAGTGTAGAACGTTGAACAACATTGGTTGCGGGAACATTATGGCATCAGTCACTTACTTATACTCACTGCAGTCCTCAATAGAACTCTAATACCGAACCCCATACACAAACAGACAACTTTGAACTCAATTGCTTATAGATTAAGATAGTATTAAAAGAAATATGTCATATTAGCTGTTCTCAATAATTTATCTTGTCTTTTATGCAATAGAATTCAAAATTGATCGAAATATGTGATTTAACCAGTACTTCTGTGTTATTAGCTTCCTTAGGTCATGTAGTTGCGCTTCTTCAAGCGCAACTGGGCAATGCAGCGACGCAAGCAGCGCTGTAAGTGCTGGATGCCACAGCGCGGGGCGCGGGCGGGCCGCTAGTCGGCGGGGCGCGGGGGCGGCGCCCGGGGAGGGAGGGGCGACGCCGGCATACTCCAACTTTCGCTGTTACCCCATCTGTTTGTTAGAAACATTCGATGTGTAGAGTTATTTGCAAGATTGCAAACAGCAGCTTAGTTAATGCAAAATACAAATAAAAATTAACTGATTGACGTTCCAATATTTTTTTCAATTAAAATTTAATGATTTATCCTAATCAGAGTAAGGATATAATAAAGAAAACAAATCTTTAATAAACAGTTACCATCTCTATCTGCCGTTATTTATCATCGTATCTTAAACTTTCCATGAGCCATGCTCAGACAAAAATGATGGGCCGGTTCGAATGGTACCTGGGCCTCACAGAATATCGGTGTGACGCTGCGAATGTGTTTTGCGGTGTGTGAAAGGTGTAACTGGAGGGTCAATCCTATCCCATATCTTCGATCCTCGAAGAGGCTGCACTTGCAATTCCTCTTGTGTTGCGGATGCCTACCACCGGTCACACCAGGTCTTATCCCATAAAATAGTGGAATAGTATTGAAGAAGAAGCTCACCTGTGCTGCAGATGATGTGGATGGTGGTTGTCCCTGCGCGCTGCAAGGTGATGCCACTTGACGTACCCGCTGAGCCGGCGCTTCACCAGCCCCGCGAGCGAGTGCAGCCAGCCTGCGACCGAGCACCGTGCCACACCGAGCCCACCGAGCCCCACCGAGCCCCACCGAGCCCCACCGAGCCCCACCGACCACCCCGCGACCGACACTACTAACGGCGCTCTGCCCGCTCCGAGTGACCGACTCTTTGCTTCCCCACCACTCAAATGTACTTTGTATCGTATAACAAGCATTCCGTTTTAAATGTCAGTGAAAACTGTGTAAACATCAACGGTAAACTAAGCTGATTTCATTGCAAATTACATTTACTTATTTCAACGTTTGAAGTTGAAGTTGCCAACGTATTCAACGGAGTTTTGAACCAAAGAGTCGTTACTGAATGCCTGCTAATGTTACTGACAGCGAAGCTACCATGATGAATGAGTGATACAGATTGGTGTCTCGCTCACACCTCGCCAATACAAGCTTCGTTATTTACTCACAAGTGGATAGCTTACATGTAAGGAAGAAAGATTTAGAATATTCCAAGAAAAAACATTACGAACTAAGGGTTCAGGCCGAATTACTAATAGGCATGTAGTCCATGTAGTCTTAATTTTATATAATATGTTTATGGACCATTATTATCCAGACATAAATAGAGACATAAATCATTACATTTTTTCATAGTAGCCTGCTATTTGCCGTAAACCATCCACTTCGCAAAATCTTCAAAAAATTTCATTTAAAATCGCATAAATATTTGAGCAACGCTTCCCAAAGCGATACATACCGGCGCCGGCGGCAGTGTACAATTATAGCCCATATTAGCTAGGTGTTAGGGTCGTGTTTAGTGTAGCGAGGCATGTGACAGAGCTACTAATGGGCAGGCGATGTGTGGGGCGCGAAGGACAGCGGCAAAGCACAGACACATTCGTAGGAACTTTTCAAGTGTTGCCATGTTAAAAAAATTGCTTTTATCGTCACTTCAATGAAAAATGAAAATCTAATACTTTTTTGTGATGCTTTACACAAGTTGAAGAAACAATATGTGGTATAAAGCCTTGTGTTATATTGTCTTGAAAGCAGCGTAGATACTAGTAGAAGAACTCATACTTTACTGTATGTTGTTAAAATAATGGTAACACTTTGACCATACAAATTTTACTGCAATAATTAAAATTACTAGATTTGCACAGTCGTTAGAAAAGTTCCATAAATGTGGTATAACATATATGACACAACAACATTTTGGTAAGATACATTTGGGAAACAAACAATTTTGAAAAGCTGCAAACTTAACACTTACTCAACGACCACGAAGACTTCAATGAAAGTCCATATACAGACCATTTTAATGAATTTAAGTCAGCATATTTATGAAAAAAATAAGTTTTTTATACTTATTGAGTATATGTTAAGTTTGCCAAACATACAATGAGTGGGTTAGGTAATAAATAAGATAGTAATATGCGTCTAAACTTGTCTATACAACATCAAGTCTGTACTGATGTAAACATATAGTATATTTAGCACAAAAGAATTTGACACAAAAATTTTGATATGTCGAGTTTTTTAAATAGAAACAGAATTTACTAAATGAAACATAACATTATATAACACATATTTTGAATCTGTTTTGGTCATCGATACGAAAATAAATTTAAATCAAATTTAGAATCTTTAAATATTCTATTTAAAAAGAAACTCGATAAATGAGATCCAAAAAGGTTTCTTTCGGCAACTAAGCCTCCTTGGCCGTTTCGTTCGGTTGTGCGAAAGCATTTAACCGCAAAGCACAAAGGACGCGTCATAAGCATATATCCCATAAGTTCATGGTTTTCCTCCGCGATATTTACACAATGGAAGGGTAGAAACAGTCTGCATGAGAATGAAATGATTTGTGGAGTCATTGCAATTCAAGGACAACAACTAACATTCCTTTACAAGGACAAATAAACAGACTATATTTGATCTTTTGTATAGTTGTCTTTATCACCAACTATTCTTAACGTGCATGTGGGAATAAAAAGCAATTCGACAATAAAAGTTGTATTGGATTGGATTGGATTTGCCTGCGAAATGGCTTACAGAGTAAAATTGTGACAATATCACTTATTAATTCCTCTTTAATAATTGAAAAACTACATAACATATTTGAAATGTATTTAGATTTAGAAGGAAACTTCTTTTTCACTTTATATTTGGTTGACGTTTCAAACATCCGACCATATTGCAATGGATCTGGCGATACATTTCCAACGATACCCTTGAGGGAAAAAGTTGAAAATTTGTTATTTTTAACGTATCACTGTCCGGACTGTCGATCCTCTTTAGCAGTCCTCGACATGGTCATAAAAGAGCTTATCAAAAGTGGTTTAACCAAAAGCCTTTGTAAATTATGATTCATGGCGAAAGTAGGAAATATATGAGAAAGTCTTCTATGACTTTATCCTTTTAATTTCGTTCCAAAAAGAAAGTAGTTGCGTCAGTATTGCAATAAGTCCACGTGTCTATACACACGATGCGTGCGGAGTGAGTGCGTGGGGGCGGCGTACGCGCGCCTATATCTGTAGTCGAAGGCTGGCTGCGCTCCTTCGTTACAACATTGTTACAGTCAATATAAGTATCCGTATAGTGTGCGAGCGATTATTCTATCAACTAGCAAAGAGGTTTTAATCTAAAAAAGTAACTATTATATTCTCCTTTTATAGCATCATTGTTTTTTTTATAGTTATTTATTATGTTTAAAACGAGTTTTTTTTACATTCTATTAAGAGTTTATACTAAGGTAATCGCTCGCATATTATACTTTAGCACATCACAAGACTCGACACACGATAATTTACCATATTAACGTCAATAATTAGGTACTTTCGGCAGTCCAAAATGAATTGCATCGACCTTTCGATAAAATTTATTACAAAAAAGAATCAAAGTTTCGACAATTTATTGTACGATTTCATTAATTTTAAATATTAATAAAAATTTCATAAATTTTTATAAAAAATGACCATGACGTCACATCACAAATTCTCGTACAAAAATTATTGCAAACCGTTGCTTTTCGAAAATCAAAATACCTAGTTATTGAATTTTAATAGTAAGAAAGTACCCAATTCAGTTTTAAATATTAAAAAAGCAATTTCTTTAAAACTATTTCTTTGTATTCTCCTCCTCTAATAAAATTATATTGTGTAAAACATCGCATGTCAATGTAACCACATCCTTATTTCTACCATTCTGTTCCTACCCATTTTCACCATGTGAATAGAAAAGTTCATAAAATTTTATATGAAAATCTCATTATAAAATTATTTCATTTCGGTAAATTCAAACTCCACTCCACGCCATTGGTTGGTTTGGGATACGTTTTGTTTGGGATAAATATTATTCATATGGTCGAGATTTCATTAGATTGTCTAGTAGGTGTAGATTGTAATGTTTTATTCCTTATTGAAATGAATTACAAAAACACTTACTGCATTACTGTTTTTTTAACCTTTGTCATACTAACACCCGGTTTCTGAAAGGCTTGTCAACGCTAAAATTAACTAATCTCCTGTTAAATCTCTTGTCAAGTCATCTGATTGGTTGTTGATAATTTAGTCAACCAATCAGATGACTTGAAAAGAGATTAAAATGATTTTAACATTGATCGGCCTTTCGGAAACCGAGTGTTAGAGCCGTAAATTATTGTATTAAAGGTATCCCCTAGTATTGATAGCCTATCCTGTGGCTATGGTCCCCTGGCGAGACTCCGCAGAAACTTACCTTGGTCGTCGTGGTGGTGTTTGTGGGTGGCGGCCGGCTGCGGGTCCGCGCGGTACCCGTTGCGGAGCTCCGCCCGCGTCAGGCTTTGACTACGGCCTTCTGATAGCCTATAATTATATTTTTTATTGTTAAGTAAGCTGGTAATAGTCCCGGTGGGACTAGCAACTAGTAGTTTTTCTCAATTACTTAACGTGAGTAACTCTTGTTATTTGTAATAAGCTTATTACCTGTTTACAAATTTTAATTAAAAGATACTGTAGTAACGTGATTGATTTCAAGCAAATCAATTGAGGTCAAGTCTAGCCTTGTTTGGCATTTCAAAAGTAACTTTTAAGTGTGGGAGAGCCATGCGTTGGCACGAATGGGTCGGCTCGATTGGAGTGATACCACGGCCTCACAGAAAACCGGCGTGAAACAACCACAGCTTTGTGTTTCGCCGTGTGAGTAAGGTTACCGAAGGCCCAATTCTTCCCCTCCCCCAATCCCTAAACCTCCAAATCCCTAATCCCTAAAAGGTCAGCAACGCACTCGTAACTCCTCCGTTCCATGGGCGGCGCTGATTGCTTACCATCAGATAATCCGTCTGCTCGTTTGCCTACCTATTAAATAAAAGTCATCATGACTTCAGAATATTATTTAGGGATAATAGGAATAATTTTTGGAGATCGATATTTTAACTTATACGTAAATAAATACATATGGACTTACCTATCATTGAGTAGTAAGGGAGACGGTGGGTGCAACCTCTCATGTAGCGCTGGGGGCTCTAGTTCCGTAGTGCTACCGTTCGCTGAAACTACAGTATACAATTAGCATTTAAAAAGATGACAAAAAACTTTAATAATAGATCTCTAACTCTTTAAAAGCAGCCGGACAGTCTCGCCCCATACAATGTGAAAGAAGCCATTGATGACTAATAAATACCCTTTAAGAAAACCATCCCTACGCTTCCGGCGGGGGCCAAAAGTGCCGACTACCGTAAATGCGGGTTATTTTGATCGTGGGAGGTAACTTTGATCCAAATTTCCAAACCAATGAAAAACTAATATACGTTTGGTTGTGGGTTATTTTTAGTTTTTTTTTTATGTGATAGGACGGCAAACGATCAGAAGGATTACCTGATGGTAAGCAATCGGCGTCGCCCATGGACACCCGCAACAAAGAAGGAGTTACGAGTGCGTTGCCGACCTTTTAAGGATTGGGATTTTGGGACTAGGAAGGGATTGGGGTAGGGGAAGGATTGGGCCTCCGGTAACCTCACTCACACGGCGAAACACAACGTTGTGGTTGTTTCACGCCGGTTTTCTTTGAGGCCGTGTATCACTCCGGCCGAGCCGACCCATTCGTGCCGAAGCATGCCGAACACTTAGATAGATCAAAGTTACCTGAAGGAACTGTATGTGGTGTGTCTACCAATGAAACTGACACTGCCCTCTATCGTAAATATGAGATGATGATGGATAGCGCTCTGGTTATGCTATTTACCTTCGTGTCCTAACATTTGGTGCTGCCGACTGGTCCGGGGCGGGGGCTCGGGCGACCTCCCTGTACTGTGTTCTCTACTTAAACTGAAACAAAACAAAAAGCATATAAAGTCGACATTTCTTCATTTACTCGTTAGTCAACACCTTTATTTCACTAGTACCTACCGTGAAACACACACAGTTGATTTAGGGCTGTTTTTTCAATGGTTAGTTATAAGTTACCTGAAGAATATTATGATGCTGTCGCGTCAGAATGTTTGTATAAGACAGTGACAGCAACAATTTTATTCCTCTGCTAACTCTTATCTGACTATTGAAAAATCAGCCCTAAGTGAATATAACGACTTGTCAGATACATTTTCTAAGGAAAGCTTTACTAGGATCAAGTAACAACGGGATTTAGTCAAGAACAGCGTGCGCGTCGCGACCAATGAGACTAGTAGAGTTATACTCAGTTAATTCACGGGGAAAGTCATTATTTTAAATATACTTTTAAACCAGGTATAACGAGATAATGAATTTAAATAAGTACGTAGGTATTTGAAGTTGGTGCATTTTCACATGATCTGCAATTCGTAAGGGACTATTTTGTGCCTCAAATACACTACTCACGAAGTTCCTTAGCGAAAAATTAGGCGAAGGTTGACTAAAGTCCGAAGTACTACACTAGACACTCGTTCAACTTTGAGAAAAGCTACATTTGTAGCTTTCATCGTAGCATTCATAAGCAACTTCAGTTTGATGTTGTCACAAAAACAAATGCAAGTCGCTTGAAGCGAGGTAAAGTTGGACGAAGTGAGCCGCGCTTTTAGAATCTCTCTCTACATTAGCTTTTTCTTCTAACCTGGTCCGACTTCGCGAGTACAGAGTATTGAAGACATTACATCTTGTTATCAGCACTATTGGTCTGATAACAAGATAGTTGCCAGTACGCTGCTGGGCTCTTTATTTGAGGATCCGTGGAATTGGGGATAGGAGTAAAGTTCTGGTCTTTCTTTGCTGACTTGGCATCATCATAAATGTGAAAGTCTAAGAAAATGTAAATCTTTGACACCAAAACGACTGACCGATTTAGTCAACACATACGCTCCTTTTTAGCGAAAGCTACGTAAGAATTAATTGTATGTAACTTACCTTCTATGCCTAGGAGTAGAATGCAAGTCGACCCTGGATCTCCGCTGCTGGTTCTGATGATAAAACCTCTGCAGTACTATAGGACTAGTATTACCCGAACTCTGTTTAAAAATAAATTTCCAAATTAATCACTATACACTAACAACGCATGCAAATACAAACTTTAAAACAATAAACACTAAGTCCGAATTACAATGACAGAAAAAATGGCTGAAAACGGTCATAGGACAATTTCATTCACGATGAATTTCATTCATTAGTGACAGATGTGCCAACATCAACTGTATAGTCAAAACACAAAGTTGATTTTACAATGACAAGAGAAGGAAGAGTTTGATTTGCAACGAGAACTAAATATATTCATTCAAATTTGAGCTATATGCTTGTGGTAACTAAGTTTAATTTGGAGTTTTTTTTATGAAATGTTATTGCTATTGAGAAGAAGATAGAAAATGTTCCTATACTAATAATATTTGTTTGTAACAAGTCTAGTGTAGTGATTTGTTTACTGCGATGAATTCTCTCTACAATTCATTCACTAGGTCGACCACGCAGCGCCACCTACTACGTCGCCGCAACTTACAATTTCAAAATGCATTCATTTAAAAATACAATATAAAATTTATTGAATATTTTTTTAAATAAATTAACACTTACTGAATGGCTGACTAATTTCGGATTAAACCGGGACGCTTAACCGTACGATCAATAAACGCGGTGCTCCTTGTATAATAATTATTAAAAATTAATACTATTATTTAAACAGAATGAGCAGTTATTTAAACTGACAATTCGCAAAACATATATTATATAGTTGCGACGACTTAGTAGGTGCAGACATATAGCGAACATACATAGAGCAGCTCCAATTCCTGATCGGGAGACCTAACGAGGATAGTGGGGCTCAGGAGATAGGCCGCCAACCTCGGCTGAGGCACCACTTGGAAGCTTAAGTCCAGCACCGGACGGCGATAGGCACCGTCAATGTTCGCCTGGATTTTATTCTTTCTTATTATTATTTACGTTCATTATCACAAATTGGTATACAACGAGAATCATTTACTTGTAAGCTTCCACCGCAAGTGTGGGAGAGCCAAGCTTCGGCACGAATGGGTCGGCTCGACCGGAGTGATACCACGGCCTCACAGAAAACCGGCGTGAAATAACTACAGCGTTGTGTTTCGCCATTTGAATGAAGTTACCGAAGGTCCAATCCCTAAATATCCAAATCCCTAATCCCAAAAAGGTCGGCAACGCACTCATAACTCCTATGTTGTTGCGGATGTTCATGCGGCGCTGATTGCTTACCATCAGGTAATCCGTCTGCTCGATGCCGACCTATCACATAAAAAAATCATACATCTGCTCATACATAAACATGGGATTATGTGACTCACCGCGGGGGACGCACGCCAGCGATTATCGGCTGACACCCTGCGCACTGGTGGGGGTGGGGGGGATGCGCACGCGTCTATTGTTCTGTGGACAATTCAACAGAAATGTGTTTAAATTGATTTTTATACCAATGAAATTGTAACATTATAATATATGGTAATCAAATCCGAAAACCCCCTTTTTAAGACGAGGATAAGAGGATAATTATTTCTACCGTGGGGAATGTTGACATGATCAACAAACTACGCACTCGTAACTCCTCTGTTGTTGCAGGTGTTCACGGGCGGCGCTGATTGCTTACCATCAGGTAATCTGTTGGCTCGTTTGCCGACCTATCAGATAAAAAAAACAGACTCTTAGTTAGCCGGTTTATTATATTTATTATACCTTCTCCTAGGGTATGGCGAATGGTTCGACATGTCAGTCTCCAAGCTGGTCGGCTGCGAACTGCTTCCACCAGCGTTCGCGTTGCCACTCGTCGCCCACCACGGTCTGAAAATAAATACAGTAGTGAATCTTATGACCTTCCTTATAAGGTTCCAATTCAATTATCAATATGTTTTTTTAAAACCTCAAGAAGATACTTAAAATGGAAACTGACTGAAAAACTATATGGTCTTTTTATATCTTTACTATAAAGAGGTACAATTTGTAATTTCGATGTTTGTATATAAGGGGTAATCTTTGGAACCGCTGGTAGGATTTAAAAAAAATCTTTCACTGATGGCGTAGCTACAATGTTCCTGAGTACTATAAGCTATGAAACATCACGCTACGATCTATAGGAACCGAGCAGCGAGTGAAACCGCGCGATGGCAGCTAGTCCTGATTTATAATTTTTTATTGGTGGTACTTTTGATATAAGTTTAAATTAAGATGAAGGACCATAGACATCAGACACAACACATTTCCGTACTTACCTCGATGGCGTAGGAGTAACTTGCTCCATCCAATGCTGCGAGCTAGTCACGAAGTTCCTCACTGGTTGTGGAGTGACGGGCGTCTCGACGCCATTACTAGGGGCAGTGGGCGTGGTCTGTGGCGAAGGAGTGGGTTTAGCCCCGCCCCCCTGCCCCGAGATAGAGAGGGAGGCGTACCACGCGCCCACTGATATGGAACTCCGCGCGGATTTGACAACGAACGGATGTTCTAGAAGCTTCGCGTATTTGGGACGCTGTCTGTAGTTCTTTGTTAGGCTGAAAAGTAAGAATGTGTGATTGAAACGTGATCTTGAAAAGTTATTATGTTTGTTTCTAGTACTAGCGACACTAACAGTAGACACTCGCCCTATGTTCATGTTTTTCATTGACTGATTTACTTGTTGTTTTTTTTGTATAACTTTTTCCTATTCTCTTTGTTCCTAACGAGGTTACGTAGTTAACTGGAAAAACTTGCGGAAGAATGGGATCTCCTAACACAAGCATAATTCTTGACTAAAAGAGCATTCCATGTTTTAATGTCTATTTTCGATGACTAGACTCAGAACGGGAAAAAAAATTAAATAACAGAAACTCACCACTGGGACACAAATAATTTGAACTCTGGTGTGAAGTCATCGGTGTCTGGAAGCTGCGGGGGATCGTCTGCTATTACCTGGGGGATAAACATTATCATCTTTATTACTGTATTTCAACCCTACTGCTGATATATGAGGTTGGGAATCATCAATAAAAGAAAGCTATATTGTATTGACATGATTGTTATCAAGGCAAATAGCACTTTAACACTCAAAAAATAAAGTCCATAATTGTTATACGATAACTTCCTTGATGTGCAATTAATTAATTAATAAATAATGAAAGGCATTCGCCGTATACTCAGCAATATTTCACATGACTAATTAGGTACTAGCTCTGAGCGGTATGAACTGGTTGACTTATCTCGTCACAGATCTATGAGTCCCTAAGCCAAATCATTAGCCCATAAGTGACCACTGATGGGGAAGGCTTTGCTGACCAGTGTGATATAAGCTGATGATGTGATAATGTGTAATCAGTAAACTTACCCTAGTGAGTACTTCGAAATCGTTCTGACAGTCTCTGTAGGGGAAGACTCCGGTGGCGAGCTCGACGAGTGAGATGCCGAGCGACCATACGTCGGCCCGGATGTCGTAGTCCGGCCGCGTCGGGTCCGGCGGGTCTATCCGCTCCGGCTGTGGGCATCGAATTAATGTTGATTAAAATAATATTAACAAATTCAATGTTCCTATAGAATCGGGAGATTTATAAGGCATAATGTTACTCAAGAGGAGTAAGTGGAAGGGCTACGAGTTATACTACTTCATTCGAGGTTATGTTAATAAAGTTAAAATTTATTATGTATGTTCTTTCTATGAATGGAACCGCTTGGTCCTCCTGTCTTTTCGAATGAGAAATACTGTTTTTGATGCCAATCATGCCTGACAGACTACTGTCCAACAGTTGCACATTTAGATTTTCCATATGTATGAGTCCGCACAAATTTTCTTTACATAATATAGAACTTGTGACGTCCATCATTCGAGTTTTACCTTCAAATCTTCTTTGCATCGCCACAACAAATAGAAATATTAGCCAATAGTTTATTTGACAAGAGACCATTCGTTAGTCCATTACAGAAACAATACTCACAGCCATATAGGCAGCACAGCCAGCGCTCCTGGTCTTGGCCTTGGAGTCGACGAGGCGGCCGCTGATGCCGAAGTCGCAGAGCTTGACGTTGCCGCGCTCGTCCAGCAGGATGTTGCTCGGCTTCACGTCGCGGTGGATCACGCCGTGCGTGTCCTTCAGGTACGATAGCGCGTTCACCGTCTGGTATATACATACAGACATGTTATTGTATGTACTTAATACATAACTATACATGGACAGTTTTAAGACAGCAAGAAAATAAGTTGATAAAAAATTGTATGGTCTTATTGTGATTTATATTTAAAAGGTATTGGAAAGAATCAAAGATGTTTCAGCCAAATTCCTTACATTATAAATCTTTTTTTGTCGAAAAGTCTTTGCCCCACACTAGGATTTTCTGCTGTGTCGTGGGTGCGTTTACAAACATATAATTTCAATTTCACATACACAAACCAACAACAATTTGTGGATTATTACACAAAGAGTTGTTCCGTGCGGGAATCGAACTCGCGACTCGCTGCGCGGAAGCCAGTTGCCCTGCCACCGCGCCAACCGGCCATTCATAATAAATTTAAATTGTACCCAGACCGCCATGAGATAAGACAAAACTAAATAAACAAAAACACTCACCGCTACCGTTACTTTTCCCAAAATAGCCTCAGGTATAGGAGCTCCGAGCCTCTTCAGCAGCTTATCAAAACAGGAAGCCATCAGTTCCATGCAGATCCAGACGTCAGCGTCAGTCACGAAGCAGCCCAAACACCTTACGATGTAGGGACAATCGTGGGAACGGACCACCACATCCAAGTCCATTAGGATACGTTTTGTCTCCTCCGAATTGCCAGAACGACGCATTTGCTGTTGAAAAAATATATAGGTATTGTATTTATTAAAATAGGAACATATAGAATTTAATTGAGAAAAACTCGGCATGGAAAGCATTCTTTTAGATTGTGAGTACGCATATATGTTAGCGCCATGTTCGAGTCGACAAGAATTAAAATTTAATGTCAACATTTTTTTAAAAAGAGTAACGGTGGAGTTTGTCTGATTTTTTTCCTTTCGAATCAACAATTTCGAATGAGCACCTAGCTTCACTGACGAATAGACTGACAGACTACTTTCTATTTTGACGTTTCAAAAGTACCCACTTATGGTTTAGTTGGAATAAATGATTTTGATTTGATTTAACACAGTTATCAACTCGACTGAATTCTCAAATAATTCGGCAACGCACTCCTCCAACGAAATTCCTGGAGTGGTGACATTAGGCAACCAGACCGCTCGATAACCGCTTCAGAATAAATACTAACGTAAGCTAACGTTTTAAAAATAAAAATGCGCAATGTAATACGAACCTTAACAGCTATGACAGTGTTGGAAGGTTTGTGGAGCATCTTGACAACATGGCCGCAGGTGCCGCTGCCGAGCTCGCCCAGCTGCTGCAGGTCGTCCACGTGTGATCTGTACTCCACGCCGTCAACATTCAGCTTACCACTAACCTGCATCCAAATTATTATCATGTATAAGGAAGAATGTGATTTAACCGCCCATTGATCATTTCTTCGTAACATAATTTTTCAACTAGCTGACCTGGCAAATTTTGTTTTGCCATTTACCCTTATAACTTAAGGGTAAAAAAATAGTCAATAGCCGATTCTCAAAAAGAGTCTTACTGACTATGCTTGTAAAATTTGGTAAAAATCAGTCAAGTAGTTTCGGAGGAGTAAGGTAACTAATTTTATAAAAACACAAGAATAGAGATAATTGCGGTAAAATTGTATAAGATTGACTAATCAATAAACTTATATTTTATACTCTCCCCTAAACAGCTCAAACAGGTGAAAAAAATATTTCTTTTTTGTAACCTATTGAAGATTCATTTAAGAATGATGTACCTACCACAACAAATAAATAATATTACAAAACTATAAGGTTCACAATGTATTGACAGATTGGTCTAAGCAATAAAGGAGATTGTAGTCTCTGTTAATAGAAACAAAGCTAATATTACCATAACACAGTTGTAAATAGTAAAGTGTAGCAATTACCTTATAAACCTCTCTCATTCTGTATTCAGTCTCAGAAGCTTGCGGTGACCTTGGTGGGAATTCTGTTATGTTTCTGGTGGGAAACATTGATGCTGGAACAGATGAACATCATTTATTAGAATACAGGCCTCATTAACAGATAGCAATCAGAACAATAAAATGTGTGTAGCAAGGCTTCTACATTGGACTTAAATAGAGGTAATGTAAAATAATGTCCAAAATTACAGTTATGTATTTCATCCAAGGGTCATCATCACACATGATGGTAGGTAATCAGTTCCATTGGCTATTGCGGCAAACTAACACTCTATAAACAGTTTGTCTAAACCAATAACATCAAATGCATATGCATAATCCTACCAATATTATAAATGTGTTTGTGTGGGAATGGATGGCAGTTAATACTTATTCACATAAATACTACTCATTGGATTTTGATGGAAAATTGGCACAGAGAAACTATAGTCTGGAATAACACAATTTTTCACTGTTGTACAGCGGGCAAAGCGGCAATATCAAAATAAATATGCTGTGGCTCAAGGTATCAAAGGGAAAGTTTTAAGCTGTGATATGTCAGATTGTTGGTCATATACTGGTAGACAAGAGATTAAAATACTATGACTGTAATTCTATCTTTTAGATTTAAATTAGAAATACTTCTGGCTCATACTATTGGTACATAGAGAGTGAAAGTGATACATTAGTTATTTTGGCAAAGATAGCATCAACAAATCATTTTCAGCCATCTGTGAAATGCGGCATTATTATTTCTGGACCCTATTAAATGAGATACTAATTGAAGCTCACACTTTGGCAAAAAGTCTTAAAAAGAATAGGTGAATTACCTAGCTATCCAAAAACAGACAGCATTCTACAAATATTACACCCCTTTTTTATATTGTAGAACAAAATATGCTGAATAATGGGGACACATTTCATATTTGGAACAGAATCAGTTAAATGTTTTACCTAATTGACAAAAGGAGGATTATAACTGAAATTTTCAAGGTTCACATTAAAGCATAACCTGATATATTAGTTGAACAAGAGACTAATAAGAAACATATAACATTATAATCAAATAGTGAAGTAACACAGAGTTGTATTATTATATCAATGGATTATCTTTCATTATCATTTGTACATCTATGACATAACATGGTTATGACGGACTAATCATAACTTTACATATAACATTTTACAACAGGAAGTCTTAAATTCTAGTACTGATAGATATGCCTCATCACAAGCAATAAATTGTCACAAAAATATTCTGACTAGTTTATTGTTGGAATTAACACACATACATATACACTGCAAATGACTGGTTTGAAGAAAATCCATTGTTTACATCTGGTCCCATTTATAAATAATTTATGTTTATTTCTCTAATATTGTGGCATATTGTAAACCAATAATCAAATATCTTAGTTACAAAATCCACAATAATGACAATAGAAAATCAATTAGATTATCAGTTATTTCAGAATAAAGAACAACCTCTATTTAGTAGGTCATTGTAAAGAAAGATTTTTGGTAAATATTAGCAGTGCCAGCTAATGTGGATGTCATTGGTTACTTAAATAAAATCATGCATTATAACAGGAGCTTGTAATAAACATTGGTGCCAAGGTACATAACTACAATATCAAATAGTATAAGCTAAAACAAAAACAGAAAAACAATGAATGGGTTCATGTCTCAGAAATGACCACCCACCGCACACTCAATGCCAATTTATGCAAATAATTTGTACACAATGTGCAGCACAGGCGGCAGGGAAGCTGTCTGCATGCGTTATAACATATTAATTTGTGACTGAACACAGCATAACCTTTATTCATGTTGATAACAGAGGCCCACTCTCTGCTGTCTAATCTACACTGAATTTCATACTTCTTATTGATAGAGATCACAAATTATTATTGTATCATTTTCTAAAAGCACAGAACTTGTAAATAAACAACGAATAATAGCAGCACAGCTTCAAAAATATGTATTAAACTAAAAGATAAAAATGTAATGAGCATGAATGATGGATGCCCTTTGACTGTAAAAAGCGCATGTATGCCGAACATTAACACAATGATACTCACGGGGCTTCGGCCTGGTCCTGCCACCCCCCGGCCTGGGAGTCCCAATTCCACCTTGGTTGTTGAAACCACCTTCTCTTCGAATACGCATTTCATTTTCGAAACGTTCTTGTAAACCTTTCAGCTTCCCCTCAATCGAACTATTTGACATTATAGCAACAAAAATAGTCCACTGATACCATTTAAGTACTTATTACAAAACAATTATCCTAAATTTTATTTACACAAAATTACAATGAAAAGCGCAGCAGTCCAAGGATTTCCTTCAATTTCCTTCGCCAACCATTTCCATTCGTTCGTTTTTAATCTTCTAATCACCACAAGATGTTCACTCATTTGATCAAAACATTCATATTTTATCCGGCCAAAACAAAAAGTACTGAGACTTTCCAGTTTTTCTCTTTCTTACAAACTGATTGTGCGTAAGCAGTGGAGTTGAATAAGTGATATTTATTCTGGTCGATTGCAGTTTTTAATTGTCAATTTAAAAAAATAATAATAAGAATAATTGAGTAATTATCAAATCAAATCTAAAGCAATAATGATGCAAAACGACGATTATAATGAATTTTAATATTTCCAGAAACATTTTCATTTGCCCGTTTCTGAACGCAGATTTTTTATCTGTCGCTGTCGCTTAATTCGCAAAAGACTTGATCCCAAACACAGATAAAAAATATAATTCATTTCATTTCGCGTTTCTCGTCTTTTTGTACTTTCCGAAAAGAGAAAACGAGATATTTCGGATTTCTACAAGTGATTGTATACTTTAGTTTCCTTCGGGATTAATATTAAAATAAATCAACAATAAATGTCTAGCAATAACTAGTGCGACTTTAAGTACGTAAGTGTAATGAAGGAAGTGAAAAAGTGTCAGAAACTTGTTTCCCTTTGATGAAATGACGTGAAAATACAATTTCATAAACATTTTAGTGGAAATGTGTTTGTTATTGTGCGTTTGATTGTGGATGTTCGATCATGATGCAGTCAACGTCGGAGGGATGTATGAATATCGCCGAGCTAGCGAATCAGCTGAGGCGAGAGAAGATATTTATCAACTCTGAGAGGCAGCTGTTGCAGAAGCTCAATGAGGATGTCGAGAAGCGAGCTCTGGAGCTTCTGCAGGTGGCCTGGATTTGCCTACAGCAGCGCCAGAACCTTACGAATTTAATAACATCAAGATGTGATGCTGACTCCATAGCATACTGCCAGAGAGCAAGTCACCTTGAAAGAGCGATTTTTGTGGATGCCTTTAAAGTCTTAAAGTACAAGGTAACTCTTTTTTTTATGAAAAAGACACAAATCTTACTTTACAAGTACCCTACATTTAAGTTTTATTTTAATAAAAAGTCACATGACATCAAAAAAATTGAGATGGAATAATATAATCTATTAGTTTGTTATGATTTCTGATAAAACATTGATAGCACTACAGAGCAACAACCTACATGTCCACCCACTTTTTACAATTATCAGTAACTAATAAGCAATTTCAAGCATAGTTCATTTAATTAAATTATTACTTACAAATCTTTACATGTAACACATTTAATTACACTATTACTGCATATTATCCTGCATTGTCATAATAGGAAGTCATTTTAACTAAAGTTCTTGAACACAATTCGAAGTAGTTAATGACATTTCTCATGTTTTATGTTATAATCTAATTGTCACCCAATATTCTCTCTTAGCCAAATGGTTGACCTTAATAAATCGAATTATTTTATTACAAGTATGTAATAAACAAACCTGTAATAATTAATGCTTGCTTCACCTCCTATAACATTTATTTTGTGAATACCTATATAATCTTATACAGGCTAGCTCCCCTTCCTGATTTTCACTAGCCATTATTTTCGAAACAGTTCTGTAATTATTATTTTTTACAAGCAATTCCTGATAAATTTACTGGGAGGTTTAGGTGTAGTGCATTTTTAGGTATTTACTTTTATCATGTATAAAATATTACAAGTATCCGATTAGAATTGTAGTCTTATAAGGCAAATAATTTGTGAGAAATAAATGAGTATAGAACTCATTTATTTCTATTTTAATTAATTTATAAATTATATTTAGCTAATTATTCAGGTATTTTTTCACTACCGAAACAATATGAAGGCTAACTAAGGGAAATAAGTCAGGTACTGAGTAGAAATTTATTTGGACTTCCAACAATGAAAATACAGAATATAAACTATGCTATGCTTTCTTATTTATAGGAAACCACATCATGCATAATAAGAATAACAGAGTCAATTACCAATTAATTGTAATTGAAATAAAGACTTAAGGTTAACAAAACGAAAAAAAATAACAATCACAAAATTATTTTCTTGATAATGTCTTTGAAGTATTCAAAAATTACTATATATACTATATGTACAGGTCTTTGGATGTACCGAAACTCTGTTATATGTAATACACATTCTTGGAATTGAAGAGTGTTTACCGAGATTGTAACTACAGCGACTAAACTAAATTTCCTTTATTAGATGTATAAAGTTTTAGATCAGCATGCAATTAGGAAAATTATACTTTTTTTTACTTAATAACAACACAGAATGCAGTTGAAAATATTAAAAATGCATTAGAAATTTCTGTTTCAATTACATTACACATAAATTGTATACATTTTTGTCCTCTCTTTATGCTACGTAAACTTGATCTAATTTAATTTAGTTTATCAACAGCCTGGGGTTATCTTCTAACACTGTTCTTGTTTAATATAAGTCCACAGCTTAAGTAGATGAGTAACTAATGACCTAATTGTACACACATACTCATATTTAGTTCTAAAATTGTACTTAAAACAACTCTCATATGGTTTTACCCACTGCTTACCGCCTATTTAGTGTTGTATGGTATTTTTTGCCCAAGTGTTGCTCTATAAATAAGTACTAGAAATAGACTCGTTAATACAAAAATTTTAACCATTAACTATTTCGGTATATTAGTGCATCCAGGAGATAAAGAAATCAATATTTTTATAACAATTTTATTGCTTATTGGTATATTGGTTACAGATGCCACTAGTTAGGATAGTCTAGTATTCCACTGCGGGTCACACTGGTGTTATTGCATTATTGTTATAAGTATCTTGTATATCATGATAAGGACATCCATTCATCCATGTTGCATGTAAAAGTTGCATTCAACATAACTATATTGCACCTCTATAAATCTTTTCTGGGATTGAATACTCTATATTACATAACGGACTTAATTACACCAACAAAAATGCTTTTAAAAAAAATACAGTAAAAGTTCATAAAACAAACAGACAGACAGACAATAAAACGAGCTGTACCTGTATCACATTGTTTTAATAACTTGTCACTGCTAGTCACACATGGTGGTCTGAAACAATAGTGTTCATTACCATTTAGTTGCGAGCTACCTTGTTATGTGCCTTTGTGTAACTCTGTGACAAGTTGACGACTGCCTGTGAATGCTATAGTATATTTAGTATGTGTAGGATAATGTGAGGGCAGTCAAACAGGAAATTAGGTGAATTGAGTTACAATGAATCTGATTTGCGACTTCGTGTTGCTTCGGTTAGGAAAAAATTTTGGGTGGAGTTCTTCATGTAGTTGGTGATTTAGAAATAAACACTAATGCCTCGTTTTTGACTGATTGAGTTTTCGACTTTTTCACATTATAGATATGTAATTTTAAAAAAGGGATTTTAATTCTAGAATATCCAATCAATGTTCCGACGTTTAATATAGAACTATGCGTACAGCAATCCTGATTTAATTTGGTTCTGGTGAATTACTTTACACATAGAAAACGTAGAAAATACGGACTGCTTCGTAGGTAGAGTGGTCGCAATTGCGATCTTACAAGGGACTAAGTAAGGTTCGTTTTCCGGATCGGGCGGTTCTTAGTAACAGCACGGAATCTAGTTTTCCACCCGATATATGACATTATTCTTATTCCTTATTATTTGGGGCTCAAAACGCAAATGGTGAAAATCGGTTTCCATTGCGAAAACAAAATACAATACGGTAATACCTCGCGGTCTGATTTGCTTATATAGCATAAAACTTTAATACATTACAGATAAATACATGATTATGATAATTTACTACAGAATTCACGTCATATGTATTTCCTGGTATATTATTACTACAGTTTCATTGAATCTGATGATAAATCCGCCACCTACACACAAGCAAACCAATATTTATAATGACACACTCGTTCGTTGAATGCAACGGAGATAAAGTAGCACGAGCACCGAAATAATGTGTCACCTTTTCTCCAAAACAACTACACAATAAATGTTAAGCACCTGTTTTATTACCTTCGTATAAGTTCCCGATAAAGTTATGTGGAACACAGTGCGTGCAATATTACGTTTTATATTGCAACTACCAGCGACCTGCCCCAGCTTCCCACGGATGCAATGCTAATACTAAACTACTCCACTCTTCAATCACTATCAATTTAAAAAAACCGCATCAAAATCCGCTGCGTAGTTTTAAAGATAGACGTATAATACAGATAGGGTACATAAAGACAGGGACCGTAAAAGCGATTTTGTTTTATACTATGTAGTGATTTATCTAATACATAGCGGCTATGCATATGTTGTGAAAAAGGCTCTTAATATTTAACTGAATTATAATATATAGCCACCTTCAATAAAACAATATGAAATATCTTACTGATGGTAGAAAATTACTTTTGCGCTTATTTTTTCACAGTGACTTTAATCTACAACAGATACCTAATCAAATCAGTGGCTACCATGTAATTTAAAATATAATTAAGAAATACAGCAGTTACATAGTCATTAACAGACATAGAAAATAATGATTACATACACAGTTGTTAGGAAAACAATCTTAATATTATATATATTAAATATTATATATAATAAATAAATAAATAAATAAATATAATATGACTCTTATACAAATTAAGGTGTTGAAATACAAATAATGTTTGAAGACATTTTATTACTGAGGCTTGGCAATATGATAATTATAAACTGAAGGGATCAATGATTATCGATTTTGTTGAGCAGCACTCGTCCTCGAGGCATGCCTAAGCAATCGCCAGTGTCTCACGCTACACTGTTTATCAATAATGCACTTTATTGATCCGTCTTGTCCCTTTGTCGGCAGTCAGTCTTAAAGGTTCTAATACTGTAGCCTCTTACACGCATCAAACGATACTTTGTTCAGAAAACTGTCAATAGCTATCTGTTGTTATAATATTATTTATTTATCTGTGGGTAGCGGAAATGTTAACATGTAAGCTTCGGTATTTTTTTTTACCAATACATCCTATTTTCATACTTAGCCATTTTTTTTTTGCAAACTTGCAATAATCATTCTTTAGCCAATCAACTGTCCTACTGTTTAGCATATGTAGGTCTGTTTTGACTCGGAAAAGGAAAAACGGACCTATGTTAAGGTGCAGTTCCATTGAGGCGAAGCGGAGAAGAGCTGTGCCGCGATTTACCAATCACATGGCTTTGAATCCACATCGGAGAATAGATGTGAATGGTTGCTCCGCTCCGCCTTAATGGAACTGCACCCTTATAGTGCCATAAATCTGCGCTGTGGTGGATACCACAAAGCCAAATAAACTCGCAGTAGACACCAATAGTTACCAAAAGCTAGAATTAGAATAGGTAGACAAAATCGATTGATGACTAAGTTGCAATAAGGAAAATTAGTATTATTTAGGAATCAGCACCGTCACGAATGAAAGTTACAACTAAAACAATAGTTTAGTTAGAAAGTTTGTTAGTAATTTCACAATTCAATGATTGTTGTAAACACTCAATTCACAACATGACATCCGTTTTAGGTTGACTTAAAAATGATACAATTATTTATAACGAGCTTCCGCCTGCGGCTCCGCTTGCGTGATTATGATAAAAACTAGCCTATGTCTTATTCTGGAGAGTCTTATGCCTGTGCCAAATTTCATCCAGATCCGTCCAGCTGTTTTCAAACGTCGTAACTTTCGCATTTATAATATTAGTAAGATTATCTCAACAGGAAAGGAAATTTTGCATTCATCCCAATCCCATGATACAAAGCAAAATTGCCTATTAGGTCTTGGAAAAACATACTGACCCACTGAAGTTCAAATCATGATTAGAGGTATAAATAAAGCAGTATTAAGATCTATCTATAATAATTATCAACCTTATAGTTTTTGAAAACTGCAAGTAATTAGGAAGCAAAGCTTTTTTCTTAGTCCGCTAACTAAACAGCTGGTTGCGTGATAGTGTGCAGAAGAAAGAACGAGGTGGTTTTTAGGCCATAAATGTCTGACACTCCTTGTAGTGGGTGGGGCCAGGGTGGTAGAAGGCGCAAGAGCCAATAGACCACCACAGACGGGGCCCTATAGGGCTGATGTTCAGCCGGGGTTGCGGGGTAAGCGCAATGAGGCGCCTCGACCTCGGCCCAGAGCAGGAGAAGGAACGGGGAGTTTTTAGTCAGTAAGAGTCTGATACTTCCTCCCGACCTACCCTGGGCGGGAGAAGTCATTTGATGATGTTCCCCTCACAAAAAAGAGTGTTAGAAGGAATGTGATGTTAACTTACTTATGACTAACAATACCTAGATGCAAAATACACATACGAGTCGTAAGCAATCCCTTCCATGACCTACGTTAAGAGGAAGTAAGCGTACCAGTTTGTTATGGGCCATTCTCAACGTGTTTATGATTACTTAATGATTTATTGGTCGTTTCTGCAATACTGCTAAATTAATAGAACCGCACTTAATAGAGTAGGAACTTGCGTGGTTTCTCTGACTCGAGTAGTCAATCAATTTACTAAGTGAATTGGCATATTGCTGTTATAGTTTTTTGGACAAAAAACGGCATTCATACATGAGGCTATGTAATCGATGTTTATACACATTAAGACTGGAAGACTTGTACTGCAGATGCCATGAGGTTCTTTGGTTGTACTTCAATTGTTTGTTTAGGATACAATCGCAACTCGCCCGGATCTCGATGTTTAAACACGTGCATCTTCTTTGCAAATATCATGAAAATTAAATTAGTACAAGTAAATTAGTACTAGGTTGCTAAAATTTCGTTATGAAGTTGGATCAATTATATGTTTCTTAAATGCCTTGCTTGCGTGCTATGACGGCTCTCCAAACAGCTCTGGTACTTGGTGCTTCAGCGAGTACAGGCAATTTGTATATCTCAACCTCTCCATATGAATATTTATAGGTAACTTAATTAACAATTACTGTAGGACCGTATGCTCCACCGTGTCCTCTTTGTTCGTAAGTCCTCTTTTTTTTGTAATAGATCGGCAAACGAGCTGATGGATTACCCGATGGTAAGCAATTACGCTGCCCTCGGACACCCGCAGCGGAGGAGTTACAAGTGCGTTGCCGACCTTTTAGGGATTGGGGAAGGATCGCGGGAGGGGAAGGATTGGGCCGCCGGTAAACTCACTCACACGATTCTCACTCATCTGCTGTTGAGTGTTAGACACACTCAACAGCAGAGAGCGGCGCCTATTGCTTTCTATCAGGTAAACCGTCTGCTCGTTTGCAGACTTTTTAAGCGGGACTTGTCTGAATGACTTTTCCCCTTGAGTCGAGCTAGACGCAGTGTCAAATTCTTACTGACTAAAAATCACCCTATTTCCTTATCCTGCTTCGAGCCGGGGCCGGGTACATTATAGCTTGGACTGGGCTTATGATATTATCCTTACATATTTTAAAACCAAGTAATTTTTATTTAGTTAATAATACCTGTATAAAACTATATAAATGCCATGAAATATGAAACAAGTGGATGGTTTTGTGTACTTAAAAAAATAGTGTGTTTCCTGAGGAAGGTAATTAACTGAAATTTATAAATTAAAATTGTTTGAACGTCGCGCGTCGCAAGTAAAAAGTTTTACTTAATTTGTTTGTAAACTCCTTTACCTATATATGTATACTCTCTGGTCTAGCTGTAGTAGTATTTATTCCACATTAAATGTAATATCAGACCTTTGTAACACGTTAGGCATGCTTGACGGATAATGCACTATGCGTTCGCATGACTTGCAAACAACTCTCTTGACCTGCCCGGCAGTTGCAGGAAGTTTTAGGGACGGCGACGGCTGGCTCGCGACTACTTGCTAAACGCAATTGTTTAGCGACCAGTTTTACAGTGTAACGCTATATTATTGTTTACTTGTTTTATTTAATTAACACTCTTTTTAATACACACAATGGCGGACTTCATGCTGAAAGGCATTCTCTATCCTTGTTAAAGCAGATTGATGGAAAACTAACTTAGATTAAATACATTTCGAAATTGTTTAAGAACAGTGATTTCTATGCTAAAAGAAAAGCATCAACGCAAACATTTATGAAAAAATCGTAATTTGTTTCGCGTTTACAGTTGATTTCAATTAATAGGATTACTTCCGCGCGGTTTCACTAGCTTACTGTTTCACTGCTTGGCTCTTATTGGCCGTGGCGTGAAGTTTTATAGTCTGCAGCCTTCCTCTATAAATGGAGTATCCGACATAAACATAACTATTCAAATCGAAATAGTAGTTCCAGTGATTAGCGCGTTCAAACAAACATACTGGTCGGCTTTCTAATATAAGTATGATTGAAAGACAGAACGCTCAGTTCTCGTAAACTCGTAAAATATCTTCCTAAACGCCAACAAAAATGTTATTGCAGTAAATATATTATTATGTACCTAGTTATTATTAGCTGCTATTGGCACGTGTTCTTACAGCGAAATACGACTTATATTTATGGCAAAAAGCAAATGCAGTTACTCTTTAAAAATCACGAAACATGTATTAAAATGATTGCACTGAAGTGAAATTGACTTCATTTTTTTTTTTTGTCAGGGGAAAATCTTCCAATGACTTCTCCCGCCCAGGGTAAGGCGAGAGAGAGTGTCAGACTCTTACTGACTAAAAACCCCCCGTTCCTTCTCCTGCTCTGTGCCGAAGTCGCGGTGCCTCATTGCGCTTACCCCGCAGCCCCGGCAAATTGACTTCATTGTGTTCCATATAGGGAATCAGTAATAAAATATTATTACTTATTACCGCGGGAAAACGTTGAATGGGACAGACGGACGCGGACGTCTGCGTAATTGAAACACGGAATGACCTGCCGCCCTCGCGTCCATGTTGTCGTAGGTCAGGAGAAAATAGGGAATAGCGTGCATGATGTACCTATTTAGTATAATGAATATTTTATCATGCGGTATCTGTTACAAAAATTATTAAAACCTTCATAAGACTGTATGTGTATGTATATCTACCTCTGAATACAGGTGTTGCTAATTACGGCTAAAAATTTAACTGAAATTAATTCAAAATCGGTATAAAAATATGATAGGAGGCTCGTCACCGACATTTGTTTAAGTTTCTGTTATAAACTTATATCTATAGGTTTTGGTTTTAAGATCCTTTATTAATTTCGGTATCATGTTCAACGCGCGCTTTTTTTCATCTTACGACGATAATAGGCACTTCTTATTGCTTTGATTTATTGTGTTAGAGTAAAAGCAATTTATTGTATACACGCATAGTTTTAGATTAACTTGCAACTACAATCCGTATAGCATTATTTACTTAAATTAAAATCATTCTCTAGAAACGTGGTTTATAAGTAAAGCGCTTTAATGGATGTCATTGTACGTATAAACCTTCCTATTTAATAAGTCTATCTATTAAAAAACCGCATCAAAATTCGTTACGCAGTTTTAAAGATTTAAGCATACATAGGGATTTTTCTTCTTAGTCGTTACAGTCCCAGGATGGTCATGCCTGTTAACAGCTCTCATGGGATAAATAATGTTTTGTAGTTTTCCCTTGCTTTGTACATCTACATAGGGATATAGTGATAGAAAAAGCGACTTTGTTTTATATTAAGTAGTTTTGATAATTTAAAAGAGATACCAAAAAAATGGTTTGTAGTTTATCTAACTTTATTACATTGACTAACTTCAACTCTCGACCGATAACTGTTGCGGGCAATCGTTCGCTAGCGTGACCCCTATTGCATTTGACGTGTTAAATAACTTAATTTTGTCTGCTACAGGAAGCGACGGCTCTAGGCGAGCTCCTAGGATGGCTCCGCGAATCCCCACACCTGGTGTCTCTCTGCCTTCTCCTGGGCGAGGACAATATCCCACCAAGTTTGCCAGTTGCGTTGATGTCTGGACTATACGGCAGCTGCCGATCAGCTTCAGACAGGACCCGGTTCCTGGCTGTCATTAGGTCGCTTATCAAACACCAAATGGCACCGTCCAGTGATCCTAGGAAGTAAGTAGTCTTTTAAACATATTTTCTTAACTTAGCGCAGTTGAAATGAGTCAAAACTTATGTGTTACAGACACACAAACTTGCAAGCTAGGTAGTCCAAAGTTCGAATCAAGCAATCTGAAACAATCTTGTTAAAAGTGTGAAAACCCGAATTATTTAATGGTAATTGCGGGGCTGTGGGTATTGAGTTAACAATGAGAAATATACATATTTTTTATGTTATAAGCCGGCAAACGATCAAACGGATTACCTGATGGTAAGCAATCACCGCCGCCCATTGACACTCTCAATCCCAAAGGAGTAACTGCTAGTGCGTTTTCAGCCAGTCGCGCGTTGTTAGGGATTCACCGATAGGGGATTTGAGGATAGAGGATAGGGGGGTGGGGAGGATTGGACCTCTAGTCACCTCTCTCACACGACGAAACACATGTAAGCATTGCAGTATAAATATCTTTTCCACAGATTTTTCCGTACTGGTAAATGTGCATTGTCTTCCTTGTATGCGGTATACCGTGATGGACATACGCCAGCTCGTCAGTTCCTGGTCGCAGTGCTACAGAACCCCGTGATGGCTGTACTGCATGAGGACGAGTTCTTCTTAGACATAGACCCTGATAAAGCTATGGAGAGGTGAGTCTTGACAAAGGGTTTTTTCAATTATTCCATGTAAGTACAGGAACTTTTATATATTTGTGAAGAATTGTCCGTCAGTCGGTTGGTCAATAAAACTGGGAACGGCGTTCCAAAATGGAGATTGGTCTCTCATCAGCCTATAAGCCCCCACTGCTGAGCAAAGGCCTCTTCTCACACGGAGAAGGTTTGAGCATTAATCACCACGCTTGCCCATTGCGGGTTGGCGATTTCAAACTTAACCTCGGGACCACCACGACCTCACATATGCCTTACAATAGTAAATATTCAAAAATGTGCTTGAAGTGATGCTTTTTTATATCGTAAGTACTATTGTGTTTCTCATTTAGAATTTGTCATATCACCGACGTTGGCACGGATATAAATATTTCAACTAATTTCTGTGTTGTATTGTAAATTCATAAGTGATTTTGTCAGGTAAAAGTCACGATCAATAATGAATCTTAAACACGAGTCTAGACGGTCTATAATAAGTAATTAAGTTATAAAACTTTTATGCATCATTGATATTTTATGCGCTAGAAACTTACATGTGGTAGGCACTAGCCATTTGGTCTTGATAATAATTTTCTTCAGTTCAATTTGAACTGTATACTCTTGAATGAAAGCTGAAAATAGATTGCAGTTTCAAACTCATTGTTTAAAAAAAACAATTGATGAGAAATGTGTTCTGTGTTATTTATAATCTAAACATTTATTGAGTAGTGCGAGATTAGAAGTGTCCGTCACTTTTATTTTAATAACATGTAGCTCACGTTGCGGGTACAAACGCAATTCTTTATGTACCGCGACCCGACCCGCAGCTGAAAAGAGAACGGGGTGGTTTTAGTCAGTAATGGTCGGGCACCACTAAAGGGAAATGCCATATCGCGATAGTGGTCGTTAATCGTAGGTGTAATTTGATCACTAAACAAATGACTTAAGGTATATTTTTCATTGTTTATCGCGATAATTATTGGCATTTCCCCAGCATAAGATTCTCTATTTATACACATCGCAGTCATACACTCCCCCTATCTACCTAGGCCGGGAAAAGTACGTTGGTGATTGTCCCCACTCACAAAAAAAACTGTTCTTTGAAGTCATCCGTGGCCGTGGACTTCATTTACATGTCAATTAATTAATTAGTTTCATGAATTTAAACCCAAGTAAATATTAGGATTTTGAGATAAATTACCATTATTTCGGCTCAACAAATTCGAATAACTTATTTTATTTTTTCGATAAGAAAACCTTTTCATTTATAGAACATTGTTAATTTTTAACATGAACTTATCAACTTTATACTTACCTACTCCACAAATCTTACATGTTATTTAAACAACCAGTTGTTCAATATAAGAATTCTTAATACAGAACAACTAATCATGAAGCATTTTATTTAAAGCCATTCTGATGAATAACAATATATTTAGCCATCTGCTAGCTGACCTTGTACTATCCATCATTTTGCGCGTAAATAATGAACCTGTCCAGTTCTTCTTTGAAGTGTGCACAGGTATTTCTAGAATAATCGACGGATACATTACATATTTGACGTTTATTGTCTTTGTTTCGTGCGTGTGTGCGTTATTGGTATGTTGTGTACTTGTATTTCTTTCAAAATTGGAACTGCTTTATACGTCTTATTATCAAAAGTCGACTTAAGTATATGTTACAATAAGGTTCTTGTTTGAGTAGGTTCTGTTACAAAATCTGTCTAACGTTTTTCAGTGTAGGCTACTACCTACACTGAAAAACGTTAGACAGATTTTGTGACGAACTATCTCTGATTCAGTTATGATTTCTCAGTATCCTGATAGACGTAAATTCTCCATTGTCTTTGTAATAAGCGCGTCATCTGCACATGAATTTATGATTAAAGAAAGCAAGAAAACATGTATTCAAAAAATACTTTTAGCGATTTCATCCGCTGCTCGGCTCTTATTAATTGTAGCGTGATGTTTTATAACCTTGCCTAGCGTTCCTCAATAGACGGTCTATCCAACACTACAAAGATTTTTCAAACTGCAATATAGTTTCGGAAATAAACGCATCCACAAAGAATCTCTTCAGCATCAGAATAATGCATATTAAGAAAAAGAGAAATCCAAAAAGGGCCCAAACAATAGTAATATTGCGCGCCACTCAGCTCTTCTAGTCCAAACACTGCCAGCCACCCTGCGGATATCGTCATTCCACCAAACTGGATAAAAAAACCAATGCAAACAGTCGACTACACTGAAAATGTTTAGTACGGACGTACTAAGAGAGCCCGTACATTGACCTCTGTCCTTAATATTACTATGCGACCCTGACATCTACATTTTGCTGGAAAATCGGTCACGGCGCATGCGGGCCGAGCTTCAGTTGGTCCTTTTCAGGTCAAACTAATATCTTTACTATATGTACTCTATGTAAATAATGTTAAAGTTATTTTTTATGAGATAGAACTGGGACTACTAGTTCAATTATCGCATGTCAAAGTCAAAGTCAAAATCATTTATTTCAATTAGACCACAGTAGGCACTTTTGAACGTCAAGCAAAAAAAGGAAAAAAATATTTCAAGAGCTTTAAAATTAAGCGTGTCACTCTGTCCGTCTGTCCTCTAGTGAAGTTATTTGCTCGTTCCAAAGTGTAGATTCCTATGGAGAAGAAAGAGCAAGAAACTCCATGGTTACTCTTTTTCATTATGTTTGCTCATGTTTGCCAATGAACCGCTGAACCAGGGATCTTAGAATTGGGTAGTTTCTTAGGTCAAAAATAAATTAATTCGACGTTTCAATACAATTAACATTTGAAAAGTAACTATACTTTTATTCGTCGATCGATCGATACACTAAGTTTTAGATATTTTGTAGCTAATTATTAAGAAATAAGTAAGCTATTTGACGCAAAAGTACTATGACGTCAGACCTCAGTTTTTCATACAAATTTCATAGAAATGTATCGTTTTTGACATTTGGATAAAAGTATCCAATTTGACTAGTTGGAAACTACCGTATTAGAACCAAAAATCAACGTCGAACGATCCTATTTAACTTTTTTTTGCGGGGAAATATCATCAACTTCTTCCGTCCTGCGAGAGGCGACATACATTGTCACTCCTACTGACTAAAAACACCTACTGAAAACCGCCCCGTTCCTTCTCCTACTCACTCCGGGCCGAGGCTGCAGTACATAATTGCACTTGCACTTGCAACCCCGGCTTCCAAGATCGAATAGTACCTTTTTAACCCCCGACGCAAAAAAAGGGCGACGCAAAATAAGTTTGACGTGTCTGTCTGTCTGTGGCATCATAGCTCCTGAACGGATAAACCGATTTCATCCGTTTTTAGTTTTTTTTTTTGTATTACAGGTGTTTTACGGGCGAGTGTTCTTAGACATGTTTGATGAAAATCGATTGAGCCTTTTAAAAGTTATGGGGGGTTAAAGTGGGGAAGAAAAGCCGAATGTCTGATGAAAGGTCAAATGAAAAAAACAAAAAATGTAAAAGTTTGACGTGTCTGTCTGTGTGTTTGTGGCATCATAGTTCCTGAACGGACGAAAAGATTTCAATTAAGTTAAATTGTAATGTATGTTTTTTATACCTTTCGTTTTTTGTGTCGGATTTTTTTTAAAATATTAAATTTATATTTAATTATTTAAGGGAGGGAAACTCATCAAATTTTCTCGTCTAGGGTATGGCAAGAGGGATTGTCAGACTCATACTGACTAAAAACCCTACCCGTACCTTCCTTTTCTTCTTGCTCCAGGCCGACGTTGCAGTACCTTATTGCGGTAGACCCACAATCTCGGCTGAACATTGGCCCTCAGTGTTAGTCTTTTGGCTCTTTGACACCCGGTTTCTGAAAGGCTTGTCAACGCTAAAATAAACTAATCTCCTGTTAAATCTTTCGTTGACTGAAGTATTAACAACCAATCAGATGACTTGACAAGAGATTAAATTGATAATAGCTTTAATCGTGGGCCCCGTCTGTGTTAGTCTTTTGGCTCTTTGAGACTACTCTTTTTGACCCATGTCCTTGATTTTGGCATCACGTTCGGCATTAGTTTTTAACTTATAAAACATAGAATCGCGTATATACTCGAAGTAAAATCTTGTCGTAAGTAGACGGTTTCGATTGGTATATTGAATGTCGTGTTTTACAATCGTAAAGTTGTTAATGGAATTGAGTTTTCAGTACAACAATCTATCGTGTATGTTGCTATTATGTAAACTTTTAAACTTATATAAGGATAGTGTTAGTGCCCCAGTCTTGTGGTAACAATGGAGACTTGAATATGGAAACTATATTGTATAATATTTATGTGACTGGATTATGGTACTAAGCACGATTATTAATAATTTATAGGTAATGTTATTTTACAAATATTAAGTGAGGAGAGCTATTCTTCGATGCTAACAGGCCACCTCTACCGGAGTGAGGCCACGAACTCTCAGAAAACCGTTATATTTTGTCGTGTGCTCCATCCTCATCTCTAATCCCCAGTCCCCTTATCTTCAAGCGAGATAATCCAACATTTATTTCATTCTGTCTCAAAATTCCGTTTTAAAAGTCTATTGTAATGAGTAATGACACTAAAATCTGAACAAAAAGTATAATTCTAAGAGTCATTGAATCTTTAGAGAGAAATATACTTTTTTTTATTAATTATACAGTTAGTAAAGTTTTCTTAAACAATGCTATTGATGTAAGAGTTAGAATTGAAATGCTGAAAGGACGACCTTAACTTATTAATACTGCGCCTTGCAATCTCTTGTCCTATATCGACACATCTATTCGAATTTAGGCGTGGTGGGACCAAATTTAGGTTTTTTAAAACAATCTAAAATAAAAACTACGGTGTTTTAAATTAAATAAAAATATATATCTTTTAGTTGAGGATCTTATCTAGTCTAGTCAGACCCGATGAACTTCACTCGATAGAAAAAATCTCAAAGTTACCCCTTTTTAAAACGTTTTTTCAATATTATGACTATATTACTGATGTTTTACATTATTTTTTTTTACTATAATAAAGAAAATAATTAGTTGTACATTCAAAATCGCAGACATTTATTAATAACAAATTCGCAGAGTTAGAATTGATGAAATGATTTTCTTAATTTCTATGTTTTAATAAGAATTAAAAGCGGTCGCGGTGGCTCGGCTCGGGCAACTCTTGGTAGCGTTGCCGTAGCGATACCTATTTCGCTTGGCCTACACGCCCTTAAAGACAATATATTACTACGTATGCGCGTCCAAATTGCATTGTCTAACCCAAAATGAGGAAGTAACTATCTTATCTTAAAACGATTTAGATAATTTAGTAATTGGCCTCTTTCATATTTTTTTTAATCTCAATACTCGTTTTATGTTTATTTTTTTTAGATATTGTCAGGAATCCACAACAAATTTGCGTTTACCAAGTACTACTACAACAACAACAGATCTATCCAATTTTACAATAAGACTATATTTACACCTGAGACGGATATGCACACAGAAAACCTTTTTGGTGTTTTGTTTCATCATTAAAAAGTTAATCCATATTAGTGTAACACACAATGTCTTATGTCGCTTACATTTTATACTTTCGAAGGACTGCAGAAAGATATTTCAATCAAGAATATACCTATCCCTGTTTCTATTTCTTGTTTCTTATTATAAGTAAGTATCATTAATTATTTCAATGAATTTATTTTCCACAGATTTTCGCCAGCAGACCGTACAAAGAAATTTGGTCAGCCGAACAGCCAGGAGTACGCAGCGAAGGTAGCTCGATACCGCAAGTGGACCATCCAGTCGCTGTACAACCTTACCACCAAGTTCATCGTGGCCCTCAGAGAGCATTGGCCCAACTTTCCCTCCACCATCGCCTGGATCGTCCAGCAGATCGTTCATCTACTTAAACAACATTCCAGGTATGTTTTTAAAGTCTTAGGGCTTGTTGCACCAGTGTCTTATTTAGTTTTAAGTGTGGTATAGCCATGCTTCGGCCAGAATGATATCACAGCCTCACAGAAAACCGGCGTGAAATAACCACAGCGTTGTGTTTCGCCGTGTGAGTGAGGGTACCGGAGGTCCAATCCCTAAATATCCAAATTCCTAATCCCCAAAAGGTCGGCAACGCACTCGTAACTCCTCTGTTGTTGCGGGTATCCACAGGCTGTGCTGATTGCTTACCATCAGGTAATCCGTCTGCTCGATGCCGACCTATCATCACATAAAAAAACTTCATACATCTGCTCATACAAAAACATCGGATTATGTGACTCACCGCGGGGGACGCACGCCAGCGATTAGCGGCTGATATAGGGATTTGGAGATTTAGGGATTGGGGGAGTGAAAGGATTGGGCATCCGTTAACCTCACACACAAGGCGAAACATAACGCTGTGGTTGTTTCACGGTATCACTCCGGTCAAGCCAACCCATTCGTGCCGAAGCTTGGCATTCCCACACTTAAGTCTCTATCATACTTATCTTACAATACAACATTTTGTGTCCAGAACATCAGAGCGTGAGGTGCACGCGATATGCACGGACCTTATAATGAACCACTTCATATGTCCCGCGATCGTGAACCCTGAAGCTCACGGCGTGGTCGAGGTACCCGTCTCGTACATCGCCCGCTTCAACCTCATACAGATCGCACAGATCATACAGATGCTCTGCTTAGCCAAGTTCCAAGAGGTAATTATATAAGTTTTTTATTTTGTCTTTATGTACACTACCGGCCAAAAGTTTGAGACCACCTTAATCAAAGTAGGAAAATGCGGGGAAAATGGAATAAATCGATAAATACAAGTAATCAAATGGTTTAATATACTAATTAGATAGTACTTAAATACAATTACGCTAGAATATGCAAAAATTTTTACTTTAATGTTAAAAATGGAGTTTATTATTTAAACAGATTTTTCATCAAAAAATCCACCTTTACATTTTATGACTTTTTTTACAAGTCTCGGCATCCGAGCTATTAATTTATTGATTGTTTCTTGTGAAATATTCTTCCAACTCTCTTGAAGTATCCGCCAAAGGTCTTCTTGAGAAGACGGACACCCATCACGCACCTTTCTGTCCAGCTCTTCCCATAAAAGCTCTATGGGGTTTAAATCTGGACTTTGAGGCGGCCAGATCATGTTTTTTAATACACCATCTGTTTCTTTTCGTTCCAAATATCCCCTACATAACTTTGAGCTATGTTTGGGATCATTATCTTGTTGGAAAATAAATCCATTTCCAATAATCCTTAACCCTGACGGAACAGCATTTTTTTCTAGAATTAATTTATACTGCTCTTTTTTCATGATTCCTTGGATTCGCACCAAATCTCCTGTTCCATGGCCCGAGAAACATCCCCAAACCATAATAGAACCACCACCATGCTTCATTGTTGGCACTACACAGTCTGGCAACATTTTTTCGTCAGCTCTGCGTCGCACAAAAACTCTTCTTTTTGTACCAAATACTTCAAATTTGGATTCATCAGTCCAAAGAACTTTTTTAAAATCTTCTTCAGTCCAATCCTGATGGTTAAGGGCCCACTGCATCCGTTTCTTTTTATTTTGCGGTTTTAACAGGGGTTTTCGAGCGGCAACGCGGCCAAACAAGTTAGCGTCTCTTAATCTTCTTTTCACAGTAGTTAATGACACAGGTTTAGATCGGGATTTGTTCAGTTCAGCACGGATTTCTGGTGCCGTCAGCCGTCTATTCCGCTTGCTTGTGACAACGATGAAATGATCCTCGCTAGAAGTAGTAGCTCGCGGCCTTCCCGAACGTGGACGATCTTGATTACTGTTAGTCTCCTTGTATCGAATAATTGCATTGTGAACACAAGTCTTCGACAGCTTTAGTTGTGATGCTATCGCACGTTCAGATTTGCCTTCGTTATGCAAAACAACGATGGCAAAACGAATTTCACTATTGATTTCGGGTACTTTTCCCATTCTTAACACGTCTTTACACTACAAACTGTAAGTTCAGACTAAATCAAATATAGAAAGATAAATTCAAGAATAGTTGAGTAAAAAACATGTTAAATCATGTTAAGATATTTTGTAATAATGGTTAACGCAAAACAAAAGCATACTATTAAGTAAAGAGGAAGTAATAAAAATATTACAATAACTCTACCATTTGGTCCCTGCGCGGCACTCATTGATATTTTGAAACAATTATTCTTTTATAAAACGACAACTCAAAATAAACAAAAGAATGACGTTTATGACACTATCTGGCAACAATAGAATGCGCACGTGTGCAAATTGCTTTTTTATCACAAGTATTTTTTAAATAATTCAAACATTTTGAAGATTTTTACAAGTGGTCTTAAACTTTTGGCCGGCAGTGTATATCTATAGGGAACATAAGTGAATTGAAAGTACAGCTACAGTAACATAGAGTTAGATAATTACACGATGTTATAATGTCTGTTAAGTTGACTCTCAAGCAGCAGTTTTTCTCATATCTTATACGGTATATATTTTGATTCGCATCATGTACAGTGCGGCCGACGTATCTTGGCGGGTCTGAAGTTAGCCGATTAGCTGCGCAGTACACAATTTTGTTCCCAAAAGATCCATTGCGCAGATAAACGGCTAACTTCAGACTCGCCAAGATACGTCGGCCGCACTGTATGGTGCGGTGTCAGTTTTGATCAACAATAAAAAAATATTTCCATTCTAAGTTAAATCAAAATATAGGTATTCCAACTAAAACGTAGTAATAATGTCTTCTGATTTATTTCGTTGCGGGATCCAAGACGGTCATTCATCGGTCCCTGGGACGCTCCGGACTTCAGTGTTCCGGTGTTTTTATGGTTGTATCTACTGTAGACCCTGGCTTACAGGAGTTGCAGTGGTTTTGGGACGTTGAGGCAGGTTTGTGTCAACCCAATGTAGAATAATAGTCCGTCAGTTTGTTCGTCAGTGAAGTTAGGTGCTCGTTCCAAAGATTTGATATTAATTTATATCTTTTATTTCATAGTGTGATATTTAATTATGACTTTATCAGGTGGATGCCAAAGTCCGCGACGTGTACTTGAAGTTCGAGCGTTCCTGTGTATGGACCCTGATAGACAACGTGACGAGCGAGGCGTGGTCGTGCGCCCCCACGCCGGCGCAGCCCCACGCTCACGCCGAGACGCCGCGCGTCGCTACCGACGCTTATCTACACACCACCGTCGCGCTATTTACGCCTCACGATGCTCAACTTCTGGTAATGTAATCTTATTATAATATTACTAGCCTAAGTGTGGGAGAGCCATGCTTCGGAAGTGTGGGAGAGCGATGCTTCGGCACGAATGGGTCGGCTCGACCGGAATGATACCACGGCCTCACAGAAAACCGGCGTGAAACAACCACAGCGATGTGTTTCGCCGTGTGAGTGAGGTTACCGGAGGCCCAATCCTTCCCCTCCCCCAATCCCTCCTCAATCCCTAAATCTCCAAATCCCTAATCCCTAAAAGGTCGGCAACGCACCCGTTACTCATCCGTTGCGGGTGTCCATGGGCGGCGCTGATTGCTTACCATCAGGAAATCCGTCTGCTCGAATGCCGTCAAATCACATAAAAAAAAAATTTGAAACATTATGTTTAAGGATGCTTTATTACTTAGGGGTATTTAAAATAGCCAGTAGCTGATTCTCAGACCTACTGAATAATATGAATATAAAATTTGGTAAAATCAGTTAGTGGCTACTACGAGTACTGGAACTAAATTCCAGTCACCCTATATAACGAAGTCACTAAGAGAGTAGTCATTGTCCAGCCATGGTTTATTACGGGCTGCCGAGCGATTAGTGCGAGTTTGCTTAGCACGTTAATGTCGTTCCCTGCTCTCATTGGCCCGCTCCGAGTTAAGAACAAATCAGAAGGCCGACCGAACCACAACGTTTAGACGAACCTGACTGGCCTTTGCGTTGTTGTGTATTGGTATGTTAGTTTAAAGTTAAGCAGTATCATTAATTCAACAGGCTAGACTGTTAATCGAATTTCATATTATGCTATTTTGGCTGTGACATATACTTGGAAGAAAGTCTTTATAAGAAACAACTTTGAAACACGTTCCAATGTCTCTCTGGTAATAGAAGTGAGATTAATTTGTCTAATTATTTTGTTCGTATATCAGATAACGTTCCTGCGTCGTATATCTTCGAAGCTGAACAATAATACGCCGAGCGTGACGTCAGACGAGCAACCCAGTGGATCTGCCGTCGCTGAGGCCGCAGCACTAAGGTAATATATCACTATAACATAATATTGAAGGTCTGGACAGGAAATGAAATTGAATTACAAAAAAAATAAATGAATACGGAAGTATGGGAGAGCCAAGCTTCGGCACGAACGGAGTGCTACCACGCCCTCACAGAAAACCGTTGTGAAACAACCACAGTGTTGTGTTTCGCTGTGTGAGTGAGGTTACCGCAGGCCCAATCCCTAAATAATTCATTTTTTTTTTTCAAAAAGGCCAAGTAGTTTTGAAGTGTATAAAATTCTAAACAAGCAATTAAATCTTTTCTCTTTATAACGCTAGTATAGGCAGCCTAACATATTTATATAAGCATATTCCAATCAAAAGTGTTTGCCACTTATTTAAACATTTTTGTTGTGTTCTTAAAGTTCATTTCTCCCTCCCACAGCAGTGAAACGAGCAGCGAAAGTTCTAGCAACGGCGAGGCCTGTGCCAGCCGACTTGCGGCCTTATTACAGACCTCCGAGCCTAACTACCGTAGCAGATTACACGATCTGCTCAAGAAGATGCCTGACCTCTCCAAATATAGGTAAATTGGAAAGGCGACTTTATTTCTTTATTTTGAAAGTCGATATTCAAATAATATGCAATGCTGATAATAAATTTCTCTACTATTAAAAGGATGTTATTACCATAAAAAACTTCCTCTTTAATTACTCTATTTATTAAAAAAAACACATTAAAACCCAGTGCAAGACAGAGAAAGCGACCTTGTTTTATACTATGTGGTGATTATGTTATAATAATCACTCTAATTTGAGGTAAGTCTAGTGGATAATCAGAATAGTTTCGACTCGGAATCGGAACTTCGACACCCCAACTATAGTACTTGGAGATCGAGCTAGCATTTGCTAACAATTAAGATATCAAGACATTGAAAAACCAACTATAACGCAAGTACAATAAATCACAATTTACTTAGAAACTTTTTCTCTTCAGACCGACCTCCCCACCGGAATCCAAAGACCCGTCCCCTGTAGAGAACGGTCACTCCAGTAAGAGGAGCATTCTGGCCAAGGTGCAGAGACCTCGGCTCCCTCGCAGTGCCAGCTCCAACTCGTCGTTAGCGTCCGCGAGTGAGGACAAGCCGGTCAATGGGAACTGCAAGGAGGACGGCTCGCAGGAACATGTCGAGGTGCTCGTCATCAAGCTGGCTAACGTCGAGGAACAGGACTATATTGGTGAGTGAGGTCAGAGGACTCTGTATTTTCCTCGCTCAAAATAAATTCCTTCAAGATTTCAATACAATAAGGGGTGATTTTTCAATGGCTAGATAAAAGTTACCTGGAGAATAATTATGATGCTGTCGCGTCAGAATGTTTGTATAAGACAGTGACAGCAGCAATTTTATTCTTCAGATAACATTTATGTGACTATTGAAAATTGACGATATGCTCAGATTTTTAATGGTTACATTTTAAGATTTCTTTCTCGCTCCACACAAGGCGATCTAAGTCAATTGATGGATTCGAACCCTCAAAAAAAAAAACTATTATGTTACCCAAAAACTCTCTATTATCTATGTTTGGAAAACAACAAGTTGATAGTTTCATTTTCCAATATTATTGGCTAAAGTTTTCTTTTTATCATGTTTAGGTCTAGTCCCCGAATCGAAGGTTCTAGAATGTTACTACGGCGGGTCGGAGGCAGGCGATGCGGACGAAAACGGATCCGCACTCGCCGTAGCGGGGCCCGGCGCACCCGTGCAGAAGCGGACCAGGTATTATGCGATTTTATACCGTAACTTAACAATATAAGGTTATTATTTATTTTTATTATCATTAATCGCGTGATAGATTTGTTTAAACTACGAAACGCTCATTGGAGATTTGAAAAATGTTATGTACTGTTCTCTCTAATAGAGAAATTAAAAGGTAAGTATAAAAAGTAAAACAAAATTCAAGAATGCATACACAACATACAAACAATTAAAGTGGAGGTGGACAGGACACATGGCGAGAGAAGATAGAAAAATGGACAAGATTAATAACAGAGTGGTATCCAATAGATGGCAAAAGAAATAGAGGGAGACAGACTAAGGATGGGAGGATGACTTCAGGAAAATAGCTGGTCCAACATGGATCCGAACAGCAAAGAATAGAACAGAATGGAGATCTTTAGAGAAGGCCTTTGTCGGAAGACAAGTTGAAGAGTGTATACCGTTTGCCTAATGCAATATACTATACCAGTTACTTCATTAATAATACATTTATTAAGATACGAGTAGTAAATAGCTACGAGTACGAATAAAGTTAATTAGTTAGTTTGGCACATATAGATATAAATTAACTAAAAATCTCAAAGTCCGCGAAACTAGTAGAGCTTTTCTCAATTTATACACGTGAGTAACCCGCGATGTTTAGTTAATTTCGTATGTCTCACGATAGTTATTATAAAAATATATAAATATAATTTGTAATGTAAACTAAAATTTCGATCAGCTGTTCACACGCAACGAAAACACCCACCTTAGAGGCCATCACTTAAAACTTAGCACTAACAGATCACATAACAATCCTCACAGACACTTTCTCAGTAATAGAGTAGTTGCAGCGTGGAACAAGCTCCCGGAAAATGTGGTTTCAGCTCTAAATTTGAACCAATTTAAAAATCGACTGGATAAATATTTATTGAACTGCAAGAAAAATGAACTAGTGGAAAATTAACAGGATGCGGGCATTATCAGTTGTTTCAACTGCCTGCCTGTCTACAAATAATAATAATAATAATAAATCCGCAAGGCAGCTTGTGGCGAGCTGTTGGGCAGTGGCGACCCCACGGACCTGACTCCCGGGAGGTGTCTTGTTCTTCTCTCTCCGGTTAGTCCTCGTGACGAGCTGGAGTGAACACTGATGAAGAACAAGCCCTCCTACCTCATTCTTCCCTTAATTGGCTGGCTTGAGTGGAGATTCGCAAGAGTAGGAGTTGAAGGAGACTCGGGGGAAGGATGTATCTCAGTAAGGTGCTGGTAGGGGTCTTGACCGTACTTCCGGGATTGCTCTGATAGCCGTGGGATGCCTCTCCTTCCCCAAGCAGCTCAACGTATGTTGCCCCCGTGTCGCTACATGCTAGCGGCCGTTTCCGGGGGCCCATTAATTGAGTTTGCCAGTCACCCCCTGCCTGTTTATCCGTATGTATCAATATTGGTCAGGGGCAGGGGCCATAGTATTTCCATAGTTTTCATCCACTAGTGCATAGCAACCCATACCCATAACCCTATCAATTGTTACCACATTTTACAATAGTCCTGCATCAACTGGGGATTGTCCTTGGGTGCACTTTTATAGTGCTTACAGGGATAATTGCCGGCTGATGTCCCATCACATTTAGATTAAAACTGTTCAACGAGCCTCTGCGAGTTGGCTTCGGCTCCTCGTACGCCTTCCAAAGGTCCGGGACCCTGTGGTCCCGTGAAAGGAAAGAACAAACAAAAAATAATAATAAAATCATCAATAAAGGCTTTTATTTATTTATTTATATATGTACTGTTATGTACCAATTTAATTCTTTTCCTTTTATAAACTTTACCTTTTCCCGCTCCGGCTACCCACGGGTACAATGCTGATACTGAGTTTCTCCACTATTTAATTAAGTAATAATAATAATTTATTTTTATCAAGAGGTTATTTACGTTAGACTCCAATGAAACCTTATATGAATAACAAAACATGAAAATATATTGATTTCGACTCGAGTCGACAACATTTATCTGTAAAATTCGGAGTATGGAAAATTTCGTGAAATTACAATGGCAAACAAATGAATCGCGGTCGCCATCTTGGGTAGTAAATAAACGTTCCTAGCTTAGACTAGCATAGACTCGCCTAAATACTTTTCTTTAGTCGTTGACGTTTCGTTTTTTCTATAAACCTGGGATTGGCCGTAGGCGCTAACAACCAATACCGTAAAAGAAAAAGTTTTCGTTCAAATCTCATTTAGTTTTGCATAATTATTTACTCTGTGTTGATGATTTTCCCTCTTCAAACCAACATGTATAATAGTAGTTACATTGCGCCCGAGCGAAGCCGGGCACATTCATAAAATTAAATGATCCATCTACTAATATTCATTTCCCTGGCCAGGTTCTCAGTGTCTCATGACGAAGTGTCCCTGGGTAATACATCAGACAACCTGGAGGCGGTGTCCGAGGCCGCCTCCAACCACAGCGTCACCTCCAGTCTCGAGCTGGAGACGGAGGACCAGAACGACAACCTCTCTGATATGGTGAGTAACTTTCTTTGTTAGTAACCTTGTAAGTTTACGAGGTAGTTCGAAAAGGTTCAAGTAAGTTATAGTCCGTCAATGATTCTTGGTTCTCGTTCCAAAGTGTAGATTCGAATGGAGAAGAACGAGCAAGAAATCCTAATGTTACTCTTTTTATTTTTTTTCTCCTGCTGCAGCCTAGTATGTGATAATCGGCAAATGAGCAGACGTATTGACTGATGGTAAGCAATCAGAGCCGCCCATGGACACCCGCAACAGCAGAGGAGTTACGATTGCCTTGCCGACCCTTTGTCTAACCGAAGGTTAGATTCAGGTAACTCGTTTTGAAACCTAATCTCATCCCTGGTCTGTACATGGTTTCGTGTCCCTTAGGTGTCAGCGAACGTGTCAGGTCGCGGCAGCCCCAACATCTCCGGGCGCGAGACTCCGTCGTCGCAGGTGACGGAGGGCCCGCCCGCGCAGCCCGCCCTACATCACTCGCACGCCAAGCTACTCAAGCAGACCCGGAACGATATCGAGGACAAGTTCTGCAAGTTCGAGATTAAGGTAAACCATCCACCATATAAGCTAACCTTCGTGCCTCTACCTAATATTATTTTACTCTTATATTGTAAATTAGCTGTGCCCCGCGGTTCCAATCGCATATTTTATCGCATAAAGTGAAACATTTTTTCAACTCGAACAAACGAACAATCAAATCATTAAACAAAAAAATATCCGGTAGTCGAAACCTCGACATATTACAGGGCACGATTGCCCTAGCTATAGTGATCACTGCTGAGCAAAGACGATTTCAAACTATTAATTTGAAATTCTACTCTAGGTTTCCTCACGTTTTTCCCTTGACCGTCTGACAATGGTGTAATAAGTACAAACAACATAAAAAAGACACACTGATAGTCTTAGAATATACAGTTAATAAAATTAGTACTTTATGGGGGCGTCCATAAATTACGTGAGGTGTATTTTTAAATTTTCTGCACCTCCCTCCTCCCTGGTGAGATGTCGTGAGATTTTATTCAACCCCAATCCCCGAATCTCACGTAAGATTTTTCAAAATGTGTGTTTCTTACGTAAACGCGTTGGATTGTTATTAAAAAAAGAAAAAACAAATGTGCATCGTCCTTTTATTAGTAAATGATCTTAATCGTACTACGATTGAGCTTAAGATTAAATATTGAGCATGTACAATCTGGATTAAATAGACCAAAATAGTTTTTTTTTTGTTCCAATTCAAATCCAGAAAAAAAATTGCGTGATATTTGCCGAACCCCCCTTTCTTCAACGTAAGATTAGATGAGACTTGACTCGATCCCCTCCCCCCCTTAAACACCTCACGTAATTTATGGACGCCCCCTTATTAGGTTCTGACCCACGCATGAGTAACGGTCACCTTACACCTGGGTCACCACGATACAATTTCTAAAGTAAAACCTCCAGCTACAAAATGGTTTGTATTTAATGTTATGCAGAAGCTCCTGGAAGGCGACGAAACGATCAGCATAATGTCAGACACGTGGAGCACGGACGTGCTGGCTTCCGACTCCGAGACCATCGGGGACTCCTGCGACCAGACGCAGGTCGCCGCCAACAACTGTACGTATACATCATCATAATATTATCATCATTATGAGGCGGAACACGTCCACTGCTGGACAAAGGCCCTCTTTTACATAAGTACATGAAATCCATAAATGTATTGACAAATATAAAATTTTGGGGGTGGTGAAGAAATAATAAAATTTAAAATGTGTTCATTAATTAGATATTGCCAAAATGATTAATTCATGAAATCTTCAGATCAAAATATTGTCGAAAGTATTTGATTTTCCGAAGCATTATGGTTAACTGTCACTGTTTTTTTTTGTAATTATCCCAATAGTAACACGGATGAGTAAATATAGTGTTGTGCCCAGCACGTGGTTTGTGGCAATAAGCTCCCCCGCCACCTATTACATAAGAGGCACACTATTGTATTTGGAGCATTATATTCTAATTATGTACCTTCTTCGCCTACATCTTCAAAGAAAAAAATTTGAAAATTAAAAATTAAAAAAATAATTTCTTTTTTAATTTTACTCCACACTAGGATTCAATCCTGTGTCGTGGGTGTGTTTTAAATATACAAAAGCCACCTAGACCCGAAACAAAAATTTGTTGATCACACAAAGTGTAAATGACCTGTAGTTATATGCGACATGTCCTGCTTGTCCCAGGTCAGAGCAGTTGCAACCAGAATGCGCCGGACGCGTCGGAAACGGCGAGCGAGTCCGCCTGGAGCATGGACGTACTCGCTTCCGACAGCGACCGGAATACTGAGGTAAATTACACAGTACTACATACATAGGCTTATAGAAAAGTGCTTCTATACAATAGAGGAGTATATTAATTGTAGTAAATAGATCTGTACCTGAAGGCGAGATATGCTAAGTGACTTATTTTGTTTTACCACCTTTTGTATTTACCATGTCTCTGCGAATAAAGATTTTCATTTCATTTAGTAGCGATGTAAATTTCGGATACGGATTCAAGTCAAAACCGAACTTTAAAAAAATTGCCATATTTTATAAGTTTCATGAGACATATTAAAAAAATATGATTATATCAAAAACTGTTTGTCGAGGAACTCGACTAGTTTCAAGCCAGGCTAGGGCCTCATATTCATAAGTAGCACTACGTGATTCAAGATGCGCGGGACGTAACATCAATCGATCGTCTGTCAGTTGTAGCAATCTCACATTAAACTAGTAAGGATTTTAGATTGTCTGTATAAGGACGTAGATTAACAATAAGGTCGGCTATTTCATGCTAAATTTCCGATACTGGGCAGTCGGGGTTGCTGGGCACGCGCACTAAGGCACCGCGACCTCGCCCTAGAGCAGGAGAAGGAACGATTTTAGCTTTATTCAGTACGAGTCTGACAGTCCCTCTCGCCTCACCCTGGCCAGAAGAAGTCATTGATTTTTCCCTCACAAAAAAAGGTGGCGCTAATATAGCGGGAAGTCTTGGCCTACAGTTTCAAACCATTCGACACTTATCTTCCTGGCCTTATCTTCCTAGTGGGTTGTGAGAATCCTCAAAGTTTTGCGCTTTCAAGACGCTCATAACCGGTTTGAATGATAGTGCCCTACGGCTGACTGTTATATCCTTCGCGAGGTTTGTAAGTGTAGATATGTATATGAGTTGTCGGTACTCTTTCACGTTAAAAGTAATGAAGCGCCCTGAATAATATTTAGCACAGGATATTGATTATAGTCTGGAATAGCACAAATGGTAGTCTCAACTGTAAGTGTATGTGTACAGGTGGACACGGACGACTGCGTGTCGGTGGCGGCGCGGTCGGACACGTCGTGGCCGCGCCGGCCCTCCACGCACGACGACGCGCCCTGCAGGACCTACTGCCAACAGGTACACCATCCTACTACACGTGCCATACCATCACGAGCTTACGTTGCGTAACGGTCCACGCGCGCCTCAAACACTCAAAAGAGGCACCGCAGCCTTGGCCTAGAGCAGGAGAAGGAACGGGCGGCTTTTAGTCAGTAAAAGTCTGACTCTGTCACTTCCTCTCGCCTCACCCTGGGCGGGAGAAGTCATTTGAACATTTTTCCCCTCACAAAAAAAAACCACCATACCACCATCGCACATCTACATAAAATATAATAAATTCCACCTCTGCTATTTGATAAATAAACTTAGTTTTATTTCATCAACCCAAACCTAACAGCATAGTTAAACCACGGCCTCACAGAAAACCGATGTTAAACTACAATTGTGTTTCTATGAGTGAGGCTACCGATCAAAGCTATAATGCGGGAGGTCAATTTTTCAAGTGATACCACTGCATTGTATGGACCCTCACACTCCTACCATCCCCAATTCCACATTTATAATCCCCTAACCCCCAAAGACTCGTACCGCATTAATAGCTCTGGTGGTGTAGCAGTCCATGCGTGACGTTGGTTGCTTAAAACCTGTCCATAAAGTCTGCAAGTTTAGTCTATCATATGAAAAAAAAATTACAAGCTACCATCTCTACCTACATTCAGTTGCTGTATAAAATATCATTTAAAACTTTTTATAAAAACTTTCCTCATTGTTCATAATTTATTTATTCATTTCATTCATTCATCATTCAATGAATTCCCGAGTATTTTAATAATCCCCCCTTCCTACCCCCTCCTCTTGCCTATGCAATCCTCGAATCGCTAACAACCGACAAATAGCTACCAATACACATGTAGGTGTCAATGATCGGCACCTATTTTTTACCATCAAATAATCCATCGATCGGCTGGATTATATTTCATAGTAAAAAAATTAAATTTAATTCTATTTCAGAACGGCAACGTAAAGCGGCCAGAAGTCAGTAGTCCCCGACATGCGTCGCGACCGAACTTGGCCAATAGGTAACTATTAATACAATAGTACTTTCGCCTAAGCCATTTAACATTTACAGAAATATAATGTATATTGCAGTCCAAAACTTGGAATATTATTTTTATATCTATATACTTAAGGCGTATGGGTACTATATGAATAATCTTGAGCAGGCTAATGCACGACTGGCGCGGGCTGCGTTCGCCCGCTTTTTATATATGGAAATCCCAATAATATAACATGTTCTTTGTAAGATATTGACTGATTTACATAAGTGCTGCCCACTGTAGTAAAATATAACACCGATTGATCTATTCAAAACAATAATAAATAAACCAAGCCATTTAAAAGGAATAGGCATTTATTTGAACAAAATAGCGTGTTGGTAAATATTTTTTTACAGCTTAACTATTTGTCATAGGAAAGTCAAATTTACTCACATTGTAGTACATTAATCTACAGTAAACATATATTTTATTTCAATCTTTACATCCAACCGTTAATGAGGAATAGGCTTTAGAATGTAACGTTTTTACGGCTTAAAAGGCGCGTAGGCTCTATACTATACATTATTATTACTTTTTACTATTTACTATAATATTATAAAGCTGAAGAGTTTGTTTGTTTGAACGCGCTAATCTCAGGAACTGCTGGTTCGAATTGAACAATTATTTTTTTGTTCGTTAGTCCATTTATCGAGGAAGGCTATAGGGTACATAATATCACGCTATAATCTGTAAGAAGCGAGCAGCGGTTGAAACGCCCGTGAGTAGCTAGTTGTAAGTAAAATCTTAAAAATAAAACCATTTTTAATGGATATAGGTCAGGGTACCTGACGGCGACGGCGGCGCTGTCCCGCGGCGGGGAACTGGACCTGCCCCATCCGCCCCCTTCACACCACCAGTACAACATCGAGAACAGGAAGAGCATACTCGTCAACGGATACCCGGTTGGTATTTGACTGCACCCTTGCTTCGGTGGCTGGACCGAAACGATCAGACAGATTACCTGATGGTAAGCAATCGGCGCCGCCCATGGACACCCGCAACACCAAAGGAGTTACGAGTGCGTTGCCGGCCTTTTGGGGATGGGGGTTGCGGATATAAGGATTGGGGAAGGGGAGGGATTGGGCTTCCGGTAACCTCACTCACACGACGAAACACAACGCTGGCTGCCTTGCAAAGTGTTGCAAATTCGTTTCCCGCACGGAACAATTCTTTGTGTGATCCACAAATTGTTGTTCCGGGCCTGAGTGTGGTGTGTATGTGAAATTGTATGTTTGTAACTGCATCCACGACACAGGAGAAAATGCTAGTGTGGGGCAATGTTTTTTTTTATTAAGAAAAAAGTATAAATTTTGCTCAGCTCATGGGGGCTGCTGGTGCAAGCGGATAATGTACCGCGGTCCAGGCCTGAAGCAGGAGATGGATCGGGGTGGTTTTTAATCAGTAAAAGTCTGATACTACCTCTCCCTTCGCTGAAGTGATATTTTCGTATTATGTTATGTTCGTGTTGCCTAAATAAACTTGAAATTGAAATTAGGTATAACTCGGAAAAGTCACCTAAGTGGGTGACAATCAATAATTTCGGTAAATCCCTTAGCAGTACTGTGTCAGTAACGTCAGTAACAACGCGTGTATATACAGGTGATGACATGCTACGCGACGTCGGCCCCGGAGAGCCCCAGTACCAGCGCGCCCGTAGCGCTGCCCGGGGACTTATTCGACTACGTGCCGCCAAACAAGTCAGTACTACATACACTAACATGTTGTTTTAAAATGAATAATTATAATAAACCTATTTTAGTTTTAATGGAAAATGGTTAATTCGTTTAAGAATTTATTATTTATCTGTACAGTGGTCCCCAAACCGAGTCAACATTGGATGCCAACAGCCAGTCGGACGCTACCAGCCAGTGGGTGGACGACAGTTTCCCCGCGCCCCACCACTCCCCCGAAAGACCTTACCCCTCCACCTCCAAATACGACCTCCCATCCACTTCCAAACCTTACCCGGAGAACGACATGATGGACCAATCGCTTAACTCAAGCGAGAGCTCCTTCAACGCGATGTATGGCGGCCGATTCGATTCCGGTATCGATGCTGAGCGAGCGGAATCCGAATCGAGATCAGCGATCACCGATTTGATGACTCGGATGAGTTCGGCGACTATATCTACGTCGGCGAACCTCGTGAACAATATCACGTCTAGGATTGTCAAGTCGGAGATTCGAACGAGCATCGTAAGCATTTCTTCGTCTAAGATCGAGAAGAAGAGGGAAGGCACGAGTAATATGTCGCTGAGTACTCTGTCCGTGAACAGCGCCGAGACATCGGCCTCGGACAAGAGCTCGAGCCAGGATGTCAACTCCGACATAGTGACGGAGCGCCGCGTCAGCCCGCCGCCCATCAAGAACGTCTCCACCGGCGCCATACCTAAGAGCATCAGTTTTGATGCTACTGCTGAGAAATCGCAGAGGTAAGACTGACATTTTACAGAAAATACTAACCACCTTGATCGTTTATGAATGCTATGCACTGTATAATCAATTGTGGGCTCTAAATACACAGATATAAAGTTGCAAGTTTCGTACCTACACAAAAATACCACTTGATTTATTGTACATTGTTACAGGAGACGTATAGGCGAGGACGGTTTAGTGGGCAATCTAGACGAGTTGAAGAATAACGTGAAGCGGTCCGGTGGTAACCTACTGCATAAGATTAAAATGTTCCGACAGAAAGGACGCTCTCATACACATCACAACGGTGAGGACCACAGTAAGCTTGAAAATTAAATATTATCTAGGTTACTAGTAACTATGTGGGTTAGAGCAAAATAAAGACCAATCCTTTATTATTTATTTAGTATAAGTATTATTTTAAAAACACTTTTTTTCGGTAGTAAATGTTGAAAAATATGTAATTTGTATCAAAAATTAGTTTCACTCGATTATCAAAACTGTGATTCTCGCAGATGCCACTAAGATTTTCAGCAATAATTCCAAAGAAATACTGTCATTCCTTGTTATTAGTTTAATTTATGAGGTATTTTTATTTATTTACGATATACGTACGATATAAGTAGTCATAATTATATAATACAATAATAATTTTTCTTAGGACTGATTTTTCAAAAGTTTGATAAATGTTATCTGAGGAATAAAATTGTTGCTGTCACTGTCGTATACAAATATTACGACGCGACAGCATCATAATTATTCCCCAGATAACTTTTGAAAAATCAGCCCTTAATATTGTTATTTAAAAATAAATATTTTATTGTTTAATGTCTGCTGCTACTGTACATGGTACAGTGGTTCATTATTATAATATTAATTGTTTGATTGTATATTTTCTTTGCTCCTAAAGACGTAAAACTAGCAGAGGAAGAAGCCAGGAGTGATGACGGCAGTCGGCCCGAGCTGGCTGCAGGAGAGAGCTCGGAGGAGATCCTCGCCAAGTACCGGCGCAAGTGCTCCACCGAGTCCACCGGCTCCAAGCACAAGCGCTCGCAGCGACGTATATCTGATGTACCTGATGCTGAGATGGATAGGTTAGACATTTTAGCGCAATTGTACAACTTTTTTGGTATTTGCGCAATTACTATTTTTGAATGAAACTTCAGAATTAGTCAAAAACCATTTACTCAATTTTCTTTTTGGTTGTAAATTGTTCTCGATTTAAGATAAATAAAAATAACATTGACCGAGTCAGATGGTTTTATGTACATCTTAAAATAGTTAAAAAAGTTAAGTTCATTTGTGCAATTAGACCCTTATCCTTCATATATCTCTCTTGTTTACATTTTTTTCGCGCTAAACTTTTGCGCAGGTTGCGCAAATTTAATTGCTTTGATTTGTTACTAGGTCCGAAGGTGTGGTTGACTTAAACGACCCCGAGGTGTTTAACAGTATGAAGCGCAAGTTGCGCATCGTTTTATCCAACCCTGATTTACACTGCGTTGAGTTCGTGCCTAATGTAAGTTGTGTGCTTAAAATTTTGTACAATTTTAATTTTATTTCATCTAGTAGAAGAGACCTCTTATTAATATTTAAATTGGCCGTGTCTGAGATAATCCAATAATAATTTGACTTGTTCGCTTAGTAAATTATATTATTTATGTTGTGTCAGTTTCGACTTCAGAATTAAATCTTGTATTGCATTAGCCTGTTTTATGTGATGGGTCGGCAAACGAGCAGACGGATGGTAAACAATCAGACCTGCCTTGATGGTACATGCAAAAACAGAGGAGTCACGACCGCGTTGCCGACCTTTTGGGGATTAGTTATTTGGAGATTTAGGGATTGGGGGAGGGGAAGGATTGGGTCTCCGGTAACCTCACTCACACGGCAAAACACAACGCTGTGGTTGTTTCACGCCGGTTTTTCTGTGAGACCGGTTTTCTAAACAAGTTTTGATTTTAGTTTATTACTGTCATGTTCATATAGCGGTGTACTAGCACGTCGCTAGTGGAGTGGGTCCGCGCGCTGGGCGCGGGCGCGGGTGGGGGCGCGGGCGGGGGCGCGGGCGCGGAGGCGGGCGCGGCGCACGCGGCGGAGCTGGCGCGCGCCCTCGCCCCCGCCGCGGGGCTGGGGGCGCGCCTGGCCGCCGCCCTGCGTGCCGACCTTGCGGCGCGGCGACCTTACGCCGCCTACCTAGCTTCCTGTCGCGCGCATCTTGCGCATACTGACCATGCGCTCGCCAGGTACCTATTCACAATTTGTGTTTACTGCTACACTATCGGTTGGTCCGAGTCAATTCCCGCACGGAGCAACTCTTTGTCTGATCTACAAATTGTTGTTCCGGGCACACACACATGACAACAGGAAAAAATAATAGGATGGGGCAAAAAATTATTTAAAAAAAATTGTATGAAAAAATAAAGAACAATTAATTCATACAAATTATTATTGAACCTTTTTTACTACATTACATATCGATGATGTTTATATATATAATTCTGCTGTACGTGTGTATGTCGATGAATTCCTCCTCAACGGCTTGACCGTTTTAAATTATTATTTCTGTATGCGTTTGAATAGCGCTCTTGATAGTATAGATTCACAAATCAGCCCGGCAGGTGGCGCTGATTGTTTGAAAAAGCACGTCTCTCGGAAACGGCCCTAACGAACTCGCAGAAATTTAATATGTGGGGGTTTGGTAGTATTGTATAGATTTGGTTCGTTGGTGTATCGTGTAAGATGATGAAGGTAGTAGTCGGGTAGATATGATGATGGTATGATGTACGCAGACAGATCGAGCAGACCCGCGCGGAGTGTTGGTGGTGCGGTCGCGCGGCGGGGGCGGCGCGCGCGCTGGACCTGCTGGACCGCGGCGCCGCGCTGCGCAGGCTCGCCAGGAGGCTCCATGCACATCCACTGCCGCACGGTCAGCACTACCTACGCTACTTAACACAATACAACTAAAATTGGTTTTTTATGTAATAGCTCGGCAAACCAGTTGACGGATTACCTGATGGTAAGCAATCAACGCCGTCCATGAACACCCGCAATAGAGGAGTTACGAGTGTGTTGCCGATCTTTTTGGGGTTAGGGATTGGGGGAGTGGAAAGGACCGGTAACCTCACTCACACGGCGAAACACTACGCTGTGGTTGTTTCACGCCGGTCGAGACGACCCATTTATGCCGAAGCATGGCTCTCCCACACCAAAAATGTGCAAAGGTTTAATGAATTAAACCAGTACCGATGACCTATGTTATCAGAGGATTTACCTCCAGTTGCCAGGCTGTACTTAAAGTGCTAATTTACAAAATGCTGTGAATAAATTATGATTATTATTTCAAGTCACTTGTATGTTGTGTGAATTAATTCCTAATAGCCCATAAAAGCCGACAACACACTTATAGTAACTCCTTTGATATTGCGAGTGACCATGGGCAACACCGATCACTTAGCATCCAGGTAATCCGTCCACTCATTCGTCACCGAGGCATGACTCTACCACACTTTCATAAATGTTAATTTCCGATACTCAATTTAACATCTATCTATTAATTAAAATATTACAGTTTTCGCAAAGAAACTTGACTACTTTCAAACCAAACCAAGAGCCCACAGTAAAAATTAGAACCCCTAGAAATGATTTTTCAACGGTTAAATAAAAGTTACCTAGGGAATAATTATGATGTTGTCGCGTCTGAATGTTTGTATAAGACAGTGACAGCAACAATTTTATTCCTCATATAACATATATCTGACTTTTATTATAACTTTCGTGAGACATTCTAAATTATTTATTATGTTTTCGGCTTACTCACGTAATAATTTGACGAGATACTCGACTAGTTTCAAGCCATGCTAGAGGCCCATATTCATGAGCAGCATTCCGCGACACGCGAACGCGACCGTCGCGCTGCTACTGATGTGGTCGCCGAGTCGCGTGTCGCGGAATGCTGCTCATGAATATGGGCCTCTAGCATGGCTTGAAACTAGTCGAGTATCTCGTCAAATTATTACGTGAGTAAGCCGAAAACATAATAAATAATATATCTGACTATTGAAAAATCAGCCCTAAAGAGAATACGTACAAACCGATAATATGTTTCTATATATGTGCTGTAGGTGGTGAACTAATGGATGAGAAAGCAACAAGACTGACTGCCAGCATCAAGGCGATCACAGCCGAAGTGAAGGCAGACCCCTCCTGGGAAGGTAACGTTACCATATTTCACAAAATTTCCCCTATACAGGATAAGTTTTTAAGCAGTGCGCAAATTTTGCTTACACATTATAGCTACTCTTACGCGGTTTCACCCGCTGCTCGGCTCCATTTGGTCGAAGCGTGATGTTTTATAACCTATAGCATTCAGGAACATCGTAGCTATCTATCAGTGAAAGATTTTTGCAATCTGACCAGCGGTTCCTAAGATTACCCCCCCCCCCCCCCCCCCTACATACAAACTTACAAATTTTACCTCTTTATAATATTAGTGTAGATTTTTATTATTCCTACAGCAATTATATGAATAAGTGCGTTATACAGGAGCGAGCCCCACGCTGGTGGAGAGCGTGGAGCTGACGGTGGAGCGCGCCGCCTTCGCGCGCCTCTACCTGCACGTACTCTTCCCCAACGGAGACGGAGACATCGCGCGAGACCAGTCAGTATACCATACCTTTTTTTTGTCAGGGGATAATCATCCAATGACTTCTCCCGCCTGGGGTAAGGCGAGAGAGTGTCAGACTCTTACTGACTAAATAACCCCCCTGTTCCTTCTCTGGGCCGAGGTCGCGGTGCCTCATTGCGCTTACCCGCAACTCCATCTGAAGTATACCATACCTACTAATGTAATAAGTAGACCTTAGTCAGTACAAGGAAGACATCAGAAGACCTTATTACATCAGCAACGTCACCTAGTCCTTGTTTTTATGCTACACATCACACAGCAAAGGCCTTCTCACATGGACGTTTGAGCATTAATTACCATACTTACTTAATGCGGATTAGCAATTTCAAACTTAATTAGAAATTCCAGGTTTCAAATCTAAAATTAAGTAATTATAACGTCAAATCCATCAACGAAGTTCTATATTTTTTGAATGTTAAATTGTAATGAAATCTTGAAGGAATTTATTTTGGCCTATTAGTGAGAAAAGTGTGTTGTCCAGGGTGTTGTCGGAGCACATCCGCCGCGTGTCGAGCGTGACGTCAGCGCGGTCGCTGGGCGTCCCGGCGGCGCACCGCTGGGCCGCGCCCTACCCGCGCGCCCAGCGACATCTCAGGCATCTCGCCGTCTACCGGACGCCGCGGGACAAGGTACTCTCTACACTATCTATTTACTTAGTTACAACATTACTATTATACATTTACCAGGTTATGCTCATATTTTAATAGTAGTGTGGGAGAGCCATGCTTCGGCACGAATGGGTCGGCTCGACCGGAGTGATACCACGGCCTCACAGAAAACCGGCGTGAAACAACCACATTGTTGTGTTTCGCCGTGTGAGTGAGGTTACCTGAGGCCCAATTCTTCTCCTTCCCAATCCCTCCCCAGTTCCTAATTCTCCCTAATCCCTAAAAGGTCGGCAACGCACTCGTAACTCCTCCGTTGCGGGTGTCCACGGGCGGCGCTGATTGCTTACCATCAGGTAATCCGTCTGCTTGTTTGCCGACCTATTACATAAAAAAAGTAACTACCGTGAAAACGATTTACGTTTATTTATTGAAAAAAGCTCTATTGCTTTTAAATTACACCGGGACTATCATGAGCAGCCAACAGTCAGTCCCGTTGGGACTTTGACTAGAAGAGCTTTTCTCAGGTTATGCTATATACAAAGTCACTTAGAAGTATACTGTGTAACAACACAAGTATTTTTAATTCGTTATTATTAATAGATTTCAAACTGAATTTTAACTTCTAGTGTAAATTGTTTTACAAAACTTGATTATTTATTTCACTTCATTTCTACAATATCTACATAAACTTTAACTTTACATAATATGTACATACTTTTTGTCAATAATATGCTCACAATGTCTGAATAGCTGCTTAGTGACGGATTTTATCGGAAATCAAACGCTTAGACTAAACTTTATGTTTCTAATGAAAATCGCATCACAAGAATGTACATACATGATAAAACATTAAATTTATTTTGCCGACCATCTAGGTACAGTACGGCCGTCGTATCTTTGCGAGTCTGAAGTTAGCCGTTTGTCTTACTGCGTGTACTGTGCAGCTAATCGGCTAACTTCAGACTCGCCAAGATACATTGGCGGTATTGTATATAGCATTCCTATGTACAGTATATTTGTAACATGAATATATTTACCCACAGCTGTCGTGTATAATGCGGTGCGTGACCTCAATAATGGCGGTGCTGGGTCTAACAGAGGGAAGCACGCCCTCCGCCGACGACCTCACGCCTGTACTTGTCTACGTTATACTCAAGGTGAATAATAACGCATATTACAATTAATATGAAAATTGCCATGTAAAACAGATATACATATATGAGGCAGTCTACAGGGTAACTGAGCCATTAACAGCCTAGCTAGTTTACACTGTACCATTCTAATAGCTGTTTTATTTCTGACGCCCATTCGATCTCTGTGCGGTTCACAGTTCCAAACTAAGTTAACCTGCTATTCTGTTAGCAACTCTTACATTACATTCACCCTTTAACTTGCAGCCTGAATGAGAAATTTAGCTGTGTTTAGGTTTTTGTTTTGGTTGCTATTTCAACTATTAGGCTGCTACATATTCACTATATTTTTTGCATTGTTTTGGAGTGAAAATCAATTAAATTATTACTGAGTTACACAAATAGGTTAATTGCATACCTATCCCGAGCGTACGGCGCGTAGCGTTCCGCGCGCGCCTCAAAGAGCCAATGGACCACCACAGACGGGGCCCTAAAGGGCTGATGTTCAGCCGGGGTTGCGGGGTAAGCGCAATGAGGCACCGCGACCTCTGCCCAGAGCAGGAGAAGAAACGGGGGCGTTTTTAGTCAGTAAGAGTTTGAGACTCCCTCCCGCCCTGGGCAGGAGAAGCCATTGGATGATTAAACATAATTTTTCCCCTCACAAAAAATACCTACCTATGTTATCTCAACAAAATTTAATACATTCATCTTATAAGCTTCTGATTACCCTTTACCAGGTGAACCCACCATCTCTACTATCGACTATCGAGTTGGTGAACGCGCTCGGTGGCTCCGCCCTCCAGGGAGAGGCCCTGTACTGGTGGACGCAGTTCTGCGCCGCCGTGGCCTACATCAAGACTATGGATTACCCGCGGCCCGACAACAACGATACCTAGCCTTTACATACGCGCCTGGTGAGTGCAACACGCGTGAAGTGCGATTCTATGTCTAAATAATAGGTCTTTACCTATGAAATTGCCGTTCTGCAATACTGGCCATTTCAAATCAAAATAGTTTTTGTTAGGCTAAGGCTAATTAATTTTGTTTTATAAACATGGGATTATTTTTCAAAAGTAGTCATTTGTTTATTGATTAGTGTTACATTTTCATCGCATTTCATTTATTTTTTTTGATGCAAAACGACAATTTCATAGGTAAAGACCTATTATATAAATGCCTTGCCCAATTCGGACAAATGACGAGAAGGGGCTATGTCATTTGCCCGTACAATAATTAAGGTTATATATTAATCAATATTTATTTGAATAAACATAATATTTTCTTCACTAGCGTTGCTGAACATTTATATTTTCCGTTACTTTGCAAGGTACTCGTACTCGTTTAGTGGTCGACCGACACTCACCTTTTTTACGTAACATCGCCGTCCTAGGCAAACGAGCAGACGGATTACCCGATGGTAAGCAATCAGCGCAGCTCATGGATACTCGTAGTACCAAAGATATTACTACAACTACGTGGCCGGCCTTTTGTGGATTATTAGGAATTTAAGAATTAAGGATGTGGGAGGGATTTGGGCCTCCGGTAACCTCACTCACACGGCGAAACACAACGTGATTGTTGCTACACACCGGGTTTTCTGTGAAGCCGTGGTATAGCTCCGGTCGCTAAATTCTTATTAAATTAGACATGAATATGTATATTATTTTTTCCTTTCCTTTTCACAGATTTCAGCGCGTGTTCCGGACATAAAATTGGAAATCATTCGCCGCCGGCGGTGCCACACTGTGTAAGCAAAGATTACGACACCCTCATTGTACACGTCGTCATTATCATCTAGTACGGAATCATGTATCTCCATTCTCCAGTAGTAATCAAACATTTAGATATTATTACGCGCAATTCTGTTCATTACGGAAAATGTTATATACTCTCTAATATAAATTAACTGCCGGTTTCGGTAAACTGAATTTCTACATGGTAAATATTTGTTCCTATGGAAAATTGCGTTTTACCAATGTTGACGACCTTGAAGGCAGATAGTTTTTGTATTTTCAGTCTGTTTAAAAAATCATACAGTTTTCATATTCGCATCGTCTGTTAATCCTGATAACAGAAATTGTTCGTTACTGCAATTAACTAACAAGTTTGCTTCAAGTGTCTGGTGGTCATACCATTTATAAAAAAAACAAACCATAGACATTCTTATGCATTTCATGTTATATTATTGTAATCCTCGAATCCTTGCATTTTAGGTCAATCTTATACAATGTAAACACCAATAGTGGATACCAATTTTATCTGAAATCATTTACCTCTAGAATTAAAATAACAAAAAATATACTTCGAATCAATTCAATATCAATACAAGATAGTTTACATTTTCCCCATGTCAAGTAGGTATATGAGACTAGATTCTCAGTAAATAAAGTATAAAAAAGTAAGGGTTTGTTCCAGTAATGCGTTCTATGGTAGCGGTAAGAGTAGAATATATCTTTTGGATGGTAGTCGTAAGGTATAAAGTGTGCACTCGCAAACATGTGTTCAATGTTTCTTCAGTGTTACAGGTTTATTTAGTTTTCAATAATATTTTCTTACAATGAAGTTGAAAGTATTCATGTTTTTTTTTCAAGTCGATTTTTAGAACATAAATTATGTTACCTTACAAGTTGGCCGTACATTTTGTATGAATTCAAGTAGGCCTAAATCACGCGTTTTGATCGATTTATTTTTTATTATTCTTTACGTTAATTGTTGTTTCAATTTTATGTACAATCTGTTTGTAAGAGTTGTATGTAAAGTTGTGACATTATTTAAATAATTATGATTGTAATGTTGAGTTCCTGTTGTATTGTTACTGCTGATATTCGTACGATTGCGCTCTTAGTAACTTACGAACCTTTAAAATGTAATGCGTACATATTTATTTTAAATCCAGCTTCGTAAAATTATGCACTGTTCGAATTACAAATGTATTTGACAAAATAGTCGAGTAAGTACGCAATATCACCACTGGCAATACACACGGTCGTATATAAGGTTTGTTATTATATTTTATTCCCATGTGTACCTGTTCACGACGGTTGGGTCTCTGCCGATCCTCTTGCGCACTGTTACCTAGTACCTACGACATCTCGATTGGTCTGTGATTCTAGAGTTGGATATTAAATACTCGAAAATGTGTATTTTTGAAATTGATAGTAGGTACTGAAAGGTGTGATAACATGATAAGTAATAAAATTATGAATATCGAAAATAAGAGGCGATTTTAATAAAATAATTTATTGGAAGTGTACATTTGATAGAATAGATATCGTGTAACTTAGATCCAAGTAATGATATCGTGGCGGGTTAACTCGCCAGTTTAAGCTAGCGACCATTGTAATCATTGATAAACCCCGAAATCAATTTCATCAACCCTCATACTAGTATTGTTGTAAGTTAAGTTTTATTCGTTGTCTAAGCACCGGTTTACTTCGCACCCCGATTAAAAAGACACTATTTTTGAACTAATCTAGTATATAACTGAATCTTACCTAACAGTTGTACCTATATGTATAATCGACTAGTTGGTCCGTGTATCGATTAATTAAAAATCTCAAGCTTCTTTTAGTACTGCCGACTCTAAATATGCAGATAATTAATTGTCAATTAACTTATTTTTTATGATTATCATTTATTTTTAGTTTTTATGAAGACATCAAATTCAACTAAAAATTGTTGAGACTATTTGGATATTTAGAGTTGGCGTAATTAGGAAACTTCGAATATAGGTAGTAGTTATGAAGATGCGTGAACGATAACTGGAATACTTCATGCGGCAAACACACGATAAGCGTCAAGACTGGAACAGCACTGCATCTTCACGCATCGTCGTAACCTGAGCACTTAAACTGTCCAAATAGCTTTCTAATCTCTTGCCTAGGTAGTCAGCAGACTTTAGAGTATCTACTAACAGCTGTAAGGCTACGTGGTTTGTAAACATGTACCTAATGTAATCAGAGCAATGAAATTATATTTAGCAATAATAATCTTGTATTTTATTTCATAAGCCCGTTGTTTCCCGAATCCGCGAAAATATAATAGGTCTTTACCTATGAAATTGCCGTTCTGCAGTACTGGCCATTTCAAATCAAAATAGTTTTTGTTAGGCTAAGGCTAATTAATTTTGTTTTAAAAACATGGGATTCTTTTTCCAAAAGTAGCCATTTGTTTTGATTAGTCGTTACATTTTCATCGCATTTCAAATAAAAAAATTCGTTTAAATTTTTTCATGCAAAACGGCAATTTCATAGGTAAAGACCGAAGAAAAAAACCTATTATTTTTGAATACCAGTGTAATAAATTACCTACTCAGCTTTTGCATGATTTTAAAATACCTACCTATATCCTCATAACATTTGCATTTGTAGTTTTTCTATTCTTACAAATCCAATTGACAAATGGATATGTAGGGTTTGAATTAACATATTTGGTGAATGCAGACTCGTTCACATTGTTTGGTTTTGGCAATGACATCCTGCTAGCTTCCCGTTATAACCACGTGTCTGTATGGGCGGACCACGCGTTCAATGCAGGTACGCGCATGCGTACTGAATATTATTGAGTTGGAATGATGCACCTAACCAAAAACTATTTTTCAACCTAAGAAGTCACTCAGTACCTACCTACCTAGAATATTGATACGCAGTAGTTAGCGAGCACCCAACTGGATAAGTCGGATACGAGGTTCTTTGTCTTACTAATGAAAACTAAGACATTAAGATGAAGCTATAAGTACCCTCTATAGTCGCGTGCGTTCGTGCAGCGGAATGTTGTTGAATTTAAAGATTTTAATTATGCAGATATTTAGTGTATGACGTCGTATAATTGTGTATGGTAAAAAAAAATTTGTGCACGCAACCATTGTGGAGAAATTCACCAAAAACTGATTCCGCTGGGCGAACGTTGTCCTGGCGGAACTTTTTTTAATCCATAGACTTTAGAAGAAAAGAGATGTATCCAAAAATTAGTGTGTATTTGTGTGTAATTGTGTATGTATAAATAAAACTAGTGCATGCATAAACTTCGGAGAAATTCAAGTTTCCGCTACGCGAACGTTTGGCCATTAGCTAGTTTTCATATAAAGCGCTTACATAGAGAGCTGTAGATTTTTACATACGTTGTTTTGAATTTGTTTATATTTGTTTAAAAAACAGATTTAGAAAAAATCGTAGGGTTTAAAAGATAAAAATATAAACGTAAAATACGCTTATTAGGTCTTAGTTCTTAAAGTAAGCTCTTTGGGGTCTAGATTTTCACGTTTATACAAACCTTGTGAGTGTCTGCAACATGTTGCCAAGTATCAAGAATGTTCCGTTAGTAATTAAATATTTATAGGACAAATTTACCATGAATAGATCACTGTTTACAAAGCAGTCAAATATCACGACTTTCTAAATGAGTTGCATGGTAAAATGTATGTCAATAATTAGTGTATTCATTCAACTATTCACATGCAAAATTTCATGTCATTAAATTCAGTAATTAAAGAAAAACAATTATAATACTGACGAAGCATCGAAAACCTACATAACCCGACCAAGTTCGGATGGCTACAAAAAAGCGGCCGTTTCATATATCTAAGAAACGTTCTTAACTTTCCAATATAGCATTTATTAATATGGTACAGTATCGTACACAACCATTAGGAAAAAATAAAACACAGTATCGTACACACGCTCGTGCATGCCTAGTCTATTGGTTAAATAGTGTAATAAAAAATATTGGTTAAATAGTGTAATAAGCTGCAATATGATAAATATTTACCTAAACAGTAGTACATATGTACTTACATGTGGTAAATATTTAATTTCCCTAAGGGGTCTATAGTTAGAATCTTGATCCGTAAAATCTTCAATAGAAATTAGCTGTATGAATTTTGTCTTAAATATAGTTAGATTATATCTCAAGTCTCAAGCGCATACTTAAATAAAGTACCTACGTAAACGGTACCTACTTTCTGTCATGGTCAAATACATTTAAAAAAGTAGGTGTCCAAAAATAAATTATTTCGAAACAACAAGTGTGTTATCACCTGTACCAATTCAATACCGGTATTATGCTGTAAATTTTGGGATGTTACCTAAATATATTGCACAGCCGCTTTTTGGTAGCCATCCGAATAGGGCATCGGAACCGGTTTTTCCCGGTTCCGAAAGAACCGGGAAATCCCGGTTCTGGAAGACACTGATAGAACCGGTTCTGTAAAACAAGGAACCGGTCTTTTTGGTTCTTACGGTTCTGTCTTAAAATAATATATCTATAATACTTTTAATGCTAAATATCAAGTTATTATCCAAATTTTCGTTTTCGTTCACGGGATCACAGGATCACGGACCTTTAGAAGGCGTACAGGACGTCGAAGCCAACTCGCAGAGGCCCGTTGAACAACTTTAACATAAGTGAAATGGGACATCAGCCGGCAATTACCCCTGTATGCACTATGAAAGTGCATCCAAGGATAATCCCCGGTTGATGGAGGACTACTGCGAAATGTGGTACTAATAATTGAAAGGGTTATGGGTATGGGTTGCTATGGACTGGTGGATATGAGAACTATGCAAATACTATTTTTTTTTTTGTCTTTAAAAACGTTGCCCCACACCAGAATTTTCTCCTGTGTCGTGGGTGCGGTTACAAACATACAATTTCACATGACACCAGATCCGGAACAACAATTTGTCGGTCACACAAAGAGTCGTTCCTTGCGGGAATCGAACCCGCGACACGTTGCACGGCAGCCAGTTGCCCAGCCACCGCACCAACCGTGCATTCAAAACTATGGCCCCTGCCCCTGACCAATATTGATATATACGGATAAACAGGCAGGAAGTGACTGGCAAACCCAATAAAATGGGCCCCCGGAAACTGCCGCTAGCATGTAGCGACACGGAGGCAACATACGTTGAGCTGCTTGGGGAAGGAGAGGCATCCCACGGCTATCAGAGCAATCCCGGAAGTACGGTCAAGACCCCTACCAGCGCCTTACTGAGATACATCCTTCCCCCGAGTCTCCTTCAACTCTTACTCTTATCCAAATTTATTTATAAGAGAGAATATATGCTGTTATTTCACTGTTCAACTAATAAATAACGTTATAATTTATTATTACTGATAAATCTTTAAGAAACTAACAAGGGACATTGAAGTAAATGCTCCATGACACCGCGCGAAATTCAAATTTTGGACATAATAAAATAACAATTTGAGTGTAATTCAAAAAAATTATAAAAATTAGACTTTTCAAATATAATTTATGATAAAACCCGAAAGAACCGGGTACCCGGTGCCGTCTAAAATTTAGAACCGAAAGAACCGGTTCCTAAATAGGACCGGTTCTCGATGCCCTACATCCGAACTTGGTCGGGTTATGTAGGTTTTCGATGCTTCGTCAGTATTATAATTAATTGTTTTTCTTTAATTACTGAATTTAATGACATGAAATTTTGCATGTGAATAGTTGAATGAATACACTAATTACTGGCATACATTTTACCACGCAATTCATTTAGAAAGTCGTGATATTTGACTGCTTTGTAAACAGTGATCTATTCATGGTAAATTTGTCCTATAACTATTTAATTACTAACGGAACATCCTTGATACTTGGCAACATGTTGCAGACACTCACAAGGTTTGTATAAACCTGAAAATCTAGACCCCAAAGAGCTTACTTTAAGAACTGAGACCTAATAAGCGTATTTTACGTTTATATATTTATCTTTTAAACCCTACGATTTTTTCTAAATCTGTTTTTTAAACAAATTCAAAACAACGTATGTAAAAATCTACAGCTCTCTATGTAAGCGCTTTATATGAAAACTAGCTAATGGCCTAACGTTCGCGTAGCGGAAACTTGAATTTCTCCGAAGTTTATGCATGCACTAGTTTTATTTATACATACACAATTACACACTAATTTTTGGATACATCTCTTTTCTTCTAAAGTCTATGGATTAAAAAAAGTTCCGCCAGGACAACGTTCGCCCAGCGGAATCAGTTTTTGGTGAATTTCTCCACAATGGTTGCGTGCACAATTTTTTTTTTACCATACACAATTATACGACGTCATACACTAAATATCTGCATAATTAAAATCTTTAAATTCAACAACATTCCGCTGCACGAACGCACGCTCTATAGTCTATCTAAACAAAAATATTTCATAATACTCGTTCTTTACCAAAGTCAAAAATCATTTATTCCAATTAGGCCTTTACACGCACTTTTGAACGTGAAGATATAGTGTCAGTCGTTGGTCAGTCCTCTTGGTGAAGCTATTTGCTCGTTCCAAAGTGTAGATTCCGATGGAGAAGAACGAGCAAGAAACTCCATGGTTCTCTTTTTAAATCAGACATTACGTTACGATTATCCAAAGTAATGTTAAAAATGCGAAACTAAAGTCTGTCTTTTCTTCACGCCTAAACTACTGAACATATTTCAGTGAAATTTGGTACAAAAATAGTTTGTAACTCGAGTAAGGACATAAGATACAACAAAAAATCTGCAGGAAGTTACTATTCCACGGGAACGGATTCGCGAGCAAAAGCTAGTTTGTTAAAGCGGGGTTTGCAATTCCGTACCAAACGTGGTGCGTTTATAGTGAACGTGTCTTGTTTTTATGGAATTTACGGAGCTCTTGGGACAGCAAACATAGTTATGTACAGTCTGAGAGTGAAGCATAACTATAGGTTCATTTTTAGAGTAAACAAAATTATAGTAAGCTACCGCCCACACTAATTTCACGGTGCTATGACGTCATTTAGGATATCAGTAATAAAACACACATGTGGGCGTACATAGTTTATTTATGCACTTGGATTTTCATTTTTATGTACACTTATAAACAACACGAGCTTTGCAGCAGCAGGTCACTGAAACAAGAATGAAAATTGTTAGAATATGTTGTATTATTTGCACATTGTTTAGCATAAACAATCGTATCAGTTATATTGTTACGTCATGGCATTCAGCAGTAGCAAATAAAAATAATTACATCATTTAAAAATACCACGTGAGTCTCGAAAATTTAATA